TTTTTTTTTTTTTGGAAAGAGGCGCACTGAAGTCAGAAGCAGCTCTCTGTACAGTCGAGATTTTTGCCGAGTTGCTCTAGTAAGTCTAGACTTGCGCAACTCTTCAAGCCCGTCAGTCTACAAGCTCATCGTCGCTGCTCCGATCCTCCGTAGAGCGTATTCGTCAAGCCTGGAGTGTTATGCCGATGCGCAACATGCTGCTCGATGCAGTTTGGCTTTGTACTTTCCTTCTGATGGGGGCCGGAGTCTCGGCGTTCAAGCTCTTTCCCAGCAAACGCCTCGTGGAGGGTGGTGAAGCCGTGTCTAAATATCAAGCGCGCGCCCACATCAGCGATGAAGACGTCCTCGAATCCAGGAATGCAGTCTACGCTCTGAAAAGAAGAGGTTTGGGATCCTTGATCTGCTGCAAGGCCATGCCAGAAGTGGATGAAGCTGCCCACACTCGCAAGTGGGCAGAGATCGAGCACCTCCACGAGAATCCGCCCCACGTATCTTTGGCTATGACGTCCAAGTCATCCACCTTTCGACCTATTCCTAAAGAGTGGGAAGGCGTGCAGTACGTCAATCACCCCTACGTCATCCCAACCAAAGCCACATCTCTGAAGGTCGACCCTTCGCAGATCGGCGCACACGTCACCGGCTCACTCGGCCCGACGGACGTGAGGCTGGAGTCGGGTGATCATGATTGGCACGTCAAGCAGAATTTCGCCGAGGACATCTACGGTAATCTTCAACTCACCAGCCACGAGATCACAAAGATTCCCCACACAAGTACACATTTGCCCATGGACAAGCTACCTCCAGGACCAGACGGTGGAGAAATGAGGCCTCCGAAGCAGATCCGGCGCTATATGACCGAAAGACCAGAGCTCGTTCGAGATAAAGAGCCAGCGGCGCACTCAACGTATGCGGGCGACAAGACGTGGGAGTGGAACAAGGAGCCCAACGAATTGAAAAAACGGCCGTCACAGGATCTTCATCTCAAATTTCACAAGTACGCTCCCATCCATTTCCGAGAGGTCAGGCAGTACCATACCGAGGTCGCTGGCCAGCCCACGTTCGTCGTGACAAAAGAGGCTCGCCATCCGCCCTTGCCAGAGCAGTACGCTGAGCTCCCAAACGCTAGTGCAAAGCATGAACAAGAAACAGCTCCCAACGCCGGCGCTTCTATTGCTGACGTGCCTAGCGAGCAGAGCAAGCTCGTGCCTTACAAAAAGAAGCGCTTGCCAGGCTTCTTTTGATCCAGATGTGCAAATTTCATCCTCATTTACGCCCTTTTCCGCCGCGTGATCTTGACTCTATCCGCCATCGTTGTCGAAGGCGTCGCATCGCCGTGGGCATTCTCAGCAGGGCTGCTTGTCTGCGCTTGAGAGGAAGGCCGTAGTGGACAGCTGGCCTTTCCCTCCAGCGTTGACCGATGTGTGGGTTCTTTGCCAGCGCTAGCAGATTCAAGGGTTTGAACGCGCCTCGATACTGGTCGTCGCGGTCGATGATAGCTGCTCTTGTCAACTGGCTTGAGTAGCATCTCATATTCTGGCTGTGCAGCAACGAGAGGAGCAGTCGGAGGTGTCGGAACGAAAGGCTTGGCGTCAATCGTGTTGAGCCCGGGGAGCTCAATTGAGCTACTCAAGTCTTCCTGCTTCACTTTCTCGCCCTTCACAGCCTCGACTTTGAAGTTCTGAAACGAGCGCAAATCCGCGGTAAAAATCACCGAGTGTGCCCAGCCTGCATACTCCCCCCAAAGCTGCCTGAAGCGATCGGCGAGCTCTTCGTAGCCCTTGGTGCCTTCTTTCACCCGCATGCCGTACCAGCGCGCCGCGAACTTCGTTGGTAGGGCAAGACGAGTCAGTTTCGTAGCTCGACAGCCTTTAGTCAAGCGCGCACGACAGACCAAAGACGCACCTGATAGACGTGCCGGTCGACGGGAATGCTAGAGGGCTGGTCCATCGACATTAACAAGATGCAGCTGTGATGACATCAAACGGAAACAAGCTATCAGCCGCGCAACCACCCACAGCGTTCTCTCCACTTCTTCTCACTCTGCAACTTTTGGCCCGACTCCCTGGAACTTGATCAGCTCCGCACGGGCTCCAGGGTATGTCATGGATCTCAAGGAGTGTAGGAAAGACGTGGGCGAGTGTGTCGTCTGCAAGCGACTGCTTTCTGTCGAAGCGCTGCCGTCACCCTCTTTGGCAAAGCGATTAGCATCCGTTTTCGTACGCTTCCTCTTCCGCGGAGTAGGAGGCGGAGTCGCAGGTCTTGACAGATTCCGTGTAGTCACATGAACAGGAGCAAGATTCAAACCTTCCAATGCGAGCCTGCACTCGTATCCGCAGTCCGGCTCCGGGCCCACATGTGTTTGAGCGAGGACTCGGGCTGTTTGCCAAATGTATTTTGCTCGATATCCGAAAGCAAGCTCGCTCCTCAGCGTGCCTTCCACATCCTCGGAAGTTAGGGCTGCGGCAGCAGGAAAGGGGTGGTACGTTATTCGCGTCGGTCCCGCTTCAACGCCCGTGGAAGTGGCATCAGTGCCAGTGGTCGGCGGAGGTGGGGGATATTCCAGCGTGAGGAGAGGCGGAGAGTATCGATGGCTTAGTGCCATAACCATCTGACCTATCCGTGCGATGTTGTTATTGCTGGAGCATATGAATGCGCACAAGCACTCCCACGGATCTGCCGCGAGGTGGGAAGAGAGTCAAATGAGCAAAAGGGCTGTCCCTACGCAAGGATGCAGCGCCATGTGTTCATCCAAAATTACCTTGTCTAAGCATCCTGACGCCTGCAAAGCGCTTGGCAAATCTTGCAAACACTTTGTCCTTGTCCGCCCACTCCTGGTACATTTGATCCAGCGGCACTCGGAGATTGAGATAGTCTCTGAGCCAAGCATCTGTGCCCCTTTCGTATAGCTCGACGTAATCATGTCCGCTAAGCTGAGCCTCAATCGCATCGGGAAGCCGTGTACGATGGTAGACGTAGCCTCTAGAGACGTCTTGGCGCAGCAGGATCACTCGATCGGATAGCGCCATTGAGTACTCGGTCCACCGTTGCCACTCGACATCACCGGTAAGTGACGAAGTGGACTCTTTCTTCTGCCCATGCTCGGCCTTCACCCCCACGTCGTCATGTTCTGCGTCGGGCCATGCAGATGATGTATCGTTTTCGTCTGGATCCGCCTTGATGGGGCGATTCGCAACGGCAGCATCTACCAAGCTCTCATCCTTCGTCACCACTGAGGATGAATTTCCAGCTGGATAGACAGTGTCCCTTTTTGCCTCCTCTCGATCGACCGGCTCCCATACATCATTGGCTCGCCATCTGAACGCCTGTCCGCAGCGGTTGGAAATAGTGAGCTCCAGGAGTATCTCGGAAGGCAAGACGCGGAGGGATGCATAGCCTGGAGGTGGCCGAGGTGGGATAAGTGGGCTACCTGGGGCGAACGTAGCACACCTCGAGATTCCTGCAGGACTTGACATGGTCGAAGAGTGTGCTTGACAGTACAACGTGCTTCGCAGAGCTGCAAAGCCGTGCCTCGCTGCGACCACGGAACATCGCCTGGTTTTGCAGCGAATGAATAGGATGTTGCTCGCTAGGGTCTGGCCACAGGGAGGATAATGTTCACGCGCCGACCTAGGCTGCAATATGGGGCTCCAGTACTGCAAAGCGAGTACGCGAAGATTCGAAACGAAACGAGCGAGGAAGAACGGATGGACGGGATGACGACGGTCGCGAATGGAGCACGATGAGAGCTTCGGGCGATGACTGACCGGCGGAGGTGCGCGCTGTAGTCTGACTTTGGGCAGTGAGTGGAGGTATCAATCACAATCTTCGCGAACATTCTGGTCGTTTGCGTGGCAGCGTGCAGAAGCGTCCAGTTGACCAATTCATGAGAAAGTGCGAATCACGAATCAAAATGTGAAATCCCAGATACAACATATGCACCATTATTAGCAGGTTGGCAAGCGTCCCTTCGACGCAGAATCCGGAGAGCTTCTTTCTGGCTTTGCAGGGCACTAGAAGCACCCAACTGACTCAGTTTCAAATGACTGCAAAAGACTCCACTAGATGCCTCGATCATCTCTTTACGCAGAGCAAGCAACCAAGCTGTGACAGGCAGCACTTTGCACGCTTCACCTTATCCCTGCCGGCCAAACAGCGACGATGAGCGGGCAGTCATCTCTTCATGGAAATGTGCGTGCGCAAGTGACGGTCCTTCGGACTTCTTGCGTGGTCTTCCCAATAAGTCCGTCTCTACTCGGCGGAGCTTCTTGCAGCGGCTTGCTCATTCGCCATTCAGGATTCGTGATTGCTGATGCTGAAGAAGCATGCCAGCTTCGGACTCCGGTCCACAACGGACGTCATGGTCATCTTGCCCCATGCAGCATAGTTGCTACTTTCGGCCTCGTCCTCGTCCTCGTCCTCGTCCTCGTCCTCGTCTGATGATGAGTCAGATGAAGCAGGACGGGCTACGTGTGCGAGGTGTTTGCACTCCCTTTGGCTGTTGTGACTCTCGTTGAACGCGAGCAATGAAGGTGTTTCACACGCACTGCAGCTACATCAGAGTTCCGACATGCGAAGAGTGAGCATCTCGCCGTGCTGACGATGGATGGATGGTCTTGCAGCACTCACGCACACACACGCTAAACTCGCAACTTTCTCTTCTGCTGCAGGTACGCTCGCAGCGGAACAGAGCCCATCATGGCCTTCATATAGCCCCACGGCATGAGCATCGAGGGCTTGGACCTAGGCGCCCATAGCTCTTACATGTGTCTTACGCTCTGCTCCGAGACTTGAATTGAGCTCGAGACCGCAGGCTTTTGGCCTAATCACAACTTGCCGAATTGATTGATGTGGACGTCGTCTGTGCGGAACCGAGTAAGACCTTCGCACGTATGTTTGTGCATGCTGGTTGCTGCTGAGCGTTCGCGCTGCGCCGCTGCAAACCAGCCACCTGCCTCGACTGCATACAGTATGTAATAAATGACTGCAAGGTGAGCAAGTCGTGATTGGAGGCGCAGGAACTCGGGCTGGACAGCTCAATTGGCGTCTGGGGATACATTTCGCGCCTTCAAGTCGCATTCGTGATTCAGAGCGGTAGGTGTTAGAGCGGCAAAGGTGCAATTAAGCTTGGTGACTTGCTCGACTGCACAGCAGCCTGCAGCAGCCAAGACTTGCCTTGTCACGATGGAACGAGTGCTCGAGGCCAATCGGGACTTTTCCGAAGCGGGCCTACGCAGACGAAACTTCCCAGCAGACATGCACATCATGCCTGCTGCATGCTCGATCGAAGTGCACTGGCTGACACTTATCCACTTGATCTGTCTGACTTGATCATCACCGCCTTGCTGCGAGATCATCGTTTTCATGACCATGCAGCACACGTTCGGCGGCTTTCTTGCGCGCCTTGCCTGGTGTTTCAGCTAAACAGAGAAGCACGGTGGCTCAAGTATACGGTACAGCTAGGCTACTCGCCCCGTCCGCAGCGATTCGACTGTAGGCGCGAGCGTACGGGTATCGTATATGCTGTACGCGTACGCACACCCGACGCAAAAGCAAGAAGGGGAATAGCAAGCCGCGGACATTCGAGTCAAGCATGCAGTCTTGAGTGCTGAAGTGCACATCATGTATAGGTATATATATATCTGGTGTAGTCCACGATATGATAGCAGCAGCATGTAGGCCGCTATCATGAACAGTTCAGTAGTCCTGAGACTGCTGGGCGGCTTGCGATCCAGCCCGAGTTCACTTGTATAATGACCGTATCCATGCTGCAGAGAGCCTCGGCTCAGAGCACTGCGTATCTATGCCAAAGGTTTCCGGCCCGGAGCCGGTGGGTTGATTCGAGCGGAGTGCGAACACGAGAAGCACTTTAGCCGTTCCTGTGGGCGCGTTGGCCTCGCTGATGTGTGAGTACATGGTACCGGCCGTGTATGAGGGCTTTTTGCAATTTGACGCGCATGCAGCCAGGCACCCTTCAGCAGCTGCTGATCCCACAGCTCGATTCGTGAGTGTACTTTTGCCGCGAGATACAGTCACAGTCACAGTCAAGAGTCGTGAGTACTTGCCGGCTCTGGAGCTTTCATGAGGCACTCGACGAAAAGCTGCTGTCTAGTCGCATTCGTGCGGGTCCGATTGTGTGGGAAGCTGCTCGCGATTCGCTTGTGCCCACCATCGCATTCTGGATCTCTACCGCAAGACAAGTCGAGCAGGCTGGCTCGCGGCATCTCCATATTTAGGTCTCGGTCTGAAGCACAAGAAAAAGGCAGGGTACGTGTGTGGCGGACAGCAGCTCGCAAGGAAGCTCGTATCCGTCGGCATCGCGGAGCCGCGGCGATTCTAGCTGGTCAGCGTGTTACACATATGATACACACGAGCGCTCGGAGCCGTAAGCTTCGTGAGAGCTCATCAGTGGGAAGCGGTTCCAGATCGTTCTGACGAGACATCAGCCACGATACCAGAGATGTGCTACATCTAGCGCTAAATATACCTCGACGTCTAGCAAAGCAAAGCATCGATGGCCCGCAAACGCTGGGAATTGCAAGCGCAACCAACATCCAGACGAGAGAAAATCTCGCAATCTTGAGCAGCCATCCTGCATTTCCACTTTCTGCGCTACCTGCCCACGATTTGGTTTACCGTAGCCAGTCTACCGACTCGAGAGCAGACGCAAAGTTTTGCGCTGGCCCAGTTCCAAGGAAGAGATTGGATTGTCGACATTGCACGCCTGCATACGACGAAGATCGTTCAATGTCTCTCACAGAGCTTTGCGTTGGCGCTTAATTGCCCCGGCCAATTCGGCCAGGCAAGGAGACTTGAGGAAAAGCAGTACAGGTATCTTAGCACATCTTTTAGATAGGCGAGGCGGGACCGTTTAGTCTCGCGTTGAATCCAGATTGTTAGCTAGCTTGCTGAGGAAGCTCGCCTTGCACGATCGAGCCTCTGTGCACCACCTCACCATCCCGTAAACAATTCATAAACGCCCAACAAAGCGTAAGCCCGGCTAACCTGGCCCCCTCCCACCCCCGATGCCTGACGTGCAACTACTTCGGCCATTTGCGTCCGTCAACATGGGTCCCTCGGATATGAGCATACCGCGCGCATCAGCGCCGAACCACCACGCGACCCGGCAGTCGCCCTCACAACCTGGCCAAAGAGAGACGACGACGGCACCGAACATTGTTCAGACCTCCACTGCCATTGCAAATCTCCCTCTCACCGACCCGAGCCCCTTCGCGAGCCCAAAGCCTGACATGCCGAGTCTGAGCCATACTGCCGTTGCTCATCATCGGCGCCGCACTTCAACGGTTCAGCAGGATATCACGCAGAGCTGGCCGGTACGCTTCGAACACGAAGTCGATACAACGAGAGATGTACATGCGCCTCTGGCTGTGCGTCTCGGTCTCGTTGAGCCAGCTCAGGTCTTGCCGTACCTATCTCCCGAGCTCTTTGCCGGTGTTCATGCCGGTGCGGAGCCTTGCAAAATCACAAAGACCCAAAGACAGGAGAGCCAGTACGTGCATCGGAAGTTGCACGGCTACTACCTTTTGACACCTCCTCCTCGCGGAAAAGACCGAGCCGAAATCTCCCTTTCAAGCAGGCCGTCCTCGCCTGAGCCGGCCTCACGCAGCTCGCCTTTGAACCCTGGAGCAAGCACGCACAAATCCAGCGGCGTGGTCAATGCGGCCTCCCGACCTGCGCCAACACCGATAACATCGCCTTCATTGGCTATCTCACTCGCCTCGCCCCGCTCTTCGGGGATTGACCTGCAGTCGGAGAGCAGTAGCGTAAAATCTGGACTCATCGCTCCAACAACCGGGAAGATTCGGCCGGGGACAGCAGACTCGGGCTCATCGATGGGCAGTTCGGACAGCGGACTCCACAAGACTGCGAGGTCGCACGCTCGCGATGGCAAGTCGAGCAGGGGCAGCTCTTCTTCTGAATTCGAGCCTCATCAAGAGCTATGGTCGCTAGATGATTATTTCATGAAGCGGAGGAGTCGTACAGGTGGGCGGATCTGCGCGGAACGCTATCATGCGTACCAGCCCACCAAGCTGCCATGGAGGTTCAGCTATAACGCGGACTCCACCATTACGTGAGCTCCAGTATGAATCACCGGGATATGAAGCTGGCGCCATACTGACGCATTCTTGCTACTCTTGCAGTCAAGAGCTCTGGCATCATATTGCGCACGAGGTGGTGGGCAAGCACCTCTTGTCAGAGTTTCCGGGCGACATCATGCCCAAAAGGGTACTGGATGTTGGCTGTGGTCCAGGAATATGGATCGCTGATGTTGCCAAGCAGCCGGGATGGGAAGTGAGTGACGTATGCGATGGGCGAAGGAAAGGATACTGCTCACGCTCGATTTGCGGTGCCGGAATATATTCAGCATTCAGAGTTTGTTGGCCTGGATGCAGTGCCTTGTCAGACGCTCCTATTGGATCCAGATCTCGCTAGACGCGTCTCATGGGTCGTGTCCAACGCTCTAGACGGCCTGAAGGAGTTCCCAGAGGCTAGCTTTGACTTTGTCCACTGTCGCTTTCTAGTGAGTCGCACTCTCTCGAGAGCTTGGGTCCGAAAACGACCGTGAGGCTGACAGAAGCGTGCATCCCAGGGAAACAATTCTATCCCAGAAGATTCTTGGCCCGACCTCATCGCTGCCATGACCAGAGTACTTGCTCCAGGCGGCAGGCTCGAAATCCTCGAAGCAGACGTAGCATTTTATGGGACTCCTCACCGCATCCCTGCCCACGAGTTGTGAGTCGATGTGGCTCAAGCTGTGCTGCTCGCCTTGCGAAAAGTATTGTGCTAAGCATGCGAGTCTGCGATGACTGCAGGAAGGAGCTTGCGGCGGGCGTTGGCAACGTTGCCCTGCGAGTGAACATCAAGAATGGACGTCATGGCGAAGAATTTGATCCGCTCGAGAGGGTTTGTTTGCGGGCATTGGAGCAGCGAGGAATCAGCTTCAGTCCTCTTGCCCAACTTCCGGCAATTCTGATGCTCGAGCACGACCTGATGGATGTGAGGTGTGGAAACCCTCGAGTGTTACCCTTGATGGCGGAGCCCGGCTTTGTCCTGGGTGGCCCAAAGCCTCGACAACCATCGCCAAGTTCGACTCCGACTGCCGACCTTAGAGCACAGGATCGTCCGGATTCGCCCCGAGCTGCGGACGACCCTCCCTCGGCGCCCACTTCTCCCAGCTTGGGCCTTCCGGAACCCAATCGAAATCCAGCATATACCAATCGAGCGCCGGTAGGCACTCCCTTGAGAGGCTCAACATTCCGCATGCCAGACCTCGAACTCATACGCTGCATGATGCTCATAAGCGAAGTGCACCTATACACTGGCTCTCGAAACATCTTGTGGCAAGAGGCGGAAGCGGACAAAAAGGCGGCCTCTCGACCCGCCTCGCGATACGGGGCGAATGGTGACTCGGGCGAGCCTTATGCTCATCCTTGGTCTGACGAAGCGGCATTCCATCGCACAATTGATCGATGGGTGGCAGACATTACGAACCGAGCCGCAGTGAGGGGTCTCCTCAAAAAGACTTTGGGTTGGGATAGCAATGCCGCACAAGCCAGGGCGAAGGAGACGGACCAAACTTCGAGCGCAGATGCTAGCAATGGCCCGTCACCTCCGACAGCCTCCTCTGCAGCAGATCCTTGGAGCTCGAGCTACAGCAGATCCTCGGCCAAAGAAGTGGCCCCTTCAACGAGTCAACGTCCTCAATCTCTGAACAGCGCGCAAAACGCAGAGAATGCTGCGCAGCTGCACAAGATGCATCGAGAACGCCGAAACAGTCACAAGACTACATCTTCGCGTCCCACCTCGCCCAGGTTCTCGGATTATGGAGACCGCACCGCAGAGAGCAAATCGTCTGCTCACAGACAAAGGGAGAGCTTGCCTCCCACACCCCGCATACCGAAGATACCGCTGCTGGGTGTCAAACGAACGACGGGATTCACTGCGATACGTAAACCGACCAAGGCAGCTTCCTAAATGTTCGCGGGCGTGCACCAGTGATAGGCGCGCAGAACACAAAGCACATCTCATTGCCGGCTGTTCAGAAACCCTTTGCTTCCATCTAGTGTTGTACAGTACTCTTCACAGCCTCTCCAAAATGCCGAACAGAAGCTTGCACCACCGACCTGAGCATCTGTCTGCTAATTCGCAACTTCTGAGGCCGCAGTCTTTCCATCCAGCGAGCTGCCCGTGCGTTTGCGACCCAAGCATTCTTCTCCCTCTGCCCTCTCTCCATTACGATGTGCCTTGCCCCTCCAAACCTCCACCATCTTCCATCATCTGCTTGCGTCTTCTGATTCTCTGCCTGACCACTTCCAGACCGGGCTTGCTACCCCTGACTGTCCCGAATAGCGCGTCCCTCACTCTTAGGTCTCGCTCCGACAACTCCTCTGCATCAAAGTTGAGATTGACGCCAGACGAGAGCCACTTGCTCCTCTCTTGAATCTCTGCCTGATTGGAAAAAGCTGCAGCGGCGGTGGGTGATTCTTCGGCCTGAGCACTGACCGATGTGTCGGTGGTGCTGGATCGAGATGATCGACCGAGAACAGCATCCAAGCTGGCCAGGGCTTCTGAAGAGTTTCCGAAAGAACCATCGCCAAAGACGGATTTGGAGTGACCACCAGAGGAAGAGTCCCAGGACTCGTAGTCCATATCGGGATCCACGTGCGGATCGAATCTTGAGCCTGCTCTGGCGCGAATTGCCTCGCGCGCATTGAGAAGGGAAAGAGGGTTCTTGAAGGTGAGGTCGGATGCTCGACCTCCTTGATTGACCGATCGGGTCAGTGGACTCAACATGTCCTTCCTGATTCGCGAATCCAACTCTTCTTCGTGCTCCGATAGCTGTCTCGAGCTGCCCTTGTATTTGGGCGCAGAGGGACGTGTTGTGGTCCCCGCTTCGCCTTGACCTTGACCTTCAGCTCGACCTTCCATGTTGCTCGGAGATTCGACCGTGGACTTGGGATTTGGAAAGAAGGACTCGGAAAGGTGGTACAAGTTGATTGCTTTTCTCAGCTTTTGATCCTTTGTGAATTGTGAACGCCTCTTCCACCGCTTCAGACGCTTCTTCTCTTCGGCTGCTTGCGCTTCAAGTCGGTACGCTTCTCTCTGCGAGAGGATGTTGGTGTTGGTCGCCGAGGCATCGCCGGGAGATTGGGTATGATGAGCAGTGCTTGTGCTCAGAGAGCGATGGGATGCGCAACTTGTGGAGACAGTGCGCGAGGCAGCTCGTAGCCCGCGAAAGGTTGCTGGAATGGACGACATGCTTGCGCACGTCGAGCCGAGCAAGCGGGACGGGCTTGAGAATATAGCAGCGACACTACTGCTGAGACTCGACTGGTCTCCAAGAGGGGATGTGCTACGCGCTTGCAGAACGAATCGAGCGAAGGAATGGTGTTTATACGCGAAAAGGATTGGAGAGCTTTGCGCAGTGGTTGCTGTACAAAGCAGTGTGGTGAGGGGGTGTAGGCGTAATTAGCAACAGAAAGAGTAGCAACTCAGCGCTGGGACCTCAAGCCGTTCCACACCCGCCGAACGCTGCTTCAATCACGAATCACGATTTTGACGCTTTTGAGAAGATGCATGGCATGCATGGCATGCATGGAGGATGGCTATAGCTAGGCGATCAACGGGAGCACGCCTGCTGAGAGGGCGCGCGCAGTGGAAGCTCTGGAGTGCGTGGCCACGTGTCGCGTCGCGCCAGCACCCCGCTCATCAGTGCTCAGTCTTGAGTGCGCCACGCCAGAGCCCACGCATGCACGGTCGCGGGGGGCTGCTGCTGTACCGCTACTCAAGGTGTCGCGGGCGCACGGTCATTCAAGATTCTGCTGATGCGACTCCATGAGCATGCAACGCGCGCTTCCTATGCACATGTATAGCTGCGACTTGGTAGTTTGAGTGTAGGGCGATCACTTGCAACTTGCCAATCATCCCACACCAACTCACCGCGCCGACCTGCTCTCTTCTGTTCTGTCTTACATCTGCGGCGCAGTCGTCTTGCACTTTTCGACAGTCGGCGGCTAGTGAGCTTTACGTGCGGTCCAAGAAGGAGCGTGACACGGGCTTCCTCGTCTCCTCGTTCTGAGAAGAAGCTCATTAGGTACCAAGATCGACGCAGATCAAGCTCGTGTTCGCTGGCTGGTAGCGCCCAATTGCTGCACAAAAGACCTCCCTCGAGAACACGGAGGCCCAGTATGCCGATGACGTTGGATATCGAGCGCAAGCTCTTTGCGCGATCCGATCGGGTCAAATCTGTCGACTTTCACCCCACCGAGCCATGGGTCGTGACAGGTCTGTACAGCGGAGCAGTGCACATTCATAATTACACTACAGGTAGCATAGTCAAGACTTTTGAAGTTGCCGAAGTGCCAGTCCGTTGCGTACGCTTCATAGCTCGCAAGAGCTGGTTCATTGCTGGATCGGACGACTTCCAGCTCAGAGTCTTCAATTACAACACGCACGAAAAGGTGACGAGCTTCGAAGCGCACCCGGACTATATCAGGAGCTTGGCAGTGCATCCTACTGGACCTTATGTCCTGACAGGAAGCGACGATATGACCATCCGGATGTGGGACTGGGAAAAGGGTTGGAGGCACGTTCAGGTGAGCGGAGAGTGGTGGTGTCAAGAGACGCGCGTATGCTAAAATCGACGCATGCCGAAACGTTTGTGCAGACTTTTGAGGGACATGCGCACTACATCATGGCGTTGGCTTTCAATCCCAAGGACAGCAACAGCTTTGCATCTGCTTGCTTGGACCACACGGTCAAGTTCTGGACGCTGGGTTCCAGCACTGCCAACTTCACATTAGAGGCGCATGCCCGCGGCGTCAACTACGTCGACTACTACCACGGAGGTGACAAACCATACGTGATCACAGTCAGCGACGACAGGACGGTCAAAATTTGGGACTACATTTCCAAATCTTGCGTTCAGACGCTCGAGGGTCACGTGTCCAACGTCTCCTTTGCCGTTTTTCACCCCTCCCTGCCGCTGATCGTGTCCGGTTCGGAAGATGGGACTGTCAAACTCTGGCACAGCAATACGTACCGGCTCGAGACTACGTTGGACTACGGCTTGGAACGCGTTTGGTCCATCGCTTACAAGAAGACGGGCAATGATGTTGCACTGGGCTACGACGAAGGCGTCGTCGTCGTCAAGCTCGGCAAGGAGGAGCCGAGCGTCAGCATGGACGGTAGTGGCAAGGTTGTCTGGGTCAAAGGCGCTGATGTGCTGAGCGCCAATTTGGGCACCAATGACTGTGAGTTGTAATCCCAGTCAGACCCGTCGCTACGTCGCGCTCACTGCTTTCCGTTCGCATGTGGGTAGATGCCGACGTGACGGACGGTCAACGCATCGCGGCCGGATCTCGCGAGATGGGCACTACCGAAGTCTACGCGCAGCTGATGCTGCACTCTCCGAACGGCAGATTTGTGACTGTCTGCGGTGATGGCGAGTACATCATCTACACTGCTTTGGCCTGGCGCAACAAGGCGTTTGGCTCTGGCTTGGGATTCGCTTGGTCGCACGACAGCAACACGTACGCCGTTAGGGAGAGCAGCACCTCGCTAAAGGTATTCAGAAATTTCAAGGAGAGACCTGGACTCATCAGTCCTGGATACTCATTTGAGGATGTCAAAGGCGGGGCTCTTCTGGGATTGCTGGGCAATGGATTTGTGTGCTTCTACGACTGGGACACTGGCGCGCTGGTCAGGCGCATTGACGTCGATGCGAAGAACGTGAGTCATTACATGTGTACTTTCAGGCGCTTGCGTGAGCTAACACGAGGCGAGCTTCCGCGTGCAATCAGCTCTACTGGTCCACCACCAATGAGCTCGTCGCCATTGCTGGCGAAGAGTCATTCTACGTTCTTCGGTTCGATCGTGAGCCTTATCAGACGTACCTCGATTCCGGCGCTCCTGTCGAGGATGATGGCGTAGAGGATGCGTTTGATGTCATCACCGAGATTCCCGAAGTGTGAGCGTACCATACTCAGGGTGGCCTCACTAATCGACAGACACTGATTCTTGCTCTCCTGATCGGCGATGCAGCATTCGCACGGCCAAATGGACTGGCGAATGCTTGCTGTATACCAATGGCCAAAACCGCATCCAATACTTGGTCGGCGAGCACACTTACACCATCAACCATTCTGACCAGTGAGTGTTTCTGCGACCAGATGCATCAGCAAAGACGTGCACTGACATTTCGACGAGCGCGTCTGAGCGCAGAGAGCTCTACTTGCTCGGCTACCTGCCCCAACATGGACGGGTGTATCTTGTGGACAAGGATGTCAACTTCTTTAGCTACGCCTTGTCATTGGCCGTCGTGGAGTATCAGACCGCTATTTTGCGACAGGACCTTGATGGAGCTAAGGAGATCCTTGAGAGGGTACCCTCTGAGCAACGCAACCGCATTGCTCGCTTCTTGGAAGCTCAAGGTGAGATGTCCGTCTTACGCACGGGACATTGGGAGGGGTGATATCTGACCTTGTTAGCCCGTCTTGCCCATCTAGAATTGCGTCAACTGGCCTTGGAAGTCTCCACAGATCCAGATCATCGATTCGACCTGGCAGTAGCACTGGACGACTTTGAGACTGCGCTCGATATTGCGCGAACCGGACCTGCTGCGGGCTCAGAGCCTCGTTGGCGGACCATTGGCGACAAGGCCTTGGCTCGTTGGAACGTGACTCTCGCAAGGGAATGTTTCGAAAAAGCAAACGATTTCAGCTCACTGTTGCTGTTGGACACTTCGACTGGCAACAGGCAAGGACTGCAGACGCTGGCGTCGGATGCGAGGGGAAAGGGAAGCAGCAACATTGCGTTTGCCGCTTTGCTATCTGTTGGGGATGCGCAAGGGTGTGTGGACATTCTGGAAGAGACGGGAAGGTCGGCTGAAGCGGCGCTGTTTGCGAGAACGTATGCGCCCAGCAAGGTTCATGCTTCTGTCAATAGCTGGAGAGCTGAGCTGAATGCGACCAAGAGGACCAAGCAGAGCGCTATTGCCGCTTCCCTAGCAGATCCCGTCTCCAATCCGGAAGCTTTTGAAGAGGGCTGGGAAGCTGCGCTTGCCAAAGGTGAGCGATCATTGCTTGCCGAGTCTAGGTATGCCATCTGTGATGCTGACAAGATTCACCCTTGCGCCGTCGCTTTCGTAGAGGAAGAGCTGCTCGCGGCCCTTCCTTTCAGAAGAGCAACGGAGGCGGAGCCCCCAGTAGTCGTGCCTGCGCAGGTCGCCTCTACGAACGGGCCCAACGGGGTCGTGTAGTGAGGCATGTTCCGAGTGCTGAGTGACTCACCTCCAAATGATCATGCAATGTACAGCAGAAACTTTAGCAAACTATGCTTGATACTGCTTCTGTGCTCACACTACACGCATGCAAGCGGATGATTGTGATTGAGCGTTTCCATACGCAGGCACGCGTGAGAAGTGTGAGAGTGCATATGATAGAGTAGCATCGGACGTTTTAGTAATGATGAGAATGCTAGCATCGCAAAGTGCGCGTGCCAGAGAGCGTCAGCGTAACGTCTGCTCGTGATGTCTGCTAGTAGGAATTGTTAGATTGCGGCACGAGTCGGACCCTTAGAACCCTCTGCGAGATGAGCGAGCCAAACTAGAGCTAAATTCTGCGCCCTTTGATGATCTCGGACGCGAGCTGCCAGGTACGCGACTAGTATTGGCGGGCGTGCCGACTGCTGAGCCTTGAGCAGAGCTCAGACTGAGCTGAGCATTGCTAGATTGCGTGCGCAGCGATGGTAAACCAATGTTGAGTCCAGTAGTGAGGAAGCTCAAAGGGCCCGAAGCGCCGCTCGAGCTGACTTGTCTTGCTGCTCGGCCGACTTCTTGAGCGGCCGAAGACGCCTTGGGTCCAGCGCTCGCCGTCGAGGCCGAGGATTCTGAGGGAGCGGGCGAATAGTCGAGATCCTCTACTCTCAAACCCCTGGCGGTGGCGCTCGTGTGCGAAGTTTGAGCTTGCAGCGCAAGAGTCGAAGGAGTGATCAATCGTCCCATTGGCGGTGGACGATGGTTTGCCGCGCTGCTATCCCTGTTGCCATCGTCAAGGTAGGTGGATCGGATGGACGAGTCTGACAACCCTCGGGGTCGCAGTGGTCTCTCTGGGATGAAGCCATCACGAATAGAAATTTCGTCGTCGTCCACAATCCTAGAGAGGGGCCGGCCACCTCCGCTACTGGTCTGATCCAGACCTCTCAGATGAAGGTTGCGTAACGGAGGACCGTGTGTGCCGATTTGGCTGGCGACGATACTGGATGGTCGCTCTCCGCTCGCATCGCGCCGATCGACAATGTCCCAGCCCTCACTAGACGGCATCGAGCCCGCAAACAGTCCCGAGAGATTTCGACTTTGTGTACGGGACAGAGAGCCTCGACCTCGAGCCAGCGCAGGTCGTGGGCCGGCTTGCAGAGTGGCTCCGGGCGGCGCGGCAATGTCGGAAGGTGACGACGCGAGGGGTACGTCTCGCGTCAGAGGACTGGACGGTTTACTGGTGGATGCCGAGTGCAGACCTTTGACCTCTACGGGCGCTGTACCAGAGGTAATGGGCGCGCGAGGAGCCATACCTCCGCGGCTTGGTGGTCGACCTAGCACGGTAGGGGCTCGAGCAGCTAAAGGCTTTGAGGACGAGGCGTTGGTGACTGTCTTGTCGCTCAGAGACACGCTGGGCAGGGCAGTAGAGCCCGTGCTCGTGACTGGAGCCAGACCACTAGCAGGACCAGCAGGACCATTTGGCCCACCCGAGAACAGTCTGCCGATCCAAGCACCCACCCCTTTATCCTCTGCAGTGGCAGCGCCAAGCTGTTCTTGAAGTATGCGAGCAGCATTCTGCGGCTGCAGGTGAACTTCATTGACCGCGTTTCTCAGTCGAGCCATCTCGGTGAAGAGATCTCGGAACAATTTGAGGAGGACAAAGAACTCTTTTCGTGCTAGCAAGGATTCGCTGTCTCGATCCCTAGCGCCGGAGTCCATTGACGACGCATCGTCCTTGCCATTTGCGTTACCCCTAGCTTCCGCTTCTATCAGCTTGCGGAAATGATCGCGCAATCCCTCGACCTCGCGCAGAATACCGTTCACTGTAGTGCGTGCGAGGTGCCCAACGTCGCCTTTGAGATGTTGGCGCTGCAGCCGACGCGCGAGCGTGTCCACGTCGGCGGAGGACAGGCGGGTGAAGATGCGCTGGATGTGGTCGAGCAGCACAGACAATTGCGCTGTGCGATTATCCCGAGTCTTCGGCGGATCGATGGTAGCGCCTGCCTCGTCCGCGGCAAGACCAAAGTCGACCATGGTAGTGTCGGTCGCAACGCTGCCGATGGCGCTAGCGCCGGATACCTTGCGCTGCATGTTAGCGTTTCTCACGTCTGCGCCGAGATGGGCGTGGGATTCGGCTGTCACCGACGACGAGAAGAAGGGCGACCGACCTTCCATCTGCCGAGGGCTTCCGACCCGCTCATTTGTGCTCGCAGTTCGGATAGACGAGCGCGAAGAGGATCTGACAGCTGATGGCCTCTGCAATGTCTTTGGCGCCGGGGCGATGATCTCATCAGCGAGAGTGCGTCGGCCCGGCTCTCCTTGGAGCTCTGATAGGTCCATCGTAGTGTCTACCGTTGACTTTTCAGCTCTGCGCGATGGGCTGCCTTCCTTCTCGATGTCTCCGTACTTTGGTGCACGGGCGTCCAGAGAGCTGCTCTTGGATTGTGGGCTGAAGGAGTGGCCACCATTGACCTCAGCGATGGGACTGTGCAATGCTTGATCGCGAAGGATGTGCACCTCTTCATTGGCTGCATTGAGCGACGTCTTGAGCTCGCCATTGTTCCTGCGAAGCGCTTCGTTCTCGGTGATGAGCGACTCGATCACAGACACTGCCTCGTCGTTCGATCCACTTGCATTTGGCTGCGTCACGAGAAGCGCTTTCAACCGTGTCAGTTCCAAACAATCTCTAAAAGCCGTGGGCTTGAGTGGCACTCACCCGCAAGGTGGCGATGCTAGCTCGAAGCCGTTCTTGCGCACGAGCCCAGTCTCTCGCAGGCATGGAAGCGCTTCTTCCGGACTCGCGATCCTTCTGCGCTTGTGTAACGTCCGCCTCAAGCTTGGCCGCCCTTAGCGTCTCTCCGAGCTCGGCCGTCTTGGCTCCGGCTTTGCGAGCGCGCACTTCGGCTGCATCCGCTCGTTTGCGCTCGGCTGCTAGCTCTTGCTTGAGATCATCCATCTCAGCGTGCAGACGAGTAGATTGAGCTTCGAGCGTGTCTAAGATCGAACTCGAAAGATCAGCCTCGGGCCCTTAGACTTGCATCGCAGCACTCACTTAATTTCACGCTGCGCAGACGTAGCTTGCCCACTTCTGCTCGCACGTCGTCCAGCTCCGCAAGCAGAGCGCGGTTGCCCGAATCGGACGCTTCCAGATTGAGGTTGCATTGCTTGAGCTCTCGCTCCAACTTTGCCGATTCTCGAATACTGTTGCTCATTCTAGACATGACCTTCTCCATCTGTTGCGAGTGAGCGGCCTTGAGGGAGGCGATGGAGGAAGACAGTGCATCTTTGTCCCTGAGTAGTGCTTGACCAATCTCTGCTGCTAGTCTGAGATCGCTCTCCATATCGGCCCACTCTACCGCTGCTCGGCGCCCTCTGTCGCATCCACCATCTCCTATTTCGCAGCAGCACGCCACTCTGACCTGGACACGCAACCGCGCGGCCGTGCTGCCGGTAGTGATGATGCTAGCCGCGTCGTCTCCGAGCGCACCGACTGGCTCGAGAGTGCGCGGATCATAGATGCTGGACACATCGTTCGCTTCGCTATACACGCTCGCAGGTCGCCCACCTGTGCCATCCGCATGAAGACCATCACCAGACCCGCTGGCGGTCATCAAGTGCCTGCTCCTCCTCCTGCGCTCGTTTCTGAACTGCCCGATGATGGCTGTAAATTCTTCGATGGTACGCGTTTGTCTCACGCTATCTTCCAGCGCTTCCATTTCCCTCTCATGCTCGACGGCGTCGACCTCTGATTCGTCCACATCTGATCCTCCTCGCGAAGAGCCGGCATCTAGTGACAGGCGGCTCGGGTAAGGCTGATCCTCCGGTGCTATGTTTGGTGAGAGCGTGTGACGGCCGATCGCGCTCGGTCCTGCTTGAGCAGAGGGAAACGCGCCACGCTTGGCGTGCTGTGTATTCGGCGTCGAAGTATAATTTGCCATGATGGGCGACCGCCTGAGGTGTCCGGAATGCCCGAGCACCGATGCGGCTTCGTCGATTTCTGATGCCTGGACTACAGCCTTTGGCTGACTAGTGCTTCTTTGGCTCGACAAATCGTGCCAGTGCTAGGCATCAAGCGATGATAACAATGATAGTGTAGATGGTGGATGTGTTGGTGTAAGTGTCTTGATGCCAGTTCAGAGAGTGACGAAAGCAAGGCATGGGCCATGAAGCGATCGAGGAGCCCTCGTCAGCGTTCGGCTACGCTGCTGGCATGAATGGGATTGTCGCTGTGAGTGGGACAAGTGGGGTGGAAGTGTTGAAGTTGAAGAGGCCGGTTGAAATCGTGTGTACTGCTGCGCTGCTGCTCGATACTTGGCGTTGGCAGCAGCAGTAGGCTGAGACCCACTGATGTGATCTCTGCGAGAGAGTAGGGAGTCAAAGTATATGTAAAGTCGCGAGTGCGATGTGTATACCGGCATATGTGTCTTGATGATGTCTCAGCTGCTGCAGGGATGCTGTGGTGTTCTTGCAACGCACATATATAGTCAACGACTGCTGTCCAGTGTCCAGAGCATGGATGCTGTAGCTGCTGCTGCTGTTGCCATGTATATGAGATCTCGATTCTGCTGATTCCTATGAATCGTGAATATAACGATGGAATTAAGCTAGCCCCGGCGGGCCGCGCCATCTTTATGTGTCTCAAAGCAACAAACACGCGCTCTATAATCGCGTACTGTATAGCGGCCGCGGCGGCCAAAAGCTCTGCCCGACGAGGCTCCGCGCCCACACACGTTGGATTGCGCTATAGTGCCCCTGTTTCGATCACACGCATCGCGCGGATGCCAATCGTGAATTCACAATCATCACATGAATCACGAATTATGAATCTGACTTGCTGCTTGGTCCGCGGATGAGCCAGCCGTCCGCGTCGCATTTGGAATCGCACCCGCCGCGCTGCATAGTGCTGCAATTCCTTCAGCTTCACAATCGATCAACTTGGCAGAGGCCCGTATTGCCTTTTCGCCCATTCCCGAGGTAATACTCAGACTACAGCAATAACAAATGGTGGTCCAGCTCCAAATGTACTCGCTGGAAGGATAGCAAGGAGTCGAGGAGCTTCGCTGGATCCACCCATGCTTGACTTGGAGATGCTGCAAAACAGCACCAGCATACTCCTGCATTTGGATTCGTGATTGCCAGCGCAAGCCTGGGTACCACGCCGGAACGTCAATCGTGATGGACATATAAAGCACTTGATCGCCAGCACAGGGGTATGATGGCTTAGGCTGCGGAACAACTTGATGCTGCGACAACCTTCTTGCGGTCCGATTGCAGTCACGAGAATTCGTAGACGTACGCGAGCGACACTGCGGGTGGCTCCTTCAAGCTGCGAGGAAGCAGTCCTGCACACCGCCTTGCGCAACACTATCACCCTTTAGCTGATACACCAGACACTGATAGCAGCGTTCAGGATTTGCTGAGTCGTCCAAGCACATCAATTCACTACAGCGCTCTGGGAGACCGAGAACCAGCATACGCGGGTATAGCAAGCAACGCACCATCTGCATGCAACTTGCTCCTGATCCAAACGCAGCAACGATCCCCCAGCAGCGAGCAGCTTGTGCATCAGACACAGCCTTCACCATGCGCAAGACAGCAACATTACTCGGGTCCCTCGCTAGCGGCAAAGCTGCATCCCAGCCCTTCGGTCGCACACTGGCTTCGACTCAACGAGGGGCCAAGTGTTTGGCGCGATTGGCCCCGCCCGTCTCCAATCGGCCGTTCTATCCCACGCCCAACCCGTCTAGCATACCCGGTTTGCTGCGAAATCTGCGCGCAAACAAAAGGCCTCAAGCTCGCTTCCTCAGTAGCTCGCCCGGCTCAGCTGTAGCCGACGAGAGTGCAGCAGACATCAAAGCAAGAGCAGCCTGGATCGCCGAATTCAGGGACAAAGAATTGCCGAAGGGTGAGAGAGCTTTGCTTGCTGCGTTTGCCCCAGGCCGATGCCCGGATCAGCGCTAAAGCGCTGCCTCTGCTCCATCTGGGCTCGCTTGCTGATCGTATGTCTCCCTTGGCAGACTTCTTGACCACCACGTTCACCAGAGCGAGTGGACCTGGCGGGCAGAACGTCAACAAGCGTGAGCGGCAACCTTTCGCGCCATCCGCGTAGGGGCTTGATTTTGCTCAAATGAAGTTGGACTCTGATGCGCACATTGCACTCTGACGTATCTTGCATAGTCAGCACAAAAGCCAACATTCGGCTAGACCTGAACAAGCTCAAGCAAGGTGTGCACGGATTTGAGCCGCCACCCAGTGCCGTCATCAAGCTGCTCGCTCGCAGATCTGTGAGCAAAGCTGCTCGACTGCCCTCTTGTGAGCGCGTAGTGCATCTCCGGAAAGCCATGCTGACGCCTTTTCCTGACCTCGTGCCTAATGGTGACATCGACCAGCCTTTCTACGTGGCTTCATCTCATTCTTTGCTCGTCACTAGCTCTCAGGAAAGATCACAAGCTTCCAATGAGCAAGATGCGCTTCGCAAGGTGCGTCCCCGCAAACGGTTCTCTCTTCTTCCAGAGCGCAGTCTTTGCGCTTCAGGGACCGCGTATGCTGACCATCACCGCAATCTTTATGATGGCCACCCACAGCTGCACGCTCACCTGGTCGAGACGCTCTCTGCGGATATTCCTGGAGAAACTTCAGATCAGCAGAAGGAAAGGGTCAAGAGGTTGCAAGAAAGCGATGCGAGACGCAAAAAGATGGCCAAGCAGAAGAGGGGCGATGTCAAGAGCGGAAGAAAATCTGGCAAAGCCGTCGTTTGGGACTGAGACGACGATCGAGAGCAGTGCCCTAACCCTTTGGACAGCACGCAAGTTTCTTGCAAAGCATCTTGGATGGGACGGCACATCCGGGCAGCAAAGAATGTTCCCTTCGTCAACGTATGGACAAGTCTCTCGCACCTGGTCCTCAATACTCGATGTTGCTTCAGCCCGATCAGACAGCGAGCGATCAAGCGACAAGCGAAGTCAACAAACGACATTGCATTGCATGGTGAGCATTGGTTGGTTATCCAGCCTTGCCACGAGGAGGCTCTCACCCAAAGGCCATAGGGGGTAAATGTACGTGAGGAAAATAGCGAGAAACGGGAAAATAGAGGGGGGGCAGCGAGAGGGGGAGCAAGCGAGTGGGGGGCAAAGAAGGGGGCCTGGTCGACGTCGTAATGGAGTCCTTGGTGATGGTGGCGAAGTTTGTCCATTATCGTCGAGACAGACGTCGATGGCGGCGAAGTGGACTGCTGATGATGTGGATGTGGCGACGAGATGCATGGGCTCACGTTTGCTTTCCAACGTGTGGTACAGGACCTTTTCGCCTACGTCGCGCATGGCAACTAAGAAGAGCTTCTTTTCATCCTGTTCGTCTACCCGGTGCCGCGGGTGGCCAGTCCGCGTCATCGTGCAAGACGAAGATGAAGCACCTTGTCACCACTCTTCCTGCTTTCTTAGTGGCGATGAGGAGCTGGAACTGGAACTTGAGCTTTGCCCTTCTTGATCGCGTTGCGGCGCTGAAGTCCGTCGGTGGGCTTGGACTTCCCGCGCTGCTCATTGCTGCCGCGTGCTGGAGCTGGCAAGGCCGATTGCTCGCTTGCACTGAGTGTTGGCGTGCCGAATGGGCTGATCGGAACGATTGGCGAAGCTGGGCTTGGCGAAGTGCTTGCGCAGTCGGTCCACCACGCTCGAAGGTCTCCGTTGACAGTCTGTCGAGCACGGGTTGATGGTGAAGGCGAAGAAGGCGAGGGCAGCTTGGGAACGTCCAAGTTCGAGGTCGAAGGAGCTGCACCAAGAAGCCACCAGGCGGTGGCGTTGTCGAGGTGAAACTTTGGCGAAGAGTCCGTCGCCGTCTTCAAGCTAATGGCTGGCGAAACATTGCGTTGCTTGACAGAATTGTCGATGGGGAACGCGAATCCCACTGGAGCAAAGCAGCGTCTCATGATGAGCAAGTAAAGTTTGGGATGTGTCCGAGAAGCAGAGGAGAAGGAGCTGGTAGCGGATCGCGGGAAAGCTATTGCTAAGAGCAGAATCAATCGAGTTGAGTGAAGGAAGGGAAAGAAGGGGCGAGCGAGGGTGGGTGGGGAGACCTTTTGAGCTTTCTGGGGGCGCATCTTTCGCCCTCACGACGCAAGTGTGGTCTACACGCTCGCGGCCCCTTGACCCAACTCGGAAGGAGCGCTCGATTAGGCAGCCAGTGGATCAGCAAGCAATCAACATCTTTACTGGAGATGTTCAAAACGCCCTACTCATCGCATGCAACCGACCCACTTCTAACGACTCTTGGCCATGTTGGCCTTGTCTTGGCCTAGCGAGGAGGCACTTGCGCTCAGGTTTGCCGGCCTAGAGGTCTAGCATCGTCGCCGGAACCTTGCGCGCGCATCTGCACGGCGCGCGTTACAGAACTTTGCTCATATACCTCAAGCCCTTGGTCACATGCTACAGGGAAGGCTTTGTGGAGTCAGAGTGCATATGTCTTCAGCGCACATTTTCTTCAGCCCGTTGCTTCGAGACCGGTACCTGTTGTACTTGGAGACTCGAATTCACGATCAAACGGCCTCGATAAGTCAGAAACTTAAGTGGGAACAATCCTTCCACTCAAGACTCACTGCATCCTACGCCGAGATGAACGGACCTCCTCTTCACTGCCCCACCGTCCATTCTTGGCCCATGTCGCGCCACGCAGGCATGCTCATCGGGTCACGCGCCGCTTCTGCTTGCTTTAGCGCCGGCCATCGACCACCTCCCGCCTTCGTCAGGCACATCACGCGCCATCAAGCAGCTTTAAGCATGCAATCAGCCAACCCCGATGTGAGACAAGAATCGTTGAGGAGCTTGTCATTCAGACCGCGCTCTACTAGACACTGGCCTAGGCAATGACCGCGCAATTTGTGATGTTCGTCCTCCGCAAAAGTGGATCTTCGCATGTAGCCAATTCAGGCGGACTCGTCACGAGTACGTACGCCCGGCTGACCGTTTGCCGGGCCGCAACGCTCTCAGCGCTTGCTACATGTAACAGCCTTTGGATGGATTCGAAATCTCACTAGCAGCACACGGCAAAGGGCATAGGCGGTTCGTGGCCCATATGTACCGAAACGGGTGCGCAACATCTTCGTCTGCAGGGCCTTGGTGCGCAACATCTTCGTCTGCAGGGCCTTGGTGCGCACCAGCATACATCAATCGCAGGGCGTCTTGACGAATCGAGTTGCCCAGCGAGACGGGTGCCCTCGATCGTTGGCAGCGATAACGTCTCCGTCCTTGGTCAAATCAGGCGTTTGAATGTTTCGCTGGTCTCTGCGTCGGAACAAGGCTCCGTGGGATTGTTACCTCATGAGCCCCGCCGATTCTCCACTTAGACTAGAACCAACGGTCCTTCGCCAAAGCGCACACACCGCCCTCCCATGCGTAGCGAAGGGCAATGTGAGCGCTTCGTGCGAAGGACCGCATCATTGGTGGCTTGTGCCTGTGGCATGTGATACAGGGAGATCTGGGCCTCTCGCCTACAAGAGCCACGTGCGTATCACGCGCCAGGCATTATGCGAGTGGGTTCCTTGCTCTGGTGCGCCTAGGACGATCATTCGAGCGGGTTCTCCAACCGGGAAGCCAGATGCAATTGGGCTTCAACATCGATTCAATCACGAATGAAGAAGCATCGAGCTTCGGGGGATCAGGACCCACGGTTGTTGTCAAAGTCATGCAGTGTGCATCCATCTGCTGTGTCGGACCCACTCCACTTTGATACTGACAAGCGCAGCTTCTGACTCGTCTGGAGCAACCTGAATGAGTACATACCGCTTCTGCTCCTGGCGCGCGATCTCGGTAGTGATGCTGTTCTGTCGATGCATGTGCACTGCCACGACCTCGCGGGCGAGAGAGATTCGTTCAACGCTGAGTGGCGCGAGCAGGTACACGTTCATCAGTTCACGTTGGATCAACGTCAATCATGAAGACAAGCAACATGTGCATGATGGCGTGAAATGTCCAGTGAAATCACGAATCGTTCATACAGGCGCAAAATAATGCCTGCCCAACTCACAGACTTGCTGTAGGGATAGACCTCTGCTGCACGACTGTGACTCGTATCCCGCTGCTGCTCCACGCCAAGACCTGCGCGCTACGGCGAAATGAGCGAAGGTGCAGCGGTACGGTACAGACTCGCGCTTATTCGGGTGGCAGTCACAGTCATGACTCGAGTGTTGAGTCAAGTGCATCGTCGATGCAAGGCGCTTGATGCTACACAGCTCACGCAGCTTGCTGATGATGGGTTCACAGCCTCTCACTACACGCACGACTAGCTCCATATGAGCATGAGCGAGTGATTTGGCGTTCAATCCGAGTGGGTCGCGAAGAATCTTCTCTAGGCTACACTACCACAAGTACCTTTATCCTTCGCATTCACGCGTTGCGACTCAGTGAGTGACGAAGCGGGGTCAACTTTTTTCCTTTCCGCAGAGCCAGCAGGACCAACGACCTCCTCGCTGCGGCGGCATGGAAGGTCGAAACGAAGGTGGTGCGGTGCGACCCGACGCCCATGACAGCTGTGCTGATGCACGTCGACACAGCCTTGTGGACAGATCCGCACTAATCGTGATTCGTGATTGTATGTAGTTGCCCATCCATGCAGCATGACGATTCAGTGATTCAGACACGAGCAATTAGGAGGCCGGATCGGCGAGTGGAAAGTAGAGGCTGCAAATCGGGTCTGGTGCGAGTCAAGAGTCAAGTGGCCTCATCTCCCTCTTGCCAAATATATAACCGCGCTCGGTCCACGTTGTCGCTGACCGCATTCCTGTCCAACTGACCATCGCGTCCTACGTCCTCCTACCACTTCCTGACACAAAGATGAGGGGCATCCTCATTTCCATCATCGCATTTACAGCGGCTGCGTTTGCAGCGCCGCTGAATGAAGGCTTGTCCAAGCAACATGTGCTCGATTCAGATACACGAGCTTTTGTGCAGTCCGTTCTGGACCACTTCAATGTTCCTGGCGCCGCCATGGCGATTGTCACACCAGCAGGTAGCGGCATTGAATACTTTGGGGTAAAGGACCTTGAAGGCAACCCTATTACCGAATCCACCTACTACGCCATCGCGTCCAACTCGAAGTGGGTCACCGCTCTTGCCATAGCTACCTTTGAGTCATGGAAAAATGTGACTGTGCCATCAACTGGGCAGCTGTTCAGCTTCGAGACGCGCTTAAAAGATATTTTTCTGGACGACTGGAACATGCAGGACGCCACTGCCACGGAGCAAGCGACGGTGGCCGATCTGCTCACGATGAGGACCGGTGTCCCGAAACACGACTTTTACATCCGCAAGAATCAATCTTCACTGGATGCCATTAGAGCGCTGGGCCAGCTCAAGCCATCGCATCCCTTTCGCGAACGCTACCAATATGCAACCAGTCACTATGGCGCAGCAGCTGCGCTCTTCCCTGCGCTCCTCAATCAGACCTTGGACGACTTCCTCGAACAACATTTCTGGGCTCCTCTTGGCATCCAAGCGTATACCAACGCCACTCAGCTGAGAGCAGACGATGTGGACATCGGCGCGGGCTTCAATACTGTCGCAAGCAACGGCACCCAATGTGCGCTGGACCTTTCCGCAAACAAGTCATACGCATCGTCCTCAGCTTGCCTTGGACGTACGGAGGTGTTTGACTTCTGGACAGAGACTAGTGCAATTGAGCAAGATGGCGGAGGATCGGTCATCTTCACACCCAAAGACATGGTGAGCGTGGCTGGCTTGAGCGATGCGTAGCGACTATCTTCTGACGTGCGCCTCGCTGCCCCCGTTGCAGCTCAAATGGGCGCACGAGAGCATCGATCCCAAGGTCATTCCAGAGGAAGCCCTGGATCAGGCAATACATCACGAGTCGCAACCCGTGGCTGGGCCAATCACTTACGGGTTTGGCGTGTCTAAAGCTGAGACTCCAGACGGCGAGCTCCTGTTCCATGGTGGCGCATTGCCCGGACATAACAGCAACTTTCTGCGCAACATCGAAAAGGGCATCGCTATTTTCACCATGACAAACGCAGACCCGATCGGATTCACTCTTGCGGACTTGTTGAATGCGGAAATTTATACAAGATTGATAGGAAAGCCCCCCAAAGATCTGATCAAGACGTTCGAGAAGAGCTTGGCGGTGGTGATACCGCCCGGACAACTCCCGCCGCCCAACCCAGTGCCTCCTACTCCTGATCAGGGCGACAACTTGGTAGGCGCGGTGCTCACACATCCTGCGTATCCAGAAATCCGCCTTCAGCCGCTCAACCTGACCGGATGCACTGGTCTCGAATCTGCAGGCATTCCCGCAGACTTCATTCAGATCGATGTGACGACCGTTTCGCCCATCAACGTGAGCTCCAGCAACAAGGCATTCTACGCTCAATGGAACGGATCCTTCACTTCGCACATCGTCCTTACCCACTTTGACGGACCGCATTACAATTACACTATGCTGCTCACCTTCGATAAGCAGGGGGAGCACGACGAGGATGCGCTCAACACTCGAGAACGTCGAGACCCCGATGCTTTCTTGATCCAAGCTCGCCAAAGTGCGGCGAATGGCGACAAACCTCCGCCAGTAAAGTCGAGATGTCCCAGCAAGTACACCGCCAAATTCTTTGGACAAGGTCCGGCCGTCTTTACTGCAGATGGCATCGGTTTCTTTGGCGCATTTTGGGCGGGCGATGATCCTTCCATTGCGGTTGCGCCGGTAACTGAAAATGTTCGGCAAGAAGCCATCGCTTTCTTCGGCCGTTGAGCCAGCTCGACCCGCTCAGCGGATCGTCTGTGTAATTATCACCTCGTGCTGCGTCTATTGCATGGCAATCGCAAATCCCCGTTGTGAAGTAGGGACTGTGGAAATTAGGGATTGTGAATCGCGAGGCTCGGCGCCCACCTTGGAGAGTACTTGGCCGGCTCGCTGTCCCCGGCTCTGCTTCGAGTTAAAGCGCTCCTGCATGGGTGTACGCACCGACCTCCAAAAAGCGGGGAGGGAAGCGTGCGGAGCTCGGAAGATTCACTCACTCCCACCGCCCACGACTGCTTTTGAATCCAGTGAAACGTTTGACTCGATCACGAATCCATCAATCAATGTGCTTGGAAATTCAACTTAGACTGTGCTCACGACTGCTGCTGCGTCTACACATTACAAATTGGAGTCCCAAGCGCTCCCCAAGGCTGTTGCCTACTGTGGCTGATGGAGTCTTCAGAGTTGAGCTGATTGCGAGCTGTGAGGGTGTTTGTCGCGCCGGGCAAGCCTCGGCTCAACACGTAGGCCCTTGGTACTCGGGCCCCTTGCGATTCAGATTGGATCCCTGCATGATGAGCTGTTCAGTAGTGCCTACTCGTAGCTTCGTGGCTTGCTATGCGGTTCCGAAAAAGCCAAATCTGGAATGGGTTCTGAACGAGCAGAAGAGGGTCGCGAGTCCACGGTAAGAAGGCGCGCAGAGAGATCGTTCGCCAGCAGCAAATCCGCTTGAGCAGCTCGCACAGATTCATCCATTACAAAATTTTCGTTCAACACCCATGCTCAAGATTAGGAACTCATCAATCAAAATCTTGAACTCTATCAAAAATGACTGACGATGGGCGGCCCGCACGCAGCGTGCAGGACGCAAGCGTTCACAAAAGTGTCACGTGTTTCTAAACACTCACCAGCAATTGATTCAAAATTCTTGTCGTCTATATAATCCAATACAACCCCGCGGCCAGTCTAGAACAGTTACACATTCGCAAGCTGAAACCGCAAAAGTAGCACCTTCGGCCGTCGGGAACCTCGAGTCTGGCATCAAACGCGCAATCACGCGGCCAGTAAGCGGGTCTTCAAGCGCCAGATCGTGCCGAATGTGGGGATTTCATTCAAATTACAGAATCACGACTTGAGACTCTAGACTCAAATATAATCTTGATGAATAAGAATACTGGAGCTTTGCTGCATGCATGCGCAGCGGGTGGGAGAAACGCAGGCTTGCGCTTTTGCTCCGCTGTTCGCTAATCGCGGCTAGCCGCATATATCTTAATGAGCCAGCCGCACGACGTACATGTAAGACCCGAGATCACTTTGACTGTCGCAGCGGCAGCAGCGACCGTTGCTTGGATCTCTTCTTGCGGTTATGAAGAACGCCAAACCCGCGGCCCCGATCCATTCCTGATTCATCCTGCTGATTGTGATTGCAATCGACACACTGAGTCGATTGCGCTGACCCCCATCCCGCAGCATCCCTTCAGCCAAAGCCGAGGTATATAGCGATAGACTTGGAACACGTACGACCGAGCACGCGGCCTGCCAGGCTCGCTCACCACTATAAGCGCGCTCTTTCCTAACTTCTGCTCGCTCTCCTTTCGCTCAAGACCTTGATACTTGGTCCTGGTCCATTCCACTTCAAGCCTTCGTCAAGCGCTTTCAGTCTAGAAGCGAAGTAGCCTATTGTGGCCACAATAAGCGTGAACGTCCTCTTTGGGACCGAACAATCACTCAAGCCCACCCGGACGCCTTCGGCAGTCACGGGGCCATTCACCATCACGTCTGACAATCCTGTGGCGCACACACCCCTTCTCTTTACACCATCACTGCTACTTTCCGCCTGCGATGTCAGGCTACACAGATCTTGCCAGCGGATCTGGCAGCGGTCGGCCGCTCCCGAGCGGTTCTTCTGCCCACTCTCACAGCTATTCTCAGTCGGTATCGCATCATGCGCCTCATACCTCAGTAAGCGGCGGATCTACACTTGGCGTCTCTCCCTTTGGACAGGGCGGTGGATTGTACGGACTTGGAGCTGCAGCTAGCCAACAGGAAAGCATGGTTTCAGGTTTGAGTGGCGCTGGACATAGCGAAGCTGGCAGCAATGGTCTTCCGGTTCCTCAATCGCAGCACAACTCCAGCCAATTGCTCATAGCTAGCATCGTCCAACGCCTTGTCAACAGGGTGAGGATCTGCGTGGGTACAGAGAGATATACTTCCCTACTGAACTCTTGTGCACTTCTATCCTTCAATACAGCTGCCATACAACTCTGGATGGAGGCTCGCATCTTTAGAGGAAGAGCAGCTTGTGCGGTCTTGCGTCGCGAACCTCGTAGACCTCAGTCAATATCAGCTCGCGAGCGTGGTCAAAGAGCTGCTTGCCGTTCTCGAGAACTTGAACAAGGTATGTGTGCGCATTAGACCTCCTACCTTTGACCTAGCTCCTGAATCGTCTTTCCTCGTTGCATCCCAGTCTGTCCAAGTGGCGCACGATGACAAAGTCAGCGTAGATGCGATGCAGTCGCAGCTGTTCATGCTGCAAGTCCTGCTTGCTTGCCTGGTCCACCACTGGCGCACTCAGGGCGGACCCGAGGATCCTACCCAGAGTGAGAGTACCAACCCAGCAACGGCCACGACAAGCTCACAATCGGCACATCAGCGCCGAGGATCGCTGGCACCCACCGATTCAAGATCGGCAGAGATAGCTGGCGTGGCCAAGGGGTGGAATGATCCTCCCCCGATGGAAGATGGCGTAGCAAAGCACATTCTCAGTCTGATGGTCACGTACCTACGGCAGAGCGTGGCGAAGGAGGAAGCCATCCAGACCGGCACTGGCGGCTCGGACCATTTGGAAGGCCCCCGCAGCAAATCAGATACCGGCTTGCGTACGGGACAGAGCGATAGAGCGCTGCGAGATGCCCAGCGCGGCTACATAGGCTCTACTCAGAGTGGCAAAGGCATCAGCTCTTGGGAGGAGCAAGATGGAAAGGACCGCGGAGGATCAGGAGGAGGCAGTGGACTAGGTAGCTCTGCCGCGGCTGCTGGCTCACTGGACTCTGACTGGACCAGCGGTTCGGGCTCCGACGTAGCCTCACTTTCAGTGCTGGGCCTCTTCAATGGAAAGGGCCTCTTCGTGCTCTACCCGACCTTTCCGCCCTCAAGAGCACCTTTTCAGCGTTCTCCGCACGTGCATCTCTATCAGAACCCCCAGCGGCGCGTTGTGCCTCAAGGGCAAAATGCGGACAAGGAACAGGACTTCTTTGCCTGGGGCGATCGGAGCGGGGAGTCGCTCGACAACGCCGTCGCGCTGACCAAGGGCATCTATCGCGCGGCGGGCCAGATTGTCTTCTATCTGAGTTCTAGTAACTGGCCGGTAGTCTTCGCGCGGTATCGCAACAGGGTGCAGTACCTCAGCACCACGGTAGAAGACTCGCCAAACACCGCTGAACTTCGCCTTCTCGAATGCAGCAATATGCAGCGTGCGCGGCTCAGCAACCTCATTCAGGAGCTTTGCACCACCTTCCTACATCTCAAGCGCACTGCTCAGCACACAATCGCTTTGGTCGTTCGCCGCGGTGTCTGGTCTTGGATACAGTATCACCCGGCCGAATTTGCGCATCTATTTGGAACGGGGCGGCGACTCGAAGGTGGTCCCGAGCTGCTGTTCGATCACATTGTGAACCTCACAGAGTCTTCCAGGAAGAAGCTTATCTTTTGGCCGGTGCTTACAGCGCTGCTCATTCTATGCCCCGACATTGTAAGCAAGGCTGCCATCGGAGAAGGCCGGAAACAGGGCAGTGTGGCGAAGAAGGTCAACTTCCTGGAAACTTTGCGCAAAAGCTTGCGAGTGAGCAAGCTGAGCGATATGGCTGCTATATGCTGTGTGGACGTTGTTCGAGCAGCATCCTGCACTCCACTGAGTGACGCCGGCCTGCGGCTCATCGTGCCGGATCTGGAGGCAGATCTCAGAGAAAAGCTGTTCGATCCTAGCCATCCGCCACTCAACAACAATCGTCAGATTGAGACTTCGATCATTGTCGAGGCGTTCGTGGCCTTCTTTCGATTGGATCCTCAAAAGACCCTCAAGACACTGGTGCCCGTGTGCCTGAGCAATTCTAGCCCCCAGCCCTTCAAGCTCGCGCTGATTCGCAGTTGCATTCAGATGGCCAGCGAGCGCAACAGACTTCCGTGGACTCCCGACGTCTCGCTACTGTATCCGCACATCAGCGCGCAAGCCCGCACGACCGCCAAGGACATCATCTTCAAGCTGCACAAGACGGACGTGGCAGCGACTCATGCAACGCAGCCGGCCCTCACTGGTAGCACAAGCAAGACAGACAAACGGTCTTTGCGAACGCTCGGAGCTTCGAAGAGCATTTCAGGAGCAGGCGTTGTGGACGAGAGTCAAGGCAGGATCGACGTACTGCAAGCGATACTGAAGCTTTGGTGCTTGGACATCAGAGCGATGTCCCACGGCCTCGACTATACAGGTTCAGCGACTCTTTCGGCGTTCGTTGGACCCGAAAATGTTGGCGACCACGAAGTCATATCGAGAGCGGCACTCAGCGTAGACAGTCCGCTTGCTCTCATTTACTTTCTCGGTCGAATCGCCCATACATCCGATCACATCCACCTTCACGAGCTGGCTCTTGATCTCATGGACATCTGCTCTCTCGGTCTCTACGATCCTGCCATCGTGGCGGTCGACTTCATGAAAACAACGCAACGGGCGCTCGTCTCGTGCACTTCGCTCTTTACCCGCGGTATTGCAGACCACCTTGCTCAAAGTGAATCGACAGCGGACCAGCGTCACTGGCTCAGTATCTTGAGCCGGACAATGAAGAGGAAAGTCAATTACATCTCTAGCCTGAGGGTAAGTGTTGCTGACGTGTTGGTGCTGGTCTTGCTAGTGTTGACGCTATTCGTCCACCATCTTCTAGGCGTCTGGAGTCGAGCCATTGACTCTGCCAAACATTCCGACAAACTCCGAATTCATGTCAGAAGGGCGGGCAATGGAGGCGGCGTTGCTGCTGAGTATTTGTTCCTCTGACACAGACGTTTGCTCGGAAGCATTGCGCTGCTGTGGTCAGATAGCTTCACTACGAGAAATCGTGGTTGGCTTGCTGGGCACAAGCCAAGAATGGGCAGTCCTGATGCGAGAATTATCGGACCCATCATTCTCTCAGACTGGGGGCCGGATTGCTCAACAAAAGCGTATTCGTGCCCTTTTGCGGGGTGCGACGCTGCCGACTAGGGCCAGCGCTCAAGCTTGGTGCGAGGCGTATCAAAGATGGGGCAGTCTCACACAACTGGTGGCGCGGCCCCTGGCGGATGAGACCAGCGATGCGGCGCAAGAGAAAGCAGCTCAATGGCACAATTATGCAGGCTTCCTTGCAGCTCTTGGAGGTACATGCGTGCTACCTGACGAAGAGTCGCTGAAGACGGCGCCGAAGGAGACGATGATCGACCCTCCTGTCCACCTCGTCGAATCCTTCATGCAAGAAATGGTCGATCTGTTGGTCTCCGATTCAGTTTGGGTTCGAGAGAAAGTCAAGGAGACGCTCGGCCTAGATCTCAGTCCTCGCCTCAACGGCATTCTGTTCCGGCAAGTGCACGCTGTGCTCAGCGACTTCTTCGACAAGAGCACTGGTCTGCCTCGTCCAGCAGACATGTTCACGATATTCGTGGAACAATCCGTCAGCGTTACTCAGATGGTCCTGAATCGCATGACTGCAGGTACGGAAGCAACGAATACTGTGGACATTGGCAGCCTCATGGTCCTCTACGTCGAATACGTCAATTCGCTAGGCCGGAAAGAGCAGGCGGTTCGCATCAAGACATCAATGTGCCACCTTTGCGAGGCGTTGATGCATAAAAAGAGCTTCTTCGCTTTTTCAAACGAGCTGCGCGTCCGCAACAGGCTGTTCCAGGCATTGGTCACCTGGACATCAGACTCGTCCGATGAAGCTCAAGGCGCCGAGAAGCTTGACCGCCTCCAGAGGGAACTCGATGTGGTATGCCTCAAGACCATCTCCATCCTCCTGGATCGCTTGCCGCTGTTGTTGGCGGATGATGCTTTGCTGCTGGATGACAAAGTTGAATGGGCAAAATCTCGACAATTCTCATTGTACTTCAACTACTTCATCAAGGTGCTCAATCGCGCTCGTACGCTTGAAGATGCTGCAACTGAGCGAGCCAAGTCTGGAGGGGTCGGGGTTGGCGCAGCTGGCGTCAGCGGCGGTGCCATCAGCTCTTCTGTCTCCATGGCTCTTGGAGTCTCTGCAGCAAAGTTGAGGGAGCAGCATCAGCAGGCCATGCGAGAGCTCGGTCCCTTGAAGGAGTCTGCCATTCTAGCTTTGTCGAACCTATTAGCCAGCAATATCGACTCTGGTCTTCAGCATTCCTTGCCCCTTGCCTACAACGACGATCAGCAACTCCGCACTGCGTTCATGCAGATCATGACGAATGTGCTCAATCAAGGCACAGCCTTTGACGACCTGGAGCGCTTATCAGCGTCTCACAAGCACTCCAAGCTCATCGAACTCATCTGCGAGCCAGACATGCAGCTCGCTCTATCGGTGTGCAACATATGTAAAGGCAATGATGTCGACAACATGGACTACGTTCTGCTAAGCATCTTCGACTCTAGAGGTGGTATCATCAAATTCCTCAAGGCTGCGCTAGCAGAGGAGATATACCGGACGCCGAGCGAAGAGATGGTCTTCAGGTCAAATTCCTTTAGGACCCACCTCCTATCCGTCTTTGGTCGCACCCATGGATACGAATACCTGCGATCGATCATGGCTCCGCTGATCACAGAGATGGCCAACAAGCCGCGCGGGTACTCATTCGAGATAGATCCGCACCGCATTGAGCCCGGAGAGTCGGTGCACATCAATCAACACCGTCTCGAAGAGATGGCACAGACGTTCATTGATCAGATCTGCTCTTCTGCGCATCGTGTTCCTGCCGTCTTACGAGAACTTTGCCGACACATTCGCTCCCTGATGGATGCGCGTTTCCCAACCTCGCGATATCAAGGCGTTGGCGGTTTCATGTTCCTGCGCTTCATTTCTCCAGTAGTGGTGGCGCCTCAGATCATCGATATCAACCTGACTGGTCCTAGCAAAGAGCTTCGTCGAGGCTTGCTCCTCATCAGCAAGATTCTGCAGACGCTTGCCTCTAACAATCTGTTCCCACCGCACAAGGAACCCTTCATGACGTGTCTCAACGACTTCTTGAAAGGCAACGTTTGGCGGGTGGCCACCTTTTTGGATCAGGTCTCCGATGCGCGCACCGATCCTGACCGCCTACAAGCCGCAGATCAACCTCTGGGATACGGTATCCATCCCTATGGCTACGGGATTGATCAAGAGGATCAGCGTGTGATCCATCGCTTCCTCTTCGAGAACGTGGACAAGGTCGGAAAGGAGCTGCTGACTCGGAATGCTGATCGACAAAGCTCTCTGGTTAATGATGGTAATGGCGCACCCATGTCGCCTGTCGCCGCGTCGCACGCTGCGATAGGGATATCTGCGTCTACCATTGACAGTCGCCGTACCTACGAGCAATTATGCCAGGTTCTCGCAGAGATGGGCGATTATCGGAGCGAGGAGCTTCCTGCCATCGCTGTGCAGCCAGGCCTTGGCGCAGGCAAGCAGGCCTTCCAAGACTTCCTTCGCCGGAATAGCGGACGCAACGTCGATGATTCCGCCTACAAGGCGGTGTTCAGGGAAGGGCCGCCCTCTAAAGCTGGCCGCCCAGTGTTCTACTACAACGCGGCGCAGCAGAACGCGAAGACCATGGACTATGAAGGTCTCATCTTTTACGTCTTACAGTGCATCGAAAGCTGCGTGTCACGCAACTTTGATCTCGTCCTAGACTGTACCGGCCTGCATCCTGTCAACATGACGCCGCACCAGTGGCTGACGTATTTCGCGACAATGGTGCCGCCTGAGGTGGCAGGCAACATGCGCAACGTTATCGTCTTCAACGCGAACACCACAGCGAGGCTGTATGCTCGGCCGTGGTATGCACAGGCAGGTGACCCCGGCGTTCAAGTCGGTCCCTCTGGGCGTGCTGCGCTTGCGTCGGTGCCGTCACAGATGAGTATCGCGTACTGCAATTCTATTGCAGAGATCGAAGCTTTCATCGAGCGGCGCAACCTGGCCCTCGATCCGACGACGATCGCAATCGCGACTGCTGCAGCGGAGATGCGCTTCACGCAAATCACGATGGTATGGTACTACCGCTCTCTCATTCCGGTGTCCTTCAGGATAGGTGGAGAACACCTGCAGATCACAGCTCTGAAGCCTCAAGAGATCGTGCCTGGCCGCAGCGGCTTCACGAATGATGTCTTTCATCTCGCTGATATCGACGACGTCAGAGCCATCTCGGCTCGTGGGGATGACACCACCTTCTTTGTCACTTGTCGTGGAGGTACCATTTCTTTCCTCTTCAACAGCCGGGATCGGGCCGAGATCGTTCAAAGCCTTCGCCAAGCTAAAGCGCGCATTTCGCGTTTCCGTCCGAGCAAGGCCCTCGACCGAACGCTACTGCCCTCTGACGTACCTGGAACGCTGCTCAACATGGCCATGCTCAACGTGACGAGTGGGGACGCAAGCCTTCGAGTGAGCGCATACAATCTTCTCTGCGCATTGTCCACATCTTTCAATTTTGGAGCCAGTAATGCGCGCAGGCGTCTGCTGAGTGCGAAAGGTAAGCAACGTGTTGATACCAGACAAACCGCATTTGGCTGATGCGATTGGCAACCCTTTCAGGCCTGGCAATCCCGGCCAACACGCTAAGCTTCGTCTCCGAGCTTAGCCGCGACTTTGCGGTAGCAGCACCTGGCGTTACTCTTGAGTTCTTGCTCTCTTTCTTCGAGGGCTTTGAACGAGCAACGCTGAGCCAGAAGACGCTGTGCCTGTACTACATGGCGCCATGGCTATCGAATCTAGTAATGTTTACTCACACAGCTCGAGAGCAGCAGGGTGAGTATCAGAAGCGTATCAAAGAAATACTTTCCCAGCTCATTGCTATCACGGTCAAGCAGCCTGAGGTGAGCAAAATTTCTCCTTCAGTAGACTCGCGCCGGTTTGGACTCACCTTCAGCGTCTTCGCGCTCCGCAGATGTATTCGGCTATGCAAAGAGCAGTTTGGTCTCAGATCAGCAGGTTAGACGACCTTATTCCTCTGTTCGTCGAGGTCTTTTGCGAGGCTGCGATGGACTCCGGTCTGCACACGCCTCGATTCGAGTGCGTTCTCGACACAATGGTTTCTTTCAGCTCTATCAACCTGCGTGGCAAGCTACTCGCTCGGCTGAGGCGAGTGATCGCGAAGACAGCTCAGAATCCAACTGCTGGTGCACTGCATGACAACATAGCGTGGAAAGAGATTGCCACACTGGTCAGGATGAACATGGTTCTGTCGTTCACAAGTCGACTCGAGGGCTTGATCTACCTGCCAGAGCTGCTCCACGTGATTCTTCTCCTTGCCGGCAATGGCGTCGATGCTACACGCCATTCTTTCTATGGTACAGCGGTGAACCTGATTCACTCTCTCTGCACAGAAGACCAGAGAGACATCAAGCGCGAGCCTCAACTCCTTGCCGGTCTGCCCACTTCAAGCTCCTCTCCTCACGACCTGCAAGGCGCCGCGACGAAGGAGCACCCGGCCAACATTGCCGCAGACAACGGCAACAAGCTTCGCGCTCTTTTGACCCGCTTTGCGGAAGACGAGTACTTGGCGCTGTTTGGTCTGCCTGCTGGGTCTGTAAGCCCACTCAACGCTTCCATCGACGTGGTTCGTGATATGCCCAGCAATGCTGCTATAGAGCGGTTAGCCTCGGTCATGTACGAGGTAGCGGAACTCGCAGCTCCCACCACGGACACCGCAAATAGCTGGAGAGCTCGACTTACTAGTCTTGTGACCAGCACTGCATTCCAGTACAACCCCATCATCCAATCTCGAGCGTTCTTGTTACTAGGGTGCTTGGCCGATCTCACCCGCTCGATGATGTCCGATAAGGGCGCCGCAACAGGAAACTTAAACGGTCAAGTTGAAAAGAGCGTCGCACGTAAAAGCAGCAGCCGAGAGGCAGATTTGGCCTTCGAAGTGGATGACGATCTCCTCTATCAAATCCTCGTTTCGTTACGCGGCAGCATTACCGAATGGGCAAATGCAAGCAATGATGCACCAATCATCAGTATTGTCACTTGCCTTGGCAAGGTCGTCAAGATTCTTCCCGATAGATCGCGGTATTTGCCGCAGCTTTTCTGGCTGGGCATCTCTATGATCCAGTATGGGCATGTCCCGCTCTTCAAAGCAGGCACTGAACTCTTGCTTGCCACGGTCACCAGCATCTGGGACAGAAACCTTTTGCAAGACGGACAGATCGATCTCATCACCTTCCTCATCGATGGAAGGTACGAGTTCCGGGACGCGGCATGCCGCCTGGATGATGAGACGGGAGTGGATTTTGAAATCAACTTTAGCTTCGCAGCGGCGGCGCTGCTAGTTAAAGGTCTTAGACATCCTTCAACCAAGAGTGCCACTACCGAGCTATTGCGTGCTCTGCTGCAGTACACTGGCTTCGATAGCAGTCACGCTTCCAAATCGCCAGACGGAAGAATATCGGTACCGCAACTAGGATTTTTCATTGGTCTCCTACCTACGGCGACGCGGCCCGAGGACTTTGGCGAACTTCTCAGTCTGGCGGGCGCGGCGCAAGAAGTCTGCACAGCAGCCATCGAAGCTCGCAAGCAAGGCGGCGAAGCGAGCGGCCTTTTCAAACACCTTGATGCCACCGAGAACAAGGTCGCGCTTCTAATTGTGACCCTGATTGCGGCTCTCTTGCAGCACGCTGAAAATGATGCCGAACGGCTACTGCTGTACGGCTTCCTTGCCGACTCGGCTCAAGAGGTGCCGGCGATCGTCTCTATCCTGTGAGTTGAATTGCCTGGCATGACTTGCACTCCAACCTGCATGCTGACCTGATACGACTACGCGTGGCATGATGGCTAGGTACGACTCGCTTGCGCCAGGCATGCGTGACGTCTTTGTCAACTCGCAAAATGGGCCCATTCTCGACGCCGTGCACACAATCGCCAGAATTGCGGTTAGCGAGCCAGTCTTTGCAGCGCAAGCCCTGGAGACGACTCGTCGCGGCGGACCGGGCGCGTACCTGGACGAAACTGGCTATGCGAGCCTGCTTGACTGCGGAGACTTTGCGCCCTTGCCCGACGTCCGCCGCCTCACGCTCGCAAAACTCTCAACCGCTCTCCTCGCTGGGCTCATCGATGCTGGCACTGCTTGATCTCCCAAAGTGCCTTGTCCTTCGACCTGCCTGGTGCAGCAGCTCTTTCAAGCTGACAACCTTCGTCTTTTTGTGCGTGGGGTGCAGCGCAAGACCGCTTCGATCATACAGTAGCGGCACGAGTAGCATCCATCTTCCCAAGCACCGCTACGACGGCTCGGACAGACGACTTGTGCGGGAATCGCACAACACCACGCAGACTCACCTAATTGGCTCTACCACCATCTCCTGTCAACGGATTTGCCGGTCTTGTCACGTTTTCATGTCTTAGTATCGACTCAATGTCCTCGCAGCTCCATCGTTGACGTCTCTGTAATTCAACTCAGTCAAAGTCAAAGGTGCGACTTTACGCGCCCAAAGAAGTTGTTTGTCATCTTTCCTTGCAGTGCGCCTCCTCACCTCTTGATGATACCCTGAGGCGCTTGCGATTCTACATGCGTGTGTAGAGCGAGGACAGTCCGTCCTGCACTCAGCACGATTGATGGGAGTGGTTGTTAATCGTGAATTAAGCGTGCGGGAAGAGGGCTCCGCGGAAGCCGCGGAACCTTGCATGGCGCGTGTGTCTCGAGGTCACGCACACCGCCTCGATCGCCCACACATGAGACTCGCAACTCTTGAATGGCAACCATCGACCCATGTATACTGCTCATCTTCGGTCTAGCTCCTTCGTCGTCAACTCCCACACAATTGACTCTCGAGATCGCAGCAACGTATTGAAGGCGACATATGCGCACAAGCATCTGCGTAATCTCAAGGAACCAGCGTGGCTGCGAGCTCAGAATCGCGTCCACCTCTTAGCGTTATGGACGTGGACAAGTTGTTCAAGGTGAGTCTGCCTTTTACCGCACAAATGCTACGCTACGAAGCAGGTATCTTAAGTTCTCCACTTCTATGTCTGTGCTTCATAGCTTCCTAAACTGCCAGCCTCGTCCGTCAATAAAAGAAAATGGGCAGAGCCCAGCAACGATGCTTTGAAAGCTGCGCAGGTAGAGGACGTCGACGACCAAGAGGGCGCCGATCTGCGCTACCAGAAGCGTAGCAATGCTCCTGCAAGGTCAGCTCGAGCATCAAATTTCGCTACTGAAGACGATGCAGAGGGTCCACATCTGCCTCCAAATGACGAGGATGAGTTCGCGCCGGGCAACGATGCGGACTACTTTGTCGATGAGGACGACGAGGGCGGGAGATTCTTTGGTGGGGGCTTGACAGATCAACAGAAGAGAATCATCGAAATCATGAATTCGGGAGATGGCGATGATGAAGAAGTCAAGCCGGAGCAGATTCTGAGAGACTTGAAAAGGAGCTTGCTGAAGTGCGAGCGTGCTGTCAATAGGAATGCGGAATTGAGGGTCAAGTACTCTGACGATCCTGAAAAGTGAGTTGTCGGCAGCCGGTTGCGCTTCTCTGATGTGCATGCACGCGCAGCTTTGGGATGGAAGAGCAGGTGCATCAATCACAGAAGATCTCCACTGATGCATCTTCTCCTCAGATTTGTGGAATCCGAAGCGGATCTCGATTCCTCTCTAAAAGCTCTCGTGGTACTTACAACGAACCCGGCGCTCTTGTATCCCGAAGCTATCAAGAACGAATTGCCCAAGACTCTCTGCGATCTTTTATCCCACGAGAACGTGGACATCGTCGCTGCTGTCATTGAGCTTGTCGAGGAGCTGACTGACGACGATGTGCTGGATGCAGGTGTGTTGGACGAGGAAGATGAGCAAGATGGTGGGTCGCGTCAAGGAGAAGCAGCTGTGGCCCAGCTGGTCAACCAATTGGTGAGCTCATACGCAGGTCAGGGTGGCAGGGGTGTCTACTGACAGATTGAGACTTTCAAAGCTTGATAGAGGCTTCTTGGACCTGCTCATTCCGAATTTGACTCGGCTATCGGATGAAGCACCAGAGGGCGGGGATGCCACAGCGATCGCGAACGCAGAGTCAGATGCGAACACCATCTACCATATGCTGGGTGCCCTCGAGAATTTGCTGTCGCTCAAACCCACGCTGGCAAGACACTTGGCGGACAGCACTTTGCTTGGCTGGCTGCTCGAGAGGGCAGCAAGAAAAGGCAAGCATGACCAGAATCGAGGCTATGCGGCCGAGCTGCTCGCTGTTCTGGTGCAAAGTCAAGAGGGCAACTACGTGTGCCAAAAGCTGGGAGAAAAGCATGGCATCGACGATGTCCTTCAACTCTTGTCCGTGAGTAATAGTCCGTTCAATCTGCGCTCCTCCACAGGTGGGCTCACGATCTCCCTTCTTCTCGTCGACAAAGCGGTATCGCAAGACAGATCCGGCAGACGATGAAGAGACCGAGTTCGTCGAGAACGTGTTCGACATTCTGTGTGCTGCGCTGTCGTCTCTTGATAAGAACCAGACGCGATTCTACAGATCAGAAGGAACGGAGCTCATGTGCATCTTTCTGAAGTGAGCAAACGTCTCGGGCGCATCAATCATGTGTATTCATGAAGAACTGGCTCTTTGACACGACCCCCTGCTTGCCTTAGAGAGAAGCGACCAACGCGGTTGCGCGCCATCAAGGTTCTCGACTACGCGCTTTCTGGGACTGCTGGAGCTAAAGCTTGCGAGACTTTCGTTGAGTCGATGGGCTTGGCGCCACTCTTCTCCATGTTAATGGGCAGAGTGAGTGATCTTGGGCGCTGCTGCTCGCATCAGATGTGGGCTTGCTGACCATGCCGCGCCCATGACCCGCGTGTCAAACCTCAGGGCTTCAAGAAAGCGAACGCACCTACGGCTTCGGACGAAGAACACATGCTAGGTGTAGTCGTCAGCCTCTTCAACAACTTGGCATCTGACAGTCAACCTAGGATACGTCTCTTGGCTAAGTTCGTCGAGGATGAATACGCGAAGGTGGACAGGCTGCTCGAGATGAGCGATGCTTGCAGCGCTAGGTTGAAAGGCATCGACAAGGAGATCGCAGTGGAAAGGCAGGTATGTTGCGATCAGAGGAGCGCGCAGAATCGAAAGTTCCCCCAATCGCGGGATGTCTGCCAGATTGAACACGGCATGTGTCCCATCTACCTCATTGCGTACTTTCCCAGGCACAAGAAGCTGACGGATCACGGGACGTCTCACTCGAAGAGGAGCTCTTCTACCTGCGTCGTCTGGATGCAGGTCTGCATTCTCTGCAGCACATAAGCTATATCATCGCTTGGCTCTGCATGGAAGATGACGGAGTTGCCGCTCATTTGCGAACGATGCTCTCGCGCAAGGGACACAAGCTGGACGGCCAAATCGTCGACGTTCTCAAAGAGTGGTACGAACATATAGGCGAGGATGCAGTCGTTGCTGAGCCCATTCCTGGGTCCAACGAGCCAGCGCTCCTCTTGCAAGATGTCATCATTCAGCTTGTCAACTACATGCTGGGTATCGCCTAAATGCATGACACTTGAATTGGCCCCGTGACCCTGTTGAGCAAACGAAAGAGACGCTTCGAATACTTGTCCAGGGATGGGCAGCGCGAGATGCAAGGCTGCCCGCAGTCTTGTGAGAGCCAGCCTGCTTCTGCTGACGAGCGACATTTGGCGCTGGCGCTACCCCACTCATGCGTCCTCTGCAGCGTCTTCCTTGGGCGTTTCCAGGGCGGAAGCATTTCTTCCCAGTATCGGAGGTGATGTGAGACTGCTAGAAGTCACCGAGGGTGCGTCTTTGCCCTCAGCTTTGCTACCAGGGCCGGACACGTTTCTTGAGCCAACGTTTAAAGTTGTGGGACCCAACGAAAGCACGCTCCTTCTCCTGTCCAGTGCTGCAGCGCGACTAGCACCAGCCGCACTAGTTGAAGGCAAGCCTGTGCCCGTTGTAGTGCTTGCACCATCGCAGTGACCCAGACGCACCCGACACCAGAAGGAAAAGGTTTTGGCTGCAGAGTGCGAAGGGTCAGCATGCTCGGCTTTGCTCGCATAGCCCTTGTGTCTTTTCTCGCCCTCTTCCTCCAATACTTCGTCAGGCCGATAGGTGTATGCTACGTAGAGCAGGAACTATGTGAGATACCGTCGACGAGCACAAAAGATCAGTCGTTGGCCACGGGGTGATGATATGATGAAACCTGCAAGCAATGCAACTAGTGTTGGACTCACCTCGATGTCACCCGCAGCTTCCTTGCCGAGCGAGAGGTCAAGACCGATGGTCGTTGCGTTGCCCTTTCTTTTCAAAATGCCATCGCTCTTCCTCGTCTTTCTACCAGCGCCTTTTTGTCTGATGCCGTCCTCGTCCAGAAAGTCATCTCTACCTGGATCATCCTCCACATCGTCTCCCAAGAGCGAAGGTCTGGGTTCTTTGAGTAGGTCTGCGTCTTCCTCGTCCAGCTCCCACACCTCGTTGAAGGCGTTGATGGGGAAAAAAGTCGTGCTGGGCGTGACGGACCAAATTTGCTTATTGTGAGGCATTGCTCGATTGGGAGACGTGGGATCTTGATTAGAACCAGCTGGTGCCGATTTTCGGGGAGAGCTTTGCGTTCCTGGGGGTGAGGAAGGCATAGGGGGAGAAGTGGATCCCTGGGCTGATCGAAGCGGAGGAGACTCCGGCGCTGCGCGCTCGACGGGAGCCGTTGCACTGCTAGGCAAGATGATGCCCAAGTTGACTTGCATGGCATCGTCGAGTGGGTTCGTAAAAGTGACTTCGAAGGTGTAGATCCGTCCAGGTGTCAAATGTTCTTCGTCCATGGAGGTGCCGGCGCTCCCACTTAGGAACGCACTGCCTCCAAGCCCCGCACCACCTGCGCCTACCATTACGCTCTGTGGTCGCCGCCTCAGCGAGCTGCCCGTGCCTGACTCCGAAGACCTACCGGCGACTGATCCAGCACCGCCTAGAAGACTCGCTCTCTTCGCAGCTCGGATTTCCTCAACTGACAGGCCGACATTGCCACCCAAGAGAGGCGCGACCGATACGGGTCCAAGGATAAAGATGTCCGGCAGGTAGTTCATCGCCATCAATCGTATCTTGAACCTTTTGACGGGCGCCTTGATGTCCGGCTTGATGATGATGTGTCTGCATGATGGACAGCGTTTGGTCTGCTTAGCCTGCAAACGCACTGGTGTGGGCTTCAGCTCGCTGCAAAGCGGGACATGCGGTGGTGTGTCAGTCGGAGTTATACAGAGATCGAAGAGGTTTTGCTGGTGCCTGGTGGTGCTCGTAGGCGCGCTCACACAACTCTGACGTTCTGGTCCCAGAGATTTTGCCACCTCTGATCAAAGGTCGTAAAAGCCGACCCATCGCTCAACCTCTCGCTCAACCTAATCCTGCGCTCGTCCCTCTTGCCAGCAACTCCCGTCACACCTGCCACGTATCCATTGTTGGTCTTGTAAGTCTTATTCCGCTCCTTGTGGTACTGGGCAGCGTCTTTCTCCTTTGTCGAAGGGCCCTGCAAACCTTTTAGAAATCGCTGATCTCGAGCAAGACTCGGCACGTCTTTCAACAGACGCGACTGGCTTAGTGCTGCTGATGCTGCTGCCATCGCGGCGCTTGACTTGCTGGATGCAGGTATAGCATTTGAGCTGCTTTCGTCTTCGAGCAAAGCCAGCTGATGTTCCATGTAATCTTTGAAGTGTGTTTTGAGCCCGTCAAATTCGGCAAAATCTGGTGGCACCACCTCTGCACGCTTCATTTGTACTGCGCGCGCGAAGGAGCATCAGCCTCGATGTTTTGCCCAGAGACACATGATGTTACGCTGTGCGTTGTCAAAAGAGCGCAGCAGATGCACTTACAAGCCAGACCTGTGGGTTTCTCGAACGTAATGCTGCTCTCTTTGCTGTCCCACTTGCAAACGTTGCAAAGCAGATAGTAAGGGGGCACACCGACGCTAGCGTTGGCGTGCAGCGGATCGATCCCCTTCTCATTGTCCGACCCGACCAAATTCAATGCGGTTTGACAGATTGGACACTCGAAGCAGCTTCTATCGCATCTGCCCCTTGACTCTTTGACCGAAGGCAGAGGAGTGTCGAAGAGGCAGTTGGGGCAAAAGTATGAAGACGGCTCTACAGTGACGCACAGCGAACATCGGATCGAGTCGCACTCTTCGCAAAAGTAGAGCGAGGAGAGTTGATGAAAGGAGTCGCGATTGGACATTAGAGGCACCGAGGTGCTGCTCGACGCTTGGGTGTTGCTGTTGCTGTTGCTGTTGCTGTTGCTGTTGCTGTTGCCAGGTAGCCCTGATCCTTGCACGTGTTGTGAAGGATGCGCAGCAGAGGTAGAGCTACAGGCCTGAGGCCCCACTGCATTGGGTCCCAGGCAAGGGCAGTGAAATGTTACGGAGGCGGGCATGTCCTACGAATTTCTGTCAGCGTGTTCGAGAGCTTTGTGACGGGATGTATGTTGGTCATGAGAAGTGAGAGGCAAGGCAAGCAAGTCACGAGTCTTGGAGTCAAAAGTCGTGAGTGCAGGCGGTGTTGGTCTCGAACGCGCCGCCTCTGAGAAATCTTGAATGACATGTGATCACGTGAATCACGTGAATGTCGTGCATCGTGCGGCGGTGCGCGGTAGACAGGTGCTGTGCATGCGTGCAGCATGCGCTATAGGCTGCGCAGCGTGTGAAGCCTTGTGGTTCGCTCGGCCTCGACGCTCCATCTTGACCGGCAAAGCAGCTAGACGCTTCCCTCATCCCACCACGCGCATCAAGATCTCAGCGCTCATTGGTATTGGCTGCAACAAGCCCCAACTGCCGCTTTCATTGCGTTCGGCTTCCCTACTGACCGCGATATTTGACCGTGCAATCCCTCTGGCACTCGTGAGCGCGAAAGAACTCATATTCGTTGCCAGACTCCACCATCGAGAATCAGCGCTCTGCCGGACGCAGTGTCACAATAGTCACGCTTACCTACTGAATTGTCATGACGCTTTGGTCACGATGAGTCAGCAACAAGATGGTCCTCGCTACACCCAGCAGCGTCAAATGATGGTAGGATCTGCTGCTCCCCCTCAAGCTGGACCTTCCCGATTCCAATCACCCCAGTCCTCTCGCGTTGAACCTCCAATGTCCTCACCAACACAATCACGTATGGTGCCTGATGCTCTTCAACAGCGAGCTCATGCACCATCATCCTCGTATCAAGCACCATCTCACGTGGTGCCCTTCCTGACTCTTCAGCTTCACTTGCCATTCGAGCCATTTCGAAGAGCAGGAGCTAGCATCAACACGGATTTGACGCTGCGGTTGTCCGCCCACTCCAACCTGTCGACGCTGAGGCATACGCATTACCCTAAGGTGGAAAGGAGGGGCACGGATCTTTGGCTTTGGGCACTTGCGCTCAGCTTGAGCTTGCCCGGACACATCATCGCACCTCCGCCCAATCCTCCTCTCTTGCTGCTCGACTCGACCCTCGCAAATGCGTCGGCGAATGGCGGAGGGGGAGTCACATCGACAGGCAGCGTCTCAGCCTCTCACGCCGCTCAGTACGACTCTGCAGCCCATTTGCACGCCAGGTCCCTCTCCTCTTGGTTCTCTAGGCTGCTGAGCATCCCATCGGTCCTGCGTCATCCAGCGACACCTCACCTGATAGAATGCGACTTCACCTATACTCCACCGCTACCCACCTCGGGCCCAGGTAGTACAGCTTCAGCTGCGCGTAAATTGGAAGCGGCGCTCAACAGTCTGCGCAATTCCGGAAACTTGGCCATCGATGTTGGAGGTGGGCTGGGCTTGCCATCTGGCGCTATCACCGCTTCGCTACCCTCCCACTCCAACGGCTTCAACCCCGGAAGGGACTCTGGTGGTGGTGGTGGAGGATTGTGGAGCAGCTTGACTGGAAATTCGAAACCTGTTAGCACTGCTATCAGTGGCGCGGATACTGACGAAGAGCTCGTCGCAGCCAGAGCAGAAGTGACCAGGCTAGAGATTCAATTTAGCACAGCTGCCAAGAAGGCTGAGCTGGTCGCTGACAAGACCAATGGTGAGAGATCTGCCGCCCGAGCAATAGCACAGTCTGATGACCAGATCCATCGCAAAGGCTCACGCTGGAGCGACAAATGCAACTCTCAGCTTTGACCGCAGCGCAACAGGCCCTCGCCACTCGCCTAGAAAGCTTGGCGCTTCTTGAGTCCACGCGCTCGATTCCGGAGAGACGAGGCTTGCCCCGCACGCTACAAGACACAGCCAACTCGCTCCGGGCTCTGGGAGAGCGCAAAGATGACTTGGTGAGTCGACCCAGTCTTGCATGGCCGTCCCCCACTTCATCGCAATTTTCTGACCAAGACGTGTTCCTCTTGCTGCTGCTACCCTCGCTTGCAGACGGCCCAGACTGCGCTGCACCTGGCACATCCGTTGGCGTATCAGTCACACACGGCAAGAGCAGCCAGGGATGCGCTGCTGGTGCGACACTCGCTGGTAGACACGGCTCACGAAGCTGCAGGCTTGGCTCTTCTGAGGCGAAAAGAGGCCGAGCAATTGCGGTCGAGAGCAGCAAGCGTAGGCTACGACCGGCTCGAGGCGAAGCTGGGCGAGCTCAACGATGTGAGCACACATGCGATGCGATTGGAGAAGACTGCGGAACACTGACGCGTAGCCGATGATTTATTAGGCGAAGCAACATGCAGCTCATTTGGACTCTCAACTCAAGGCTCTGTCTGAGAGCTTACGCAAGTCTCTTGGAACGCATGCCAAAGCAACGCACAAGGATTTACACGAAGCGCTCTGGGTGCATGCGAAAGGAGCCGCAGCTGCTAACAAGGCCGCGCTAAATCAGCTGCATGGGCTGCAAAGGTTGTTTGGACAAGACAGCGACGCGGAGGATGGCACATTGCAGAGCGAAGGTGCGAGGCGTGGAGAAAGTTTGGACGACCCGTCAACGTCGGCCTCGACCGCTACGTCTGGGATGCCGTCCAACTTGTCGGATGCATCGACGATGTCCAGAAGCGGCTCTACCACACCAGCCGCTGCCCGCAGCTTGCAGACGCAGCCCCGTGCAGCTCGAGCATCTACAGAGCAGAAGGAGAGCTTGCACGGAGCGAATGCGACGCAGTCGGACTCTTACCGTCACGATGCAGAAAACACTTCCGGCGGCACTGAAACACTCGCAGGCAGCAATCAATCCTCAGAGGCTGCACTCTTACCGCCGGACGATTCACGGGACCAAACAGTCGCGACGCCAAGCACTGCGTGGAAAGCTGCAATCGACGCGACTCCTTCCAGTAGAAGCGCAAGCCCGACAACCGTCAAATCAGCCCTGGGGACCTCGGCTGCTTTCCAGTCGACCCACGATGCGAGCTCCCCTTCGCCATTCTCTCGTATTGATTCGATTCCTCCTGTGCTAGTTGGCACGACCGACACTGCACGAGCTCCAGGCCATATTGACAGAGCTGCGAGCGGGCAAAGAGGACAGGAGGCCGACACCCCTGCCGCGCTCGCACACGCTTCTGGTTTGCATTCGCCGAGCGGACAAGAAGCTAGCCTCACGCCGCGCGCACTCAACCAAACAGAGGCTTACACGCCCAGCGCAAGTCCCTCCGGGTCCCGAGGAGCTACCTTTCACGCACAAAGCACCAGCCCTACGCATTCCACTTTGCGCAAGGACGAGCGTTACGTGCACGACACTGTCGTGTCGCCGAGCGGTAAGCGAGGTAAAGAGGGGCAAGAGGCGGGTGGGACTTGGGGAAGAAAGAGCAGAATCTCTGCTAGCGATGCGGCCAGAAATCTTGCGGGCAGATTCTGAGCGGTGATGTGCGGGCGAAAAGCTGATTCAATCATATGCGCTAGCTCGCTGATGAGGTCATGCGAGAAATCTACGTTGCCAGCACATCTGCCCGTGCGGCTGGAGAGTCACGGAGGAAAGGCCAATGCGAGGTTTGGATGCATAAGTATTAGCAAGGTCGCATTGCAAATCTGTGTGTGTGTGTTCAGGTGACATGCTCTAGCAGATGCTTCGACGAGAGGCGGTAATGTGCAGCACGAGTAGAGCAACGCAGCGCCAAAAGAAGCCCTCCGCTGGCGCCGAGCAGTCGTCAAAGGCGAGGCAAGCTAGACAAGCTTTCTCACTTGCTCTTGACTTGCTTAGCTTTTCTTTCCACCTCCTCCTTCGCTTTTTGCTTTTGCAAACCCTCCCTCCTCTTTTCTCTCGCTTCTATGCCGAGTCCAAAGAAGACAACCGCTACTCCTATCCACTGTGTCGGGTTGAGCTTGTGGCCGTACACTGCGATGGAGAGCAGCATGGTGAATAATTTGCGCGTCACCTGATCACGACAGAGTCCACAGAATGTGAGCGAAGAGGGTCAACTTGCAATAGAGGGGGGATGTATTCGAACTCACAGTGATGGAGACCAGAGTCAAGCTTCCGAACCTCTCTAGCGTTTCAAAGATGGCTATTTGTCCAAAAGCGCCCGCCAATGCGTATCCTGCCAAGTCCTTGACAACTTGCGGGTGTCTGTGGATAAATGCGAGAGCAGAAGAAAGTTCATTTGATCCTTGTGAGCTTGAGGATGAGCCTACTCCTGGAAGAGGAAGGATCAGACTGAAACCCATCAGGATCGAGCTTAGTAGGTTCATCAGTAGCATCATCTGCGGTCCAGCGATTGACCATTTGGAGAAGACGTCGTCTTGCGTACTATTCGTTGCCCCGTCCAATGCCAAATTAGCAATGAGCAATCCCATTCCGAAGAGCGTATCTCCCCCCGATGAGGACTTCTTCTTGCTGGGCGCGGCCAGCATGAATGCGCTAATGCCTGCCGTTACCAGCAGCACAACGGCATACTTGTAAGGAGCAAATTTGCGCCGATAGATGACCACGTTGGCAATAAGCACGGGTAGAAGCTTGCAGGATTTTGCCAGCGTCAAAGTAGGGTACGAAATGCCGTGCGACAGGCTTAGTAGACCTAATTGGGAGGCCGTCGATTGGAAAGCTGCGATGGCGAGATATCGAACAAAGAGGGGCGATATCCTCCTCCGCGTCGTCGAGAGGCCATCAGGTCTGACTTGAGATGCCGATGTGAATGCCGGCTTTTGCGCTCGCTCTGCACCGCTCACGCTGAGCACGTCCAATCCGAGCACTCTCCAGATACTTTTCCCCTTCGAGGCGGTGCTGCGCGAGTTGCCTGCGACGAGGTAGGCAACGGCTACAATGGAACAGGCGATAGCCTGCGTCCAATTCAACAATAAGGGAGATTGAAAGTATTCGAGAGATTGACCATGCAATGAAGCGGAAAGTTGGTCCTTGTAGGTCGAATCATGAGGGATGGGATAGGCTGTTGTGGTCAGCCTTTCTTGAAGCAATCCCCAGGCTAGGAAACAGGCGTAGATGCTGCCTGCGCATAGACCCAATTGGGCTAATGTCATGTTGCGATTTTCGAACGCGATGCTGAGCTGTCTGTGCGTGGAAGCTACAGCAGCGCTTGGGATGTTGAAGGCAACGAGATGTGAGAAACAAGTCTGGAGTCACGAGTCAGAAGAAGACTCATAACTCAGTGACTCGCAGTTCGTGCGTGTGCTGGCTACGTGTCACTTATTTCACGATTCAAGATTCACAAATTCAATCCAGCGCCTATCAACAATGTGAATGCAAATCAAAGTGTAAGCGAGGCTTGCACTCATCACGTGCAGCAGGTCCATGTCGTGCTGTGTGCAGGTATAACTCGACTTCAGCGCGTATGCGGGTATCGACTCTTTATGTACCGGTACTGACTTGAGGAGACCAACGGCCTTTTCCTTGTCCAGCCCGTCACCCGCTGCGCTGCTCTTTGCACTTGTGACTCGAGCTACGTCAAAGTCTTTCGACCTGGTCATCCCCGTCCTCATACCGACCAAGCACTCACCGCGCCCAAGCTCGGAGCCAAATCGATCACGCTGGCATAAGTTGTGGAAGCATGTAGCGTTAACCGTCGTGCCATCTGCATCGGAGCCAAGCATCGGATTCAAGTCAAAGCGAATTCTGCCTTACCGCGATCACCCAGAATTGATCACCCTGCGTGCTCAGGTCTCGCTTATCGGTCATCATGAGCGCCGTAGAAGAGGAACAAGGCGCTCTTGGCTCGTTGGACAACCTTGTGCTCGGCACCATCCTATCCGACCTAGGAGTGTCGTCTCAAGATGCCATCTCTCGCTCACGTCTGCTATCCCATCGCGCTGGTCCATCCTCCTTCGAACCCCGTAATGGCGCAAACACAAGCAATGACGATGAAGGAATGCAGCTAGCTTCGGATCAGATATATGGTGAAAAGTACATGGACGATGACTTTGGGACGACGGATGAAAGGGACGAAGAGAGCGATGGAATGGCAGAGGATCTGGAGGTAGAGAAAGAGCGGAGAGCGAGGGAGGACAGAATGTACCGAGCTGGCTTGCAGAGTCTCGAGACCGGTGGGGCGAGGCAAATCAGGGGAGAAGTGGGGTATGACGACGATGACGATGAGGGAGAAGAGGAAGTAAGGCAAGCGGCGGAAGAGGTAGCGAAGAGAAAGGAAGGAGAGATGAGGGCTTTGATGAGCATCAAAAGGGAGCCTATTGCTTCGCCACCAGACGAAATGATGGATGAAGATGCCGAGGGTGAAGAGGATGCGGAAGGCGAAGAGGAGGAGGAGCAGGAGGAAGTCATCACTCCGCCAGCGCATGCCGCGACGGGTGTGCCGCAGGCTGACATTGAGCAGAATGAGGAGGACGAAGGCATAGGGTTACCGGCAAGACCAAAAGTTAACATCAAGCACGTATTTCCGAATTACGGACCTTCGTCCATCATCAACTTTACAGAGCTGTACAAAGATCTGACCAGGCCGCTCAAAAGAGCAAGGATATCAGACTCGACCGTCGAAGCGCAAGCTCCCTCTACCCTCGCTGGGCAAGAGGAAGCTGTACCCGTCTTCGAAGCACCGCGCATTCCAAGTGTCGTTGACCTGCCAAGCACAAGAGACGAAGCGGGAGTGCGCGAACTGTCAGCACCACCCACAAGACACAATGCGATCAGCTGGGCCATGGAGCCACTTGTACGCTCATCTCGTCGAGATGCTCACCCACGCGACGAGCCCACCTCAGCGCAGCTTCGCCCGATGGATATCGAGGACTGGGAGAGCAACATTTTGTTGCATCGCGCTACTATACCAGCTCTATCTCTGCGCGTTCGACCTGACCGGCTGTTCAATGTCGACTTAGCCAATGGAGAGTGGGAAGATGGTATTGTGCTCGATGGCAAGGGACCTTCTAAGCGGGACTACTACAGGCTTTTGTTAGACATGAATGATCCGGAGATGATGCTGGAGCGAATCCAAGTTGATCAAGCTTCGCAAGCGGGACGAGGTCCGCCACAAGCAAAAGCTGTGTCTTCGACAAGTGTCGGCACGTCTGGTGGGACAGCCACAAGTTCCGCAGGTGAAATCCAAAGGCACGCAGTCGACTTTTTGAATCTGTCCAATGATCACTTCTACGAGGTGTCGAAGGAACAGATGAGGAGACGCGTTCGACAGACGTTGGGTCAGTTGATCGTTCAACACGCACCGCCTGCCAATGCGCTGCAATTGCCTTTCGTGAGTAAAAATCGCGCGCTCTCCGCTCGAGGAGAGCGAATTGGACTTTCTGCTCACGCCCTCCACCCGCCATGGCCTCCTAGTACAAGACGCGATTGACAAAGACGGAAGCAAGATCATTCCATCGACCAGCCATGCAATTCCCTTCCAACATCCCGCTCAAGTTTTCAAAAGTGCGCTCCTCGAGGAAGAAGAAGGAAGAGAGGGAAGGCACAACCAGCAAAAGCGGCAAGAACAAGGATCCCGCTGAGCTGCTCAAGAGCAGTAGAGATCTGTCGTTGAGGGATACATCGCAATTTGTTATGTACGAGTATTCCGTGAGTGTTCATGATGGCTGACGAGCGCCTGTGGCAGGTGCACTCACGCACTTGCCCTTGCCCTTGCCAGGAAGAGTATCCACCACTGCTCTCGAAGATGGGCATGGGATCTCTCATTGTCAACTACTACCGCAAGCGAAACGAGCGTGATGAGCACATACCAAAGGTAAGCACGACGAGTCCCAAACGCATCGCGAAGCTCATGCGGCCCGCCCCGCTGCCGCGCAGTCGGACCTCGGAGAACCATTCATACTCGATCTACCGGACGAGTCGCCTTTCATGAAGTTCGGCAGTGTGCATCCCGGCCAGACACAGCCGACACTCTACAATAATCTAGTCCGCGCTCCCCTCTTTCGGCACAAGCCAGCCAGCACGGATTTCCTGTTGGTACGCAGTACGAACCGGAACTCGGTCAGGTACTTTTTGAGGGAAATCAAAAATGTTTTTGTCGTCGGACAGACCTATCCCCTGGTCCAGATTCCTGGACCTCATGCAAGATTGGTCACCAATGCGATCAAGACTAGGCTGCAGATGATTGCATACAAGCTCGTCGCTACGACCCCTCTCAACCGCATCAAGATACATCGCATCATGCGATACTTCCCAGATCAAAATGAGTTGCAGATGAGGCAAAGATTGAAGGTGCGTAGCAACTGCATTCATAAGCTGTCAATTCGCCAGTGTACTCACGTGCCACCCCTTGGTGCATTTGCAGGAATTCATGGCCTACAATCGTACCGCCGGACACAAGGACCAAGGGTACTGGAAGCTCAAGCCCGGCATCATCCCACCCGAAGAATCTGAGCTGCAAAAGCAACTGCCCCCAGAGCACATGGCCCTCATCGAGGCTATGCAGACAGGCCAACGACATCTGTTGGATGCAGGATATACACAGTCGGCGGAGGGAGCAGACGAGGATGGTGACGAGTCCAAGATGGACATTGAGCAATTGTTGGCTCCCTGGATAGTATCGAAGAACTTTTTGCACGCCACGCAAGGCAAAGCTATGCTGAAGCTGCACGGAGAAGGCGATCCGAGCGGGCGAGGCGAAGCTTTCAGCTTCTTGCGCGTATCCATGAAGGAGGTCTTCTTCAGAGCTGGAGACACTTTGGAAGCTCAATTGGCTGCTCAGGCTGAAGAAGAGAAGAAATCGGGCCACAAGTACAATGTGCAGAAACAGCAGCAGGTGTACAGGTCGGAAATTGAAAGGATCTGGCAATCTCAAGCTAAGGCCCTTTCCAACCCTGTGCCTCCTAAGCTGACTGCGCAGGATTTGAAAGAGAATTTGGAAAGGGATGAGGCGGAAAATGCGCGTAACAATCAGGCCGGCCCGCGAACCGACGCTGGTGAAGCTGACGAGAGCGAGAGTCAAATGGGCATCGACACGCGGGTGCTCAGAATCCGGAGGCTCGTGAGTACGAGTCACAGAGATTGGGAATTATGGATGTTCTGACTTCCCATGCTTTGCCCGTTAGGTGCGTGGCCGCTGGGAGACGGAAATCGTCCGGGACTCCGGTGTCATTGGCGCCTACTTGCGACAACGTCAGCGTATCGAGGACGAAGCGACAGCGACAGAGTCGCTTGTTCCTACGGGAGACGCAGCCTTGGATGCAGCGCGACGAAAGAGGTTGGAAGCCGAGGTGGCTCAACTCAAGAAGAACCAAGATCGAAGATTGCAGCGCAAGAATGCCAAAGCTGCGGCTGAAGGTCTGTCCATTCCTGGAGGCTTCCAAAAGCTACTGAACAAGACGGACACGAAGAGGAGGTGCGGAAGGTGTGGACAGGTGGGACATATGAGCACGAACACTAGTTGTCCATTGTACGAAGCTCCCAAACCTTCGCAGATGGCCAGCTCAGCTTCCAGCAGGGCCGCTGCAAAGACTGGCTCCGGTGGGGGGAATGAAGAGCTCAACGGAGGCATCAGCTCCGATGCTTCTAGGCGTCCTTCCCTCTTGACTTCTGGCGTAGGAAGCACTTCCAATTTGTACGGCGTGCCTCACACCCCATCGAGCGCAATGCCTCCTCCAGCTTCTCCCTTTCCATTTGCCAGAGCCCTCGGTGGAACGCCCATGGCAAGTCCTGCAACGCCCGGGTTCGGCATGCCCTCAGCCCACGCCACCTCTCCACAGGCATCTCTTCCTGGCACTCCTGGACCCGGCTCGACCGGTGCGAGCGGAGGCGGTCCTGCTCCCAAATTCAAGCTGAAATTGGGCAAGAAGAAGGATTGATTTCGCAAGCGCCGCTCGAGATTATCTTCACATCGAGATAGATATCCATCTCCCACGCCAAAGACACTGAACATGTACAACAGTTGATCGCATTGCAATATCGACTCGAATGGGCGCAGAAGGTATGCTGACATGTGCAGTCTTGGGAATGATCTTGGACAGTGAAGTGTGAGCGGCAAGGCACGAGCTGGAGCAGGCGTCTCATTCTGGTCTCAAGTAGCAGGTCGAAGAGCTCTGAGTCTCTCGGCAAGTCTATCATCGGCGTCGTCTGCGACAGCTTGAGTTGGTTCAGCGCTCTTGAGTGGGCCAACCTTGCCTTCCAAAGAAGCCTCGCCAAGCTGCTGATTGACCTCGATCCCATTCTCGTCTGCCACTTGTTGCAAGAGGCTATCGATTTGATCTTGAGGCGTAGTCTGGGCCGTCGTGGCGCCCATTGTGCCTTCCATGTAGGAAGTCTGCACATCCATATCCTCGAACTGCTGCTCGAATTTCTCCATCACAAGAGAGATCTGCGAGGGTGATCAAGCTCGTCAGAGTTAGCTTGGCACGCACGCCGAGGCGCGCGCTCTCGTCTTGCAAGATGATGTTTGCATGCTCGACGTACCTTTTCAAGGTTCATTGACTCCATAGCTTTGTCCATACCCTTTACCACTGACGCCATACTGCCAGTCACCTGCCGATAGGGATGCATAGAACAACGTGAGAACATCCTCACACGCAGTGGCGACAAGCCGCTCCTCTCAGGCAGCTACAAAGCGCCCTTCAGGCTTTCCTTAGTCAGCACACGTGGCCTGGATTCTGCAACGCACCTGCCTCATGGTCACCGCCGTCTCCACTCTGCTAGCTACAGCGTCGATCCTGCTTGCCAGCCTCAATAAGTTCAAGCCCTCATTCTTCTTGCGAATGGCATTCGACGCATAAATTCTAGCACCTTCAGTGTTTCCCTGTGCGAGAGCCTGTCTCCGTGTGCGTAGATGTACAGCAGTTGCACCATGAGCGAAATCTGCGCAAGTAAGGACGGGACCGTAGCTATAGCTACAGGGTGGAGACGCACCTTCTTCAACTTGGCCTTCTCGCTCGCTTCGTCCTTCGTCGCTTTGCGAGATTGCCTCTGCAAAGACTTTGCTGTGAACTGCAGGCCGGGCATGCCAAGAGGTTCTGGCAGTCAGCAGAAGCTCTTGCATGCATGCCTATCAAGCGCACGACATCAAAGACACTCACCTTCAGCTGGAACAGTGATTCTATTGGGGCCCAGAGTGAGAGCGCGAGCAGTGTCAGCGGTGCTTGTAAGTGATAATGTCATTCGTGCTTGCATCGACACCGCAGTCCATATTCCCCTCCCCAACTGCCAGGCTAGACACCGGAAGTTGTGCGCCGGAAGACTCCTTCCCTGAGCTTCAGTACTTCGTCACAATGCGCAGACTCACTCTCTAGCCCGCTCATGATTCTCTAAGAGCTCGCAAGTTTGGGCAAGCAAGGACGAGTTCACGGCAACTCTAGACTCCTCTATCAGGCCTCAAATGTCTCGGGTGTGCGCAACGATGCTGGAGCAGGCAGGATGAGCTCAAGATGGCCCAGTTTAGTATCCTGAAAGCTCGAACGATGGGCAATAAATGAAGCTGGCGTCTCGTCGAACTTGTCGAGGCCGCAGATCGAAAGTAGAGTCTGCAATCTGATCAAGTGGATGTGAGGAGCTGTAGAAAGCAATCGACGGGGTGAAGCTCGAGTGCTTGAGAGCGGTGGGTGGTGTTGAAAGTATGGAGACAGGTCGCGCATCGCAGCTCACCGCTCTTGACTGCATGGCATGTCTGTCGCGATGGCAGCAGGTGTGGAGACCCTGTGTACTGCGACTGCGCGTAACGTCGCTGCTGAGCGGCCCGCGCAGCAGCACTGCAGGCACGGACGATATTCACTGCACGCGTGCACCGACCATGTAAGTCGTGATCGATGTCGAGCACGCGGCATTCGCATTCGCATTCACATTTGTGATTCTTGATTCTTGATTCAGCGACTGTTCACGATTGGAGGGGCTGCCGCATTTCACGCTTCTTACTGCTTATCCTCTCAAAGAAAGCAAAGCAAATTGCGGAGCATCGGTGAGAAGCAGATATCATTATTTCCGCAGTTCTGGCAAGGAGGCGCAGGGGCCCAAGCGAGATGCACGAGTAGTTGTGCTCCCAACGCTCAGGTGACAAGTTGGGTCCACCAGGCGCTTATGGTTCCAGCGCCTTCCGACGTTCATCTGCGTCAACAATGATCTCCAGCCACAGTGATGCTCACCAAGGATGTTGTGCGCCCCTTCTCCGGACATGACGTATACACCTCCAATCTACTCACCAACGTTAGCAGTCTGCTGTCGGCGGAGCGCTCGACAGCACAACGAAGCACGTTAAGCAGCATTCGAGACGGCTTGGATCAGCAGAGTTGCGTGGAAGAGAGGCATAGTACAAATGGGATGAATGATGGGCAGAGGAGCATCTTCGATAAGTGTTGTGCGTATTGTGGGAAGCCCGGCAGCGGTTTCATCGCGCTTCAGTGAGAAAGTGAAAAGAAGTGACAAGAAATGGATGTGATCGGGCGGTTGTTTGAGAGAGCCAGACGGTCAAGGCAGCGAATTACGAGTCGAGTGGAAGGATGAAGTATCAGCATGTGGGAGAGAGTCTGGGCGAGTGTGGGAGGCATGCCCTGGTGCACAAAGCCGCGCGACCAGAAGCCCGCACGGCTGGTCAACCAATGAGACGATTAGGTCATCGCTCAAAGATCATCCTCATCAAAGGAGAGCTCCCTCTGCATCTCTTCGTTTTGCATACGAGCAGCCTCTTGCTCGACGTACGTCTCTTCTTGCTGGGCGTGAGCCTCGACGTCCAAGCGTACGATATGCTCAAAAGCTCTGGCCAGATCTTTGCGCAGCGCCCAGCGCTGGCGGTCGTTAGCGCGTATATTCGGATCAGTGTGGAGCAGAAGCTTCTTGAAACGGTTCAGCAATCCTCGTGGACCTTCGAGAGGCATTTCCAGTCGATCATATCGCTGGATGTATCTGCATGACGCCGAACAAGCAGAGTCAACAGGTGGCTCTTTGGGGCAGAAGTTCGAAATCACTGACCTTTCAAATTTGGCGAGCTCCTCCTCGCTAAGCTCCTCCTTGAGGCGAATGTACAGCCGGCGTAGGGCCAGCCGCTTGCCTTCTTCCGTCAGATCCTGAGGATACTCAACAATGTCATCCGAGGAGTGCACATGCGAGATGCTTTCGGAGTGGGCGGGATTTTCGTTAGACGCTCCGCGCCGACGAGGAACGGACGAGGGCGTCGGATCGCTTTGCGAGACATCGAGATGTCCACTCGCTGTGTGTTCGTACACTGGAGAGCCATGCTTGCTACCAGCTGAGCTCGAGTTGGCTGGGCTCTCAGATGAGCTCGAATTGATTCCACCGTCACGCACCTGCGCTGCTGGGCTGGTACCTTGGGCAAGCGTAGAGGAGCTGAACTGATGATGCGACACCGGCCCAGCTTCATCAGTGATGAGAGCAGAGTCGCTGATGGTGCGTTTGAAGGTAGATCGGGAGGGCAAGGTCTGTGCCTCGATGGCCTGCTTCAAAATACGCTCTTCACTGCTCGAAAAGATATCGTCCTTCTGGACAGGAATGCTATCGTGTACACTTGTGCTGCCATTACGGCTCCGAGTGCCTCGTGCACGGGCTCGCTCGATGCCGCCATGACTTCCCGTGCTCAGGCGGCTAGTAGCTCGGCTCGAAGGCCTGTTGATGAATGCTTGAGGCGGCGCGAGCGGTGCCGAAGGCTCTTCATCTGCTGGGCCAGCGGATCTTCGACCATGTTGAGCTTGGAGGGCTTGCAGCTGCTGTTGCTGTGTGAGGCTCGTCCTACGTAGCTGTTTGCGCGCCTGAAGAGTGTCTGCCAGGTATGCTCCAGTCACAGTCGAAGCATCGCTGACCGCGCTACCGCCACGAGCAGGCGCAGTGAGAGCTCCGTGGCTCTGACGGTGAACCTGGGCGTCGGAGGCGACCGGCAATCCTCGTCTGTTGTTACCTTCTGGCGCGAGAGAAGGCAGGCTAGCAGAAGCCATTGTTGAGTTCCCTGACATGAGGCCTGTGCCATCCGTGTTCGTACTTCGCCTTTTCGGCAAGGCTGCTTCGGCATGAGCAGAACCAGATGTGATGACGACCGTGTCGCTACGCTGACGACTGAGACTGGGCATAGGACCAGTGTGACTGCTCGAAGCGACGTCTCTTGGGAGAGATGGGCCAGCGATGGCCACGGTGTGCGCTGCGGATGGGCGACGCTGCCGCTGATAGTCAGCTACCGCGGGCTGCGTGCTGCCCAAACCGAGTGATTGTTGGCCGCCAAAGGTCGAAGCATACGACTGAGATGCGGTATGCTGTTGATGTTGGTAGCCTGAGAGCTCCTGCTCGGATTCTGTCATCAAACCTCTCCCACGCAAGAGCTGCGAGCGATTGATCGGGTCGTACTCGGCCATCCGGGAAGCCCGACCGTCACCGAAGAGGGCCCCAGCTTCGCGATTCTCTGCATCGGCTAAGACGATGTCGGCTATGCTCTCGGCACTGTGATGTTCACGTTGACCGTTTATCCACGATCCTGGTACCACGTTGGACCAGCTGGGGTGAAGATCCACGCATGCGCCGTCTATCGGCCCACTAGAGCCTTCTCGTGAGAAGCCGCGCCTGTTGTTGGAGACGGTCTGACGATCAAGGAGGTTACTGCTGCACCACGGCTCCATGTTGCTCCCTGCGTGCATGCTGACGGTGGCAGTGTCGAAGGTCTGTGACAAGGATGTCGAGATCGGTGGCGATGGAGCATTCAGGCGATCGGACGGCAAGGAAGGGCCGAAGGAGTCGGGACCCGGCAAGTTGTGACCCTGGCGGCTCGAAGCTCCTTCTCTGACGGTGAGCATTCTTTCCAGAAGAATGACCTAAGGCAAGTGCAACGCCATGGAGTCAGCCAATGCCGTAACTTTGCTCATCGTTGATATGTCTCACTCTTTCTGCTAGACGGTGGCGGTGCTCATCGATGTTCCTCGACTCGGCCCGCACGCTCGCAATCTCTTCCTCAAGACGGTCGATGATGCCCTCGTGCTGCGCAGTCAGCTCCTTGAGACGGTTGCGCTCCGAGGAGAAACCCTCGGCCTGAAGAAGCGAGGAGGAGCGCACGTCGAATCAATTGAACTTGGATATGAAGGAGCATGATTCCCGCTCACCTGTATGCGAAGCTTGGCACAGTAACGTTCCCAATCCCGACACTTCTTGGCCATTTCGTAGTATTTGCCCGTCATTTCGTTCCATTTGGCACTGAAAGCGGAATGTAGCGCTTCGACTCCGAGCTGAGGACAGTCGTACGAGGTGGTCAGCAGGGCGTGAGCTTCTTCAACAAGGCTCTCATGCTACACTCACACTCCGATCTGGATCAAAGGGCAGATTGCTGGGAGGCTGAGCTTCGTGGGCCGAGATAGATGTAGGCTCTGCGGGCGGCAGAGGACTGTGACTGCGGTAGGGCTTCCGGTGCTCTTCGGAGCTGATCACAGACTCTCTTGATTTTGGCGCGTTGAGAGGATGGCCGGTGGCGTTGGGAGCGAGTCTCTTGCGGCCGGAAACCAGAGGAGCCGTCGAACTGGTGGGCGGTGGAACGCTGGATGGACCGAACGTCGCTGCTGAGGCCAACGCGTCGGACGAGCCGGCAACCTTCAACGCTTCGCTCCCAGCAGAGGTACTCGCGCAGGAGACTTCTCTTCGGCGTTCCTTGCGCAGCTGGGCACGTAGGGAGGTGTTGCTGCCGGTACCGAGGGAAAACGCTGTTGCTTGGCTCGGCGCACACGTCGTAAGGGGTCCGTTTGACGGGCCACGCCGAGTCGCAGCCACGCCCTCGCTTTGCGAGACAGCTAAGCTCCTCGACGTCGACATAATTGGATCGTGATGGTCGAGAGCTCAGTTGACTTTGCGATAACGCGCGAGGTCTAAGGGCAGGAAAGCTGGCTCAGATGTAGCCAGCGATCTCGAGCACGGGCCCACAAGAAATCAACGGGAATCGCGGTTGAGAGGGGAGAGGCCCAGAGCTTACTGGCGGCGCGCTGGAGAAGCGTTTCGTAGGCAGCGCAAGTGTTGCTTGGCCACGTTTGGAGATGGAGGGAATGACCCCTAGTGAGCCTATAGAAGTGAATGTAGCGCGTTGAGACCGAGCTTTTGGGATAGGGTGCCAGTCCAGAGATGGGGGAGCGATGGTGTTGGCATTCGAGTAAGAGCGAGGTCGATCGAAGGAGCACGAGTCAAGGTAGTGTGAGCCCCGTGCCTCGCTGTCTATGGCAAGCCTCAGGCTCGGCTCGGAGCACGATTGGACGTTGAAGGGTACGCGCAGATTCGATTCGCGGTGAGTGGAGGGAACTCGGCAGCAATTTGTGAATGCATGCAGTCGTCGTCGGCGATGTGACCATATGCGCGCGTAGCTTTGATGCAAGCGCGCTTTCTACGACGCCGCGCTTCGATGCCTTGCTATAGACTCGCGGCTGTGTAGGTATATGATGATGCTGCCGTCCCGCGCTTGGGATGTGGCTTTATCGAGGGTAAGCTGTGCTCTAGCGCCCGACACTGAGGCTCCCATATTTCCCTAGCAAGTTCAGGGCGCTCGATTGCTGCTGAGCATCGTACGAGGCTTGCTCTGCGCTACATTCAATCTCTATCGACTCGATCGACTCGCTGCGAATCAGCCAAAGCTAGACTCAAAAGACTAATTCTAGCGATGCACAATAAGGGCAGCGTGTAGATTCTCCAGCGTTCTTGCTGAGGGCTGAATGACTGTCTCGGCCCTTCGCTGCCATAGCAATCAAGAAACTTCCCTTTGGATTTAGATCGTCGACAATTGGTTCCACCTCAATCATACAGGTCTCGTTCGCCCGCGGCTCCGCCAATTGAGTCAATCTTTGAGACTGATCGATGTCTGCGAGAGGGCGGTGATGTGCTCACTGCGCACATTTTGCAGCAACGTCCTGCTCGCGGGCGTCTCACGAGAACACAAAGGGACGAGCAAAGAGCGCCAAGTCCAGAGCGTCCTTGTGCAGGTGTGATGAACGCATCGACACCTGCTGTGGCAGAATGCTCGCATTCAGCCATCTCGCCCCTTCGCGTTTCATGCTGGGGTGCTGTACGGGTCATGCGAGACCAACACATCAACACTCGACGTTCAATACGCGCGCTACGCGTCCGCGGAGCCCACAGCGGGTACCCGGCAGGGCGGGCATCGAAAAAGAGACGCGGGAGCGCGGGGTCCAATATATTGGTGATCTTCGCGGAGAGCGGTCCAACGATGACCGCGCTTGTGCCTGGGCAGCGAGCCTGGTGATCGTTAGCGATGAGCTTCTTGCATGCAACGGCAGCGGGCCATTTTTGATTCTGAATCACACCACGCCACTCGTGACTTAAGTATGTGGGCTTTGCCGAGCCGAGCAGCACAGCAAGACTTTCCTAATTCGATCATTCAAAATAGTGTGCCGTCCAGCAATTGACAGACACCGCGCAGATAGTTATGGCACGCCTTGATGGTGCATGGTCGATGCCCTGTGGCATGCAGATGCAGCACTCATAGTGCAGCACCTCATCCGAGGTCTACAAAACATCACCCATGTCGCCGGTGACCCCTTACTCATCCATCATTCGCGCAGTCACATCATCACACCTCGCTCTCAAAAGTCTCCGCAAGTCTTGCTATGTGACACCGTGATGTATGCAGCAGTCACAATCCACGAATCTCACATTCTGAAGCGAGTCAGGGTCGAGGTGCGCGCGCCATGGGAAGGACGCATGTGTGATTTGAATTGTGATTGCTGCTCCCATATATGACAGCGCCGGGACTTGAGTACTACTGCGCTGAGACAACACACAAGAGGGGCTTCAAGCAGACACAGCAGCATGGAAAGTAAGACGACTCGTACGCGTCACTGACTCTCTTTTGCGTGTCATATCGGTCTGCGTCGGTCCGTCCATCCATGCGACTCTCAACTCATCAGACTCTTGACACACTCGTGCTTCCGCGTGAGCGATACCGCTCAATGGCTCGAGAGCGGAGAGCAACAGCGCCATGCAGATCTGCACATGATGCTGTCTAGGCGTTTCCTGTGCCATTTGCAGGTGAGCTCGTGACCTGCCAATTCACGATTATTGATCAATTTTATCGTGTCTTTGCACCTTCGTTGCGTGGCGTTCTTGGAGACCGAGGCTCTTAGCAAATCCAACAGGAGACAACGAGGCACATCTACACTAAGAGAGCACAGTACATGACACCCTCAAGTCTACGCAGACGAGCAGCAACAAACAAAGCCGTCGGGATCGACTCTTGGTCGAGTCTCGAGTGCCGATTATAGGGCGGCGGGACGCACTAGCGGTATTCGCGATGGAACAATCAGACATGTGCGCCGAGCAATCACGAATGTCTCTGAGAGACGCGAGTTTGAGTGGATATATATGCAAGCACTGACGACTCATCGTGACTCGTGACTGCGCTAAGATCGAGACATCCCAGCAGGGCCAGCTTTCAGGCGGACGTGGTCCCGCGATGTCCGTGGGCGCATCAGCCATGACCGAACTAACAAACAACGCGGCCTCTGACGCAGCCTTTCCGCGCGCGCGCTTCGAATGACCGCGTCTGGCCACGTGACACCAGGTCGTGCGCTCTAGCATCCAACCCAATCACGAATCTTGAATCATTCAAATTGAATCGGAAGCGAAACAGGTGATCAGAACATGTTAGCGGCACGGCTACGCTCCCTTTACACGTCTTCTCTCCTTTTGACCTGGCCATTTTTCCTGGGTCGCGAATGGACCTTATCTTGACTGACGAATCACGATCGGGTAAGCTCGAGTAGACACTGCTTTGTGCAAGTTACATATTAAGATGTCCTCTCTAGGAGTTAGAAGAGCTTCGCTGGGAGGCGCAACCCAGCCAGCAGCCAAGCAGCCCTTCTCATTTGGAAGTGCTTCCGGCTCAACCTTTGGCTCTGGCCCACCAGCAGGCCCCTCCCACAGCAACGCGACTGCGGGCAGCTTGTTTGGCAACACTGCTACTCAGCAACAGCCGCAATCGCTTGGGCAACAAGGACAGCAGACGCAACAGCCAAGCGGTGGAGGGTTGTTCGGAGGACAAAATGCTCAGAGCGGGGGGCTGTTTGGAGGTCAGAATGCTCAGAATGTACAGCAAAGCGGCACAGGAGGGGGCACAGGCGCGAGTGTCGGTGTAGGCGCCTCGTCATTCAGCTTCGGGGCCCAGAACAATCAAGCAGCGGGACAACAGAACAAGCCTGCGGCATCGCTCTTTGGCGCTCAGCCAGCAGCTGGGTCCTCCACTCAACCCTTTGGCTCGAGGCGAGTACAGCGTCTGCTGGGGCTTCGATGTCGAGCTCAAAGCTGACCATTCGATCGCTCCGTTCCATGCCGTTCTGTCCAGTCTCTTTGGCCAGTCTCAGGCCCAGCAGCCGAAACCTGCCTTCTCCTTCTCTCAGCCACAGCAGCCCCAAACAGCATCTCAGGGCGGCGCTTTTGGCTCATCTTTCCAGCAAACATCAGCACCTGCTTCAAACAACAATCAAGCTGCCTCTTCGCCTTTTCTGAGTCATCCATACTACGCGCGAGAGAAGTTTGACCATTTGCCCGAGGACCAAAGGAAGCTGATCGAAGAGCTTGAGTGAGTACACTTGTCCCTCAGTCTTGGCCACCCACGACCGGGGCTTGCATCCACCGAGGCTTCCGCAGCGCAAGAAGATGTTTGCGTAAGCAGGATACTGGTCCTGTGATGTCTTGCTTCGATCGCACGGCGGCGTTGCCTGGACCAGTGGAACAGGACGGTTGCGTGACTCTTGGCCGACGACGAAGAAATGCTGACTGATCACACCAACCTGCTGGCGAACGAAACATCGACAGCAACTTTATGCAGACGCAAAGGAGGAACGGCGCTCCCCTGGCCACGATGGATTTTGCTCCGATCGCCAAAGTATCGGAAGAAGCTCAAGAGCTGACCAGTGTGAGGCGATCAAAAATTTGAAGGCCCTGCTGAAGACACGGTCACGTGTGCTGACTTTTCCAACTTTTGGCTTCTTATTTGGCTCTCTGGTAACTTTGACGTCCTCAGGACTTGTCGTCGTTGGGAGCTGCCCTCGAGATTGATCTGCTCGCTGCACGCGACGCCAACAAGCGCGTCGAGGAAGATGATAGAGACAGTGGGAACTTGCTCGAGCTGCTGAGAGGGGAAGCTCGAACAGACTGGCTGCGAGGGTACGTTTGGATTCTACTGCACATTTGACAAGGTGCACGCCCCTTGACTAATCCTTCCGGCCTATATGCATTGCAGATTCTTTGAGCGCTCAGCCAACGAGTTCCGGGAAAGGATCTTGAGGTATAGAGCAACAATGGAGCAAATAGAACGACACTTGAGTAGCGTGGATAACAGGGAGTCGCATTCACCAGAAGGTGAGCTCGGCGCACGCCTCGATGTCGGCTCGATGTTCCTGTGCGCTGATCGCGCCAGCCGACGCTCGCCGTTCCCAGCTATCTCGGAAGCTATCAGGGTGCAGCATGCGTCATTTATGGCGCTGGCATCTTCGGTAGCCGCGCTTCATTCGGAAGTGGAGGGCTTCAAGAGACGGTACAGCGACTGGTATTTCCAGACGCACAGGACGGCTCGGGACCCCTTTACTGCGCTTCCCGACGATTTTGCGAGATCTTTTGGATGATTGGGTGAGCTCAGTAAGCTCAAGCGTTGAGTATACGTCCATGACACTACACGCCGCGGATGACACTCGATCAGCGGGTTGCCATTGGGAGCCGGACGCGGCTCACACGCACACCTTAGCCGAGTCTGGATGAAAACAAGCACCTGACGTGGGTGCTCGAGTGACACGGATCGCATTGATCTATAAGCAGCTCAAATTCTGCCAGGGGCAAGCTGTAGTGGTGCGGATACAAGATGCATAGAGCAGGAAGCTTAATTATGCGTGAGATGAAATGTAATGCGAACGAATTGTTGGCAGCGCGCTCCTTTTGAAGTCTGAATGTACAAGGCGCGCGAACCCTAGGGTTTCATCTCCAGCATGGGTATCATTCCTATGCAGCATAGACGCGCTGAGAGATGTGATGATCATGAGCTCGTGAACGTAGACAAAGCTATCCTAGCAGATCTTTCAGGCGAGCGCGCAAGACACTCTCGAAGCTGTCCAGATGCTCTGCAGCCCCCATGCGCCAGGGCTCTCGTGTCGCTTCGCAAAAGATTTAGGCGCAGAGGCTGGCCAAAGGGCGAGATGGGTGCTGCAGACTTGAAGCACCGATAAAGTCCCAAGCCAATGATGGTGCTGCCGAACCCAGAGCTTGATATCGAAAATTTGTGAGACGCGGTTGCTCTCGAGACCATGTCAAGGGTCTTCAGTAGTACGACACAGTGTGAAGCAGAGTGTGAGGATGCTTTTGCATTTGTGTCTCAAGAATGGACGGCATCTCGTCGTCGATGTCCCTCGCAGCTTCAATCTGACCAGTGGATGGTAAGCGGGCAAAGGAGCAATCACATGCTATTCCAGCTCAGCCTCTTGCCCTATAGGACACGTACAAATTCCACTCACTGCGCGTGCTAGTTCCAAGATTGCTCGCCCAGCTATCAAGGCCTCCTCGTGGTTATCTCTGATCTCGACGTTGATGACGTGAACACTGCGATTCAGCTCTCCGCCTCGATTAAGTAGATCTGCGAGCGAGTCCATCCACCAAAGAGAGTCAGCAGGCCGACCAGAGCTCGAGAGAAAGCCGCACGGCGCGGCAGTGCGTACCTTCACAAACAGAATCGAAGCACCTCTCCTCGCACGTGATGACGACATCCAGCTCCGGGCGCGTCATATTCCACCTCTCGGGAGCCTGCTTGACTTTTCTGTTCCTATCCAGCATAGTCAACAACCCATTAGCCGTGTAGAGCCTCTTGTCTTGAGATTCTAAATCTCGATACATTTGATCGTACGGAGTTCCAAAAGTGTAGATGTTTGGCTTGTCGATCGCTGTCCCTGGTAGACGCACTGCTGAACCTGTGCCCGCTGAGATCACTTGCATGCCTGCTGCGTGCAGGACCTTGTGCGCCTCCATCGAGCGATTCTGTTGGATAGCAAAGGCAGAAAAAGTGTCTCAGAAGCAGCGTAGAAGCTTGAGTGCTACAACATCGAGTGTAGATGATCCCCACCCATCACCATTCTGCCAGCAACAGTGAGCCCTGACCCAAAGCGCTTCCAGGTCCCCTCTCGCCCACCAAGCTATCCATCACTCTTTTGCGCTACTGCAGCAGCTGTTGCTCACATTGTTGCTCGCGCATACGACACAGAATTGAACCCTCGGCTTGTCGGATGCAGGCTGTGGTGATGCAGCGCCATTGCTACCTTGTTTGCTCGTGGAAGGTTTCGTGGACGTGCCATTCCGCAGAGCAGACCTGATGGGCATGGCGGTGCTCGCAGACATGTTGATGAACGTGTAGCGTTCAAGTAGGCTTCTTCAGGTGGTGCACTGTGCTTCGAATTGGCCGAGCTGTTTCAAGATCTTGGCCCCTGTAGGCGAGCGACCAAACACGGCGCAAGCTGTGATGCTGCCGAGCTTTCAGATATCGCTCCGTGAAGTCGGAGGGAGCTGGACCGCCCAAGGAACACTGTTGGGTTGGTCTAGCTTGGAAAGTGAGACTGATGAGCTCTTTACCGTATGCACGCGCGGGTGCCGCTTTCAAGCGGAGCAGCCAAGCTGAGATCAAGCTCAGCTCGGATTCGGGCTTGTGGAAAGGCGAAAACGCTGATGAGGTTGTGCTGACCAGTTGCGGCCAAGGCGACAGTGTGTCGATGGTGCCTTCTGATTCAAATCCTCAACTTCAAAATGACACTGACCAAGATCAGAACCAGAAGCAGGAGTCGTGAACCAGAATCATAATCCTGAATCGGGAAATCAAGTTGAGGACTCACCCCTTCAAAGCTCGAGTCCAGCAGATCTTGCAGCAATTAAGCGTGTTCGCATACATGCACGCGGTCACGCGCCCACTAAAAGACTTCTTTCAGTCTGGTGCTTGATTCCATTCAAGATTCAAAATTCAAGATTTTTGATTGGCGATGCTCGGATTCAAAATTAGCTTCATGTGATGTGTGCAGTCTGAATTGTAATCGTGGCATTAAAGATTCGCAATCATGAATTGGACTCTTGTTCTGTCAGCTTTCTAGCATTCGAATTCATGATTTAAATGGTCTCACCCACTGTGTGCAATCTCTGAGCTTCAATTCCGTTCCAAGATCTCTGATGGTGATCAAATCTGACATCAGAAACGAATCAACCCGAACATTGACTCTTTGTACATGTTGTGCTCTTGAGGTGACAGCTCCTCGTTGAGACATCCGTTTTCGAAATTCGTGATGGTCTATGCTAGCTAAGGCTGATGCTCCCGTGACTGGCTTGCAAACAGCAGAGGATCTAGCTGATCGCGCTTGTCGCCCTCGTGACTCAAACTCACTCAAAATCATCAAGTATACCGGTGCCCCGCAAGGAGGCGAGGCTGATCGAGCGGGCACGGGCTCCCGCCAGCTAGCATCCAGCACACACAAAACATCAAATCGCGCCATGCTGGGGCTTCTGCGCGCCTCTGTGTGGCAGCCATGCACGCAGGTATGCGGTGCGAGATGCACGCCTGGCACGGGACCGGTGCGGGTGCCCGTTGGCCATGCAGCTACATAGCGCGCGAAGCTACGGGGCGTTTCTGAAGACTTACGACTGCTGCTGCATGCAGCTGGTGCGTGCGTTACAGTGGCGGCATGACACTCTGGGCAACTTGCCACTGTGCGTATTGCGTTCAGTCCGAGGCTTGCAGCTGAACAGCGCTGACGGCCATCCAGGCCATCCAGGCCTTCCCTGCAGACCCGCGGCAGCCATCGCGTGCAAGCATGCAAGCATGCAAGCGGCTGCCCTCCCCGAGACACGAAAAGGGTGGCTGGAGCTACGCGATACCTTCTGCATCGTGCGCTCGGATTTCATTAAGCCATGATGAGTCTCGAGCGCCTCACTCTTCGGGCTTTGCCAACACGCAGCCTCCCACATCCGTACCGCCAAACCCTACACCCCCCAAAAGGCTACAAGCATTACTGAAGCCTGTTTAGCTCTAGAGCTGGGACTATTACCACCAACATCGCTAGCTCGCGTAGTCACTCGGCAATCGCCGCACACCATACCCCTCGCAAAAGGGTACCTACCCCCCCTGACGCCAGCTGCCTGGCGAAGTCGAGTTGGCAATGGCTAGCGAGACGCCCGTCGGCAATGGTGGGAGCGGGCATGTGTACGTGTATGCTCTGCACGACTTTGAAGCAGAGAACCCGGACGAGGTGTCGTTCCAAGCTGGGCAAGCAGTCCTCGTTGTCGAGAAGGACGATGCTTACGGCGACGGTTGGTGGCAGGTGAGTTGCGCGCAGCAAAGAGCGCCAACACCCCCGCAACAGTGTGGGGCTGGCGGTGTCACAGTGCAATTCTCGTATCCTTTCTCACTTGTGTACTGACACGCGCCTATGACACGCCGAACTTTGCCAAGGGCACTAACAACAAAGGCGAGACAGGTCTGTTTCCATTCAGCTACACCACCTTTGACAAGGAGTTGGCACATCAAGCTCAGGTGGATGCTCTCGCAGCTTTGAATGGCTCTGGCGCTGTCATGGGAAGCACAATGGCCGACATCGATGCGGCGCTTGCTCACTTGTCTAATGAAGACGTCCCAGGCGCCTCGCAGAACGGTAGCACTGCTCAAGAAATCTCCAAGCCGGGCGACGGTCTGCCAAAAGGTCGTGCCAGCTTCGCGAGCGATCGCAGTGGCGACATGAGCGTCGGAGAGACCGAGGATGGAGTGGATGCAGAAGCCGAGATTGCCTCTAGGCAAGCTGCTCGAGCGGCACTCGCCATCAATGCCCAAAAAGCGGCGGATGCAGCTTCCGCTGATCAACGAGCAGCCGAGGAGCGCAAGCGAAACGAGGCAGCTAGAATCTTTGCTGAGGAAGAAGAGCGGCAACGTCAGAAGCTGCTTGCCAAAGAGGCTGAACGAAAGAGAGAGTTGGAGCAGGGCACATTGAAGGCCGACGTTAAGGATGACAAAGTTGCCCCCATTGCTGGTGTGGAGATGAGCGATGAAAGCGACTCGGAAGGATCGGATGCTGCTGGGCCCACCACCACGCATGCGCCGCTGTTCGGCAACCTCGCACCTCAGCAAGCGCCTCAAGAAACGCAGCGGTCCTTATCACCCATCGCAAGTGCTTCTGGTCACGGGCACAACAAAGCGCTGGCTGGTGCTGCTGCAGCTGCCGGCGCTACTGCTGGTGCTGCTGGTGTCGCTTTGGCACATTCGCAGAAGAACCAACAAGCTTCGCTGCAGAGCCCAATCAGCCCCACAGACAGGCGTCCATTTGATCAAGGTAGCGCAAGCACCGCGACGGATGCCGGTGCTCCAAGCACCACCGCTACGAATACCGCAGCTACTAGCGTCGCCGGAGGTAGCGAGACTCCTAAGAGCGCATCAGCTGCGGGTCCTGCACGATTCGGACAATCGCTCTCGCCCGCAAACAGCCAAAGGGACGGGGGACCGGGAGGGGACCCACACGAATGGTCCGTTGATCAGGTCGTGGAGTGGGGTCGTTCGAAAGGATGGGATGAGGCGTCAGTGGTATCCAAATTCGCAGGTGAGTCGCTGCGTCACGGGCTCGCGTGCCTTCGAAACTAAGATCTGCACCTGGCGCGCCTTTCAACTTCGCCATCGCAGAGCACGAGATTTCTGGCGATGTCCTGATGGAGATGGATGTGAACATTCTCAAAGAGATCGAGATCATCGCCTTTGGCAAGCGGTTCCAGGTCGCCAACGCAATCAAGGAGCTCAAGAAGCAACTCGACCTGCCTGTGTCGCCTGCCCCGGCTTCAGCCCAAAGTGCGACGCAACCTTGGGGCCTGGCATCGACTCCCGGAATGCGTACCAGCAGCCCCGCACCACCCAGCAGCGCTGGTGGTCATGGAGGTGCTGTGTCTTCCTTTTCTGGCACGGCTTCTGCACCACCACCAGCGAGCGGCCTTTTCGCCGGCGTCCCAACGCAGCCACCTGCGTTCGGCCCTCCTCAGCACAGCAGCAGCTACGATCCTGCGAGCATTGGACCAGCGCTTGGTAGTCGCGCAAGCAACGATTCGAATGGAGTGTACCCCAGCGGCATGCCGGGTGCGCCGCCCTCCAGTGGCAAGGGCTCTCGTGGTCTTGGAGAAAGCACTGAACAGGTCGACCAGCAACCCGATTCTCCCTTAGCTGGCCTCGCGAGCGACAAAGGTGTTGACAAGAAGGTCAAGAGTCCTGGTCCCGCTTCCCCTCGCAAGCGCGAGACTGGCAGCAACGGCCGAGAGTCAGGTGCTGGTGAGCGGACATCATTCTTTGGCTTCCAGAACCGCAACAGGAAGCCGCCTCCACGAGTTGTATCCGGCGCTTCTGCTGCAACCTCTGGCAGCTACGAGGAAAGCTCGGGGGCCAAGGGGACACTTGGGCGTCTTGGCTTCTCTCGCCTCCGCGAGCGCAGTCATCAGCCCCCCGAAGCGTCGCCATCTAGCGACGCGATCAAGGGGAAGATCAGCCTTCCTACGAGCAGCCCAACTTACGACGCCATGGGAGACACTGCGCGACGCAACAGGCAAAGTCAGCAAAGCGCGAGCTCTGGTGGCTATCCCAACAGTGCGGGCCCAGGAGGCGCCTTTGGGCACGCAAAGCAGGCCAGCGTCGGCAGTGCTGGTCCTGCCGCTGGCGATTGGTACGGACCCAACAGAGGCTCCAGCAACGAGCCACGCAGTCCCGGACAAGCTTCAGCTCCCACCGAAGGTCCTGTCATGGCGCGAATCAGGCCTGTCGACCTTGAAGGCTGGATGAAGAAGAAGGGCGAGAGGTACAACAGCTGGAAACCTAGATACTTGGCGCTCAAGGGCTCAGACCTGGTCATACTCAGAGATCCTGCTGCTCCCAAAATCAAAGGCTACGTCAGCATGAAAGGCTACAAGGTCATCGCGGATGAGAACACCAACCCTGGCAAGTACGGCTTCAAGATTTTGCACGAAAATGAGAAGCCGCACTACTTCTCTTCGGATGATCCTGTGGTGGTTAGAGAATGGATGAAGGCGCTAATGAAGTCCACCATCGGCAGGGACAACACACGTGCGTATTGTGCCTATCCCTCGCCATGAGACGAGACTCTGGCAGACCTGCTGATGATTGACATGCACGTACGGTCCCTGTTTCAGTGCCTGTCATTTCTTCATATAACAATGCGACCATCTCGCTCAAGGAAGCGCAACGAATGAATCCGCCACCGCGCCCTCCGAGCCCGACGAGCCGCGCTCGAGCGCAAAGAGCGACAGCGCGTGCCAACAAGGATCAGCTCACTGCGAAGGATGCTAGTGTATTGATGGTGAGTCTTGTGCTTGTGACCTTGCCCATCACGTCTGAGCTTGTCGTGCTTAGTCTGTTCCTGTTGAACTTGCAGGGACTCGGTCAACCCGCCAATTTGAGGCAGGGCTAGTAAGTGCGCTTCGGTATCCCCGACCATCCCTTCTGCCCCCACTTCTCGCGCCTCTCCCAATCCGGAGCCATTGGATCAGCTAGTCAATTCTCTCTTCAACAGACGGACATCGTTCGGCGAGCTGCCAGGACCAGTGGCAGAGTCGCGGTCTTTTGCGAAAGATCTGATGCCGAGAGGAGAGAGACGTGTTGGGAGACGCCGTAGAGGGGAGGCATTCGAACTTACTAAACCACCTGTTGAACTGCGACTGCTGCGCTCTTGTCGGACCACACTCGAGCCCGCCATTCCACTACTTCCCCACACCACCATACCCAGCGTTTGTTCACCAGACCCATTGACCCCCCCTTTCTTGTGGCATCACTTGCGGGTGTGGATGATGCCCTATGTAAACGCTCCTACGCCTATGCTTTCCGTATTCCATGGGTTCGCTTCAAAAGCCGCGTCGCTCGACATCTCATCTTCAGTCTGTTCGATCGCTGCCCCTCATTCCTCCTGCCCAACATGTAGAGGCACGTTTTGCTGTGCGATACAGCCTGATTAGCTCCTGTAGCTTCACTTAGTTTAGCGCCGCTGGACAGCAGTCGCAGGCAGGTAAGCTAGTAACATCGGATGCGCGCGAAGCGCTGTTCTGTTACCTGTACGGACCTTCCTGATCATTTTCCCTCAACTCGTGCGCGGTGGCTTCCCGTCGCTGCCACAAAAAGCTTGTGCTGACCAAAGGCGCCCTTCTTTCCGATCCGCTCGTAACCATCCGCGATCATCAGCGGAGATTGTAGCTCGCCTCCCTTAGCCACAGGTCCTTGGGCGCATGAGGCTGACAACCACCGTCAGTCAGGGACAAAAAGACAACATCTTGGCGGTACAAGTCCACTTTTTTTGGATCACAATCCGCGGCGCAGCTTCAAACGAGAAGATATTCCTCCACCCGTGGGCTTGGCTGCCCTCCGTCGATCCAACAGCTTCACTAGGTGCGAGAATGCGGTCCATCGAGATGGGACCTGCTCCGATACGGAAGGTGATCCTGGACCGCCCCGTTTGAATCTCGCACGACAACAAAATTTTAGGGGTAGCCATGGTCCATTGGACATTCTCAGGTCTCCTACGAATAATTCTGAAGCCGTAAATCCTTCACAGGGCTATGTGTCCGGTTTAAGAGACAAAGGTGTCAGCACCTTTGCGCCATTCAGCTATGATCGCAAGCTCTGCTCCACCCTTCTGGTGCCTCCGAAGCTCGAGCCTGTGCCAGGTTCTCCAAATCTGCAGCTCGACCAGTCGTTCCACAACTCTCAATCGGGCCCTGAAATTCGCAATGGTGCGCGCATAGACACTCCGCCAAGCTCGCAGATCTTGTTCGTTCAGGGCAAGGGCAAGAGAGGAGCGTCTTCGGACGACGACCTAACTCCAACACCAGCACTAGCACCGCCCTCAAGGACCCCGGACGTGCCAACAACGCCAATCACGGGAGGATCTGTATCGACGAAAGGCTCGACTCTCACTACTGGGTCGTTCTTCGACCTCAGAGATTCGAGGTTTGAGAAAGGCGCAGTCAGCATGTTGATTGAGGACCTGAAACGCCAAAATCAAGGGGATGACAAAGGGACTGGAGATCAGACTGATGCTGATGCCTCGACATTCTGTCAAGGATCTTCTTCGAACATTGGCGGGAGGGGAGCAGACGCCAGAGGGCCAGGCAGACTCGCAGCTCCGTCCGAAGCTATCAACATCATGGCTATGCCAGATAGATCCGGGCCATTCAACAGGAGTCCGCCGGCTGCAGGCCTGTCAGCGAGAGGGCCGACGCCGTTGAGCATTACTCGAGGGCCGCAGCACACCGACGCGCATCCTCGCTTCGCGCCAAGGCAGCGTCATCACAGTGACTCACCTTTGTCTTCCCCAATGGCTAGAGTCGATGAGGAGGGTAGGGGATTCCCTCGCGCTGTGCAAAGCAACTTGGCCTACCTCCTCGAGAATGGAGATGATCGAGAGAGCATCATGACTCCTGGGACGAACAGCTCGGGTGAAGACCTTCTTACCCGTGCGGACCGTTCTGCGGTGGAGTCATGTGCAGCCAAGGTAGACTGGGGACAGCCTGCAGAGTCTCAACGACCAGCTCGAGGCTCCACTTTACCTCCGGGCGCGGCTCAACCTGCAAATTTTGGCGCCAATCTTGGTTCGCTTATCGACCTTCGAGCAGGAGGAACGCCAGATTGTCTGACCTCCGAGAGAAGCTTCCATCCCGAATCTTCTAGGACTCTCCCGCCCCCTTGGCAGTCAGGCCAAAGATACAGGACGGCACCAATCAACAGAGACAGCCCCACGAGCTCGCAGCGAATGCGGCCAGTCCATGCGCACACTGCTCCTCCTCTCGAATCATGGCTGTTCTGCGAGCCTAGCCAACTGCCCTCAAATCAAGCAGCAAGTTCTTCAAAAATTGGAGCAAGCGCGAGCACAGGAACCATGGCAACACCTCGCAGCTCGCGAGGGAGGACAGTCAGCTCTCCAGACTCGGCATCACTGCCACGTCCAGAAGTCAGGAAGATGCCTTCAAATGACAATTGGGTGGTGACAGCAGCACCTTCCCAAGTGCGTATGAAGGAGAAAGTACCTAGTCCTCTCTCACAGAGCACCACCATTAGCGCTTCCTCTAGCCCTTCGAAGGATGTTCGTCCAGTCTCTCCAAATCGTCTGAGAGGATTTGCCGCCCAGCTTCGAAGACCTACTACGATGCACAGCCCAACAAAAAGCAGCGCGGGCTCGCCGTTGAACTCAGGGTCGGGAAGTAGCTTTGCTGGCGTCCGCACTCCCACGCGTGCGAGCAGTAGCAGCGATACGCTATCGGGGTCTCCACCTCCTCCTCTGAGGCTGAAACCTTTCAAGATGACAAGGCGGAGCGGCGGCGCGTCCGGCGCGTCCAAGGACCAGTAGGCCTGTTCCATTCGGCCACGCCGCGAAGCCCACGGGGGTTGCGATACATTATTGCTGTCTACTGAAGCCTCGCGCACATTTGCAAAGCACCTGATCGCCTTGAAACATCTGCTCGAACTCCCTTGCACTGGGTCGAACCACCTTCCTTGCTTAACAACTTGACGCTTGAGGCTTGAAATCTCGATCTTTCTATTTAATGCCTCTGATTCAAACTGCTTTCTGGTGCGTTCTGTATTTTGACTGCACCTGCTGCTTGCTACATACCAGCCCGATCTCGGGTTCTTCAAGTCTGATTTCACAGCGAAGGCACTGGCAACAAAGTCTAGAATCAAGAATTGTGCTTGTCGTTGCGGTGATTAAGGAGAGTCAATAGTCCTGAAGCAGGAACGTACAACATTTGATCTCAGAAGCTCATTCGATTATTCAACAATTCGTGATACACAAAATTGATCAAGAACTTTCGTAATTTCGAAGCGCGCGCGCGGTTCACGACCCATCAACCGCCTGGACTTGACTCAAGCTGAACAGCCCGTGTCACACAAGCTTGTATTCGTGGTTTGATTTCCTTTAGGCATATAGCGTCACGAAATCTGCTGTAGCTACAGAACCCGGCCCGCCCCTTGTTTATATGAGGTAGACAGCAGACATCCGGCCATGCAGCAGCTGGCAGATGTACTCTAAGCATGAGAGCTCCTGAGCTGCGTGCAGACGCTTCGAGGCAGCTCGCCCATTATGGCGCCCAGCTGCGTCTTGGCCGCCCGCCAGTCACGAGTGGTGTGAGAGGCCTGCCAAGCCGCGATTGCGCGCGCTGTTTAGGACCACTGCTCAATCGCCCAATACGCATGCATGCAAGCATTCTTGATTCAAGGCTACGCGGATACAGGGCGGGTGGCCGCGTGCGTGTGCAGAGCGCGCGGATCGCTGCTGCTGCGATGCTGCTCGAGGCTTGACACCTTGCTTTTGCACCTGCTGCTGTTCGCGCCCATTTTGGGTTGCGATACAGTGCGCCGCCCAGCGTTCAAAGGCTGCCGCCATCTACAATTTTGAACTCCATCACTCTGACTGTTTACGCTCCAAACCCTCGCCTGCCATCGCCTCTTCAACGCTCTTTTGTAGTTACGCTCGCCTCCAGCGGGATTCCGGCACGTCTAGCGGAACACTCTCGTCGACGTCACTAAGTCAGCTGCACAGGCTGACAAGCGCATACAGACCACTTTGGCACACAACCCGAAATCCCAAGGATCTCAGTCCTGAAGTCGCTTGATCAATCCCCAACATGCGTGTCTTCGCGTCCGGAAGCGCCCTTGCGGCTGCTGCCGTCCTGAGCGCTGCCTCATGTCTGGCACGAGACATGGGCAGTAGCAATCCGGCCACTCACCAGATGCGCCGACGACCTAGATCAGAGCTGCTCGACCTCGTCGCCCGGCAAGCGCAGGCTCCCGCGCAAGTCCCAGCGACCGACGAACTTCAACAACAGATCATGCAGCAGGCACAGACTGATCCCATTGGGGCTGCTAGGCAAGCAGACAGCCTACAAGGTGTCTGGGGCAACACCCAGGGAGGCGGCAACCTACCCTTCACACTCATCAGTGGAGACTCTGAGAGCGATCCTTTCGGACCGAACAACCAATATTCTTGGAACAGGAATGTCGACTGGGTTCCCAATGCCAATGCCAACCCAGCAGGCGACGATGCACAAAACACTCAAGGTTGGACTGGGCTTCCAGACGTAGTTGGGTTCCAGTTGAACCGGACATGGGAGGTTGTCCCTGGTGCCACGCAGCCGTTCTACATCTCGGCGGGCTGGCAAGATCGTGCATCAACGATCAAGCGAGCAGTCATCACTATGCCCGGTAAACCTCGTGATAGTTGGAAATACTCTCAGCTTGTTCGCATCGCGTTGAACGTTACCGTCACGAATTTCCAGCAATACGGCCTGACAAACTTTGACGACGTCATCGTCATCGGCCCTGCTTGGCTGAACCAGTTCGATCAAGAGTATGGCGCTTCAAGGCCAACCGATCTAATCTTCCACGGCTCTCAATGGCAATCGGGGGGTTACAGCCGATCTCCAAACCTCACCCGCAGCATCACCACTTACGACGTCTTGGATGCCTTCACCGACTGGCTCTTCGATCAGAAGCAATTCCCAGCTTTGACATCGGTGGCGTTCGCAGGCCATTCCATGGGAGGCCAAGCGGTCCAGCGTTATGCGCTCTTGAAGAAGACGAAGGCATACGACCGTAACATTCACTACTGGATCGGTAATCCCGGTTCTTGGGCTTGGCTCTCCGACTCGCGAACATTCCCTACGAGCAACTGTTCAGCGACCTTTGACGAATGGCAATATGGGCTGGGCGGTAATCAGACCAAAGTTACGAAGTACGCTCGCAAGGATGTTATTGCAAACCGACAAGATGTGGTAGACCGCTTCAAGACGCGCAATGTGCACTATGGACTTGGTCTGCTGGATAACGGTGCTGGTGACACTCACTGTGAAGCTATCACTCAGGGCGGGAACCACTTGAACCGAGGCAACCAATTCGTATTGGCCTACGAGAACAATGGCGGCTTTCCCTCCACGCACACGGTGGACTACGTTCCCAACGCTACCCACCAGGACTACTCGATGATTTCTTGGAACTTTACGGTGAGTCAGATTGGGTCAGAGCGACGCAGTGACTCTATTCGCTGACCTCGATTGCACATGCGCAACATCCAGCTACAACGCCTGTTCACGGATGGCATTCAAACTCGTCAACCTGCCTTGACTGATTTGCGCAACCCAGGCGACAAGAACAAAACGACTGGCGCCGTGCCCAATCCTCCTCCTCGAGCATTCGCAACGCCGATTCACAAGATCGTAGCGTACGCTTTGCTTGGAGGCTCGGTTGCAGGAACGGCTCTCGCCTTCTTCATTCTACCCTTCCTCTTCTCCAACAACACTTCGACTTGGGAGCAAGAGCAGTGGGAAGCAGAAAGCAAGCGCAAGCTTCTGTAAACAAGGCGCTCAGATGCTCTGCGAGGGGCGGCGCCAACTCCATTCGCTGCTTCTCGAGAACAATAGTTTCGGACATTCAACTTTGGTATTGGTTTTCTTACTGCTTGCGTCGTCAGCACACACTCTCCATCAGATCCCCCACTCGCTGTGTAATCCTGCAAATAACGATCGCATTCATTTCCCACTCCCCAATTACATTTGTGACCGGTAAGTCGCACCCAACGCCATTCTCGCGGTGTGTGGCGAGGTTGTGCGCTGTGGCGCTCATCATGGTGTAGTACCCGGCTTCGGATCAAGAATGCAGGCTTGTGAAACGATCTCTTAGCCCTGCCATGCGCTCGGCACGACGAATTTGGAATTCACGCATTTGCGCTCCGTCTCGAAGTAGCAAGCCATGGGCACGTGTCGGACCTGTTTGTGGCTTCAAATCTATGTGTACAGTCAAGAGTAGGTATCAAGAAGATGTGTTTGTTTCGGATCACGACAGCTTGCTGCTATTGCCGACGCGTATGGATCATTTGATCCGTGCTATTACACATAATGGGCCATTGAGCTGGCCCAAAATCTTGAATGGGAATGGAAGGATGCATGGGCAGATGGGCTTCTTGCAGCTGTATCTCAGCAGCACGTTTTGAAAGCGAGCGGCAAGCAACTCGGGATCTGCCTTGCCCACGAGCTTCACTTAATCACAACTTCAGACTCTGCCCGACGTGCAGCCATGCACATGGACACGTTTCGTGACCTGGCCGGAGGGGGGAGGGGTAAGCAGTGGTGGTGCTCAGTCACGAGTCGCTACATCTCACTCTTGACTTTGGCGCCTTCGAAGTGTAAGTCGAAGTGACCGCGGATGGCCATGGAGTCGACAATGACATATCAGACGCGACTCACCCACCCATCGCACTCGTGACTGTTGTGACTCCGATGTGGGTTCCTGGACCAGAGGATTGGGAGGGGGGAGGTCTGTTCCTCCAAGAGTCAAGTGGCAGTCAGAGTGGCACATGCATGGGGCTGACAAACCGCGAGGAATGAAAGCGGTCAGTTCCTGCATGCAGAGGCGTGCAGCGCAGCACCTACAGTCACGAGTATATAGCTTCCTGCTCTCTGACCAAAATGTGCTGAGCTATCAGAAGCAGCCCCGCCGGCGGCATCCTGCGAGGTGGCACGAGCAAAAGCGAATCTCCGCACGCGCGACATCCCACTTTGACTGTCACTGACTGTCACTGCTGACTGTACGCATACCGCCCGTCGCGGTTTAGCGTGAGTATGAAGCGGCGGAGATGAATCACGAACTGGGATGAGCATCGGGCGATGATGGCAGTCAACGTTCCTCACGGCTCGGCTGCGGAGAGATGCTTCAACTCTGACTGCTTTCTGACGATCGTGAACATCCCCAAGGCATGAGAGACGGTCGATTGCGAATAGTTACGCTACCGGTACATGAAGTGCGGCCTGCTCTAAACCAGTCTCCACCAATCGCGTGATTCTCGTGCCCTACCACACCTACCATCCACAAGTTCGTCGTCCCCGTCAAGCGAGCAAGGCAAAACCCAGTACAGTGCCGGGTACACACGCGCATTTTCCATGCCGGCCAGGACCCATGAAGTATCGCTCTGTCTGCCCTTGCCGTCTCACCTCCATCTCGCCGATACAGCCTCAAAGTGACTCCATCTTCCTCCGCCCTTGATTCGACTTGCAGTGCACCAATGGAAATGTCAGCGACACAAGACGCATAGTCCCCGAGTCAGATCTCCGCTTGTGCTCCTTTACACGCAGTCTCGCCTGCCCTACGTGCAGTTGGTGGACAATCACGATTGGAGCCAAGCAGCCACATCTCCCGCATCGAAAGCAAGCGGCTTTGCCTCCTTTCGCCCACAACACTTTCTGGCGACCGCTTCATCGGGCACACAGACCACTCTTTAGTCAGGTCTTCGAAGATGGCAGAAGGCAATAGAGAGAAGGAGCGAGGGCAAGGAGGCGCAGCGACGAGCACGACCGGCGGAGCACTTCGAGGATTAGCTCGATCTCTCTCTCTGCGACCCAAAAAAGCCGCTTCTCCGCAGCTGCTACCCAATGGGAGCATAGCGACGGAGGCGGTGACTTCAGGCAAAGGCAGTCTGGACACGAACACCGCCAATGCTTTCACTAATAACAACAGCACCATCGGACCCAGCTCTCCTTCCACCTCGGCAGGTTTCGCAGGGCTAGGCTTCGCCACGCTACAATCCCCTACTCGCAAGACTTCTCGATCGGAGCGTAGACCTGCGCATCAGCTTTTCGACGACAGCATCTCCTCTTCTCCTGGTGGACGTGGGCCAGCTGTGGGACACGCGGATGGAGCAGTGGTAGAGTGGGGAAGGCCACCGGCCCAGACGGACACCTCGCTGAGGGATGTGCAGGTCGTAGGCTTAGCGATGGACAATAGCAAAGGCGCATCGAACAGCTCTTCGACACCTCTGAGATCAGTGTCTTCTATCAGCAGCGTAGGTGCTGGGCAGCGATTCGGTCGTAACAGGGATGCATCAGGAGGTACGATCGGTCCGAGCAGAGGAGCTTCTTCCAAATTCACCACCCTGCGAGATGCGCCTCTCAGCTCAAGCGATCCAGCTTTGGAGACGGGTCTGCACGTTCAAAGAGGCAAAGGAGTCGATCGAGCGAATGCGAGCGCACCAGCTGGTCTCGCTCCTCCCAACGAGGGACCAGGCAACAGCTCCTCCTCATCTAGTGGTGGCTCCTCGCTCGTAAAGAAGCTGTCCCTGCGGCGAAAGCCGCAGCCTCGGCCTGACCCCCCTTTGACTTCACAAGCCGACAATGAAGAAAAGGCTCTACCCTCCATCACGCCTTCCCCCTATCATCTGACAGCTCCCTTTGGAAGAAGATCGTTCGACTCTCTGGTCTCGGTTACTGGAACGCAAGCTGAGATGGCCCCTTCGTACACTCAGGGAACGGCGGAGCCCATGCATCAGAGAGGTCACGCGCGTCGCAAGACTGCAACCGATCGACAGGCCCTCGATCCTCCGAGTGGCGCAGTGGCCTACTCTCCTTCTTCCTCCCGAGGTCTCATCTCCTCAACGACGCGTGGTAGACCTGCGAGAGAAGGATCGGCTGTCCCCACCTCTTCCGCTTATCCTACCGGGTATTGGGCTCCTCCACCTTATGCGTATGCTACGGCTCAGAATGGTGGCGAACATGGAATCAGCTTGGGGGATGAGATGGATGCTATGTTGAGCTCGGAAGCGAGAGAGAGGAGGGAAGCGCTCAGGGGCCATTCGCCCCCTTTCTTTGCAGTCAGAAGGGGATGGCGCAAAGGAATTTATACGGAAGAGTACGTCGCTGAAGGCACGGTATCTGTGAGCTGCCGCCCTCAGCTGATCGGTGCAATCTTTTCTCGCAGGGACGAGGCATCGAGGCAGACCCAGAATTGTGCGTTGAGTTTGAAGGCGGACTTAACCAGAGCTTGAGACATTTTTGTTCAACCTTGCTTTCCCGCCTCTCCACTTGTCCCTAGTTCCTGGACCGATAGTGAAGCGGTTCGAGAGTGCCGACGAGGCTGTCGCGTTCGTATGCGCGCCCACCAATCCTTCGAAGCCCAGCTTCACACGTAAAGATTCTTCCGATTCGATTTTGCCTCGACCGGTAGCTGCTCCCGCGCTGTTGGCGACGGTACGAACTAGCACGCTGGGCCGATCGCGGTCCTTGGCCAGCTCGACTACTTCGGGCCGTTCATTTGGCGCGCGTAGAGGTGCAGCAATGGGCTACTTGGATGAGCCGAGTCGGACATCCCCTTCTTCCACCAGCGGACAGTCTTTCTCGTTCGAAAACGAGGCTACGCAGGCGGGCGGACCAGATTCTTCGAAGATGGCACGGTCTGGCAGCAATCGACCTGCGTCAAGAAAGGGAGCAGAGAACGCAATGCCCTCTGTGGACGAGGACGGGACAGACCATAACCTCAGCTTGGGCGCGCCTGGCGTCAGGACCGGAAGCTCGATGAACCATCGTCCTGCGCCTTTTGACTTCTCTACGACGACCTCGCACAGTGTCGTCAAGGATCGCGCTTCCCCTTCGCTAGCCTACTTTGCCATGGCCTCTTCGCCGCTGACAGCGAATGCTGCTGCACTAGGTGCAGAAGCCTTCGGCCGAGCGGCTTCTCCCGGCGGACTCGCCAGCGAAAGCCACGCGCAAGCGCACATCAGCCCCTTGATCCTACCGGAGCGTCCAACAACCCCGGCGAAACTGCCCAGAATGGCAAATGGCGGTGCTGTTTTCGTCATCGAGGATGTGACCAATCTGGAACGATCTTTGGCTTTCTACTCTGCTGTGTTTGGAGCGAATCTCGCTCAGAAGCATGCCAGCGCTCTCTTGCTTCGAGTGGGTTCGCAGGAGCATGCTGCTTCGCCCACCACACGCATCTTGCTGCGCCTCCGCGCACAAAGTCCATTTGAGGATCGGGCAGAGAAGCATGAGCATGAGGCGTCTGACTCTTTCGCGAGCAGCGGAATGGAATGTTCAGTCGTCCATCGACCTACCGCACCCAGAGTTGCGCTGTTGATAGAGTTCGAAGCGCAATCCTTGCGCGAGGTACACGCAGGCATCTCAGACCGCTTGACCAACGCTAAAGCCAAGCAAGGTCACTGGAAGCGCTGCGCCGTGACACCGATGATAGACACTGTGAGTGCTTCCTTTGTGGACCTTTCCGATAGGTGCAAGCACAACTCACACGCACCCGAATCATGCAATGCAGGTCTTTGGTACGCGAGAAGCTCGTTTGACTGGACCAGATGGCGAGACTTGGATTCTGAGCTCGCCAATCGCCTAAACTCGATCTCGGTCGCAGACACGGTCTACCAGCAAATCGTGGTGTCTCATGACATCGGCGTGTCTCATGCAGATCCTAACATTGTATTTGTAGCACAAGCAACCCTGCACAATTCAAATTCTGGAGTATGAAATCGCCGCGATTGCTATCCCGGTAATGTTGGCAGCAACATCAAGCACTTCAGAGACTAATTGAGCCATTGCGCGTGAGCAGCAAATTCTGGGTCATTTTCGGCCTTCAAATCGGTCACCGCCTTGGCTCGGCGACGAAGGTCCAAGGAGCAGGAGGAGACAGCTCTGAGCTTCTGGTCGATTGACGCGAATGAGCTTGTGTAGCAGCGATGCTGGCAGAGGGATATTGCCTGGCTAAGCTACTAGCAGGGTAGGAGGGAAAAGACTGATAAGATGCGTGCGAAGAGTCTGCGCTTAGAGCTGAGCCTGGAAAGCCGTACGTCGTCTGCGATCCGTGAGCTGTGTGCGATTGCTCTGCATGATGAACGGGCAGACCTGCGTGAGACTGAAGCGATTGGTGTGCGTGGGAGTGTGGGTCTGAAGGCTGCTGGGGCTGCATCAAGGTGTGCATCACGCTCTCGGGCGGACCAGCCTCGAAGAGGTCTACTGGTACGCGTGCGCCTGCAGGTGTCGAGCTCATGTCGCCAAACACCAAACGGAAGAGAGCATCGATGTCCAAATTGTCCAAAGCGCTAACCTCGCCGTCAGGTTGTATCAGAGGAGTTTCACCTTGAGCTTGTAGCTGACGCTGCGGTTGCTCAAAGACGTTTGCTGTTGCGCCCTTCACCTCTGGTCGAGAGGAACTTGTCACCGCATCCGATTCTTGCCGGTTGTATGGGTCAGATTCACTTTGCATCGAAAGCCCGTTTTCCCTGTCATGGCCGTTCCTTGCAGCCCGAGACGAGACGCCTGCCAGCAGCTCGAGGGGCGCAGCGCCCTGTGCAGGGCTGGAGGTGTCTAAGGCTGTCCTTTGCGGTTCTTGAGAGCTATTCGCGCCCACTATCGAGCCAGCACGGGCTCTCTTTGCTCGTCTAGAGCTGCCTGCGGCTGGTGTAGCCGTGGCGAGACTCGCCTGAGTAGCCGCCAAGCCCGGCTCAGCGCGCGCGAGCACAGACTGCTGGAGCTTGCTAACCACGGAGCGTGCGGGCAATGACCTCAATGAAAGGGCAACAAGCAGTCGCTTCGTCACAGCGCACTTTCTCATAGCTTGCTGTCTCTGCATGGTGCCATCCGCGCCGACTTTGGCAGCGTGCAGATCGACTGTCATTGGGACGTGGAGCCTCAGCAACACGTTCTGACATTCAGCACACTATGCTGATTTTTGACGACTCACCTTGCTGTGCGTGCAGCTCTAGGAGATTGATAGCCTCTAGGGTTGCTTCAATCGTCCAGACCAGACGGGTCGCCACTTCGCGCTTGTACTCGAAGAGTGCCTGCATCTTTTCGATGCTCTCCTGTATAGCGCTGTCAACGATTCCAGGCATCGCCTGGCTCAGAGTCGATGTGAATCCATCAATGATTCTCTTGGCAGCCTCGAAGCAGGTATCCCTCGCCGTCCTGTGACTAGCGAGTAGCCACATATTCGTGTAATAAGGCTTGAAGAGGGCGACGACATGCCTGTCAAGATGGTTCTCAAAATTTCGAAGACGCTGGATCGCAGGGCTGAACGAGATGATCGCATCCTTGCTAAAGGACTCCGAAGTCACTTCTCTCTCAACTTCCGAACGCAACTTATTCAGGTCCATCCCAAGCTCGATCGTGAGAGCCAGAGCGTCCGCCTCTGACATGTCATCCAGTTGCCGTTTCCTGTTGACAATCCGCGCAAATGCGAGCCAGCGGATCTCGTGAGGAAGAAGCAACTCGCCATTTCTTCGTACATAATCGTGCCAGGGCGAGGAGCCAGGTGGTCCAAAAAGATATGGGTGTTTGCGTGGTTGTTCATTGAGGTTCCGCACCTTGGTGTGCAAGTTGCCCCACTCCCAAAAGCAAAGGAGCAAGAACAGCCTCAAGCGGCTTTGCGCCTCCGCCACTGGCGTCTGAATGGACGGTTCTTGATCCAGTCCAAGGGCAAAAGCTTGATGGATGAGCGGTGCGAAGTGGAGCACCGTGAGCCTACCGCTCATGCCCTTCAGCAGGGTCTCCGCAGTGAGAAGAACCAGACCCGCTTGTAGCCCCACAATATGCACCTTTTCGAGCTGCTCGGATGCGTCTAAAACGGCTTGTGCAACTTCTACAAGGATGCAGTGACGAGGCGCTGCCGTGTGCGCTGTGCGCTGTGCAACTTGAGCGAAGAAAGAAGGAGGGCTGTACAGCATTGCATGACCACATACACCTAGGACGAGAGCCAAATTTCGCAGATAATGATTCATTTGCTCGCTGTTCGCAACCTCCGCCCACGCAGCATCGCCTCTGTCACGTGCGTCCCGGAGGTTCTCCACGGTAGGTAATGCTTCTTGCCAAAAGACTTCGGTTGGAAGCACCCAGTGCGACCATGAAGCCGTGTCGAAATACATGTTTCCCATTTCCTCCAGGGTGGACTTGTCTGGGAGAGCCGTCAAAGCTGCTGCCAGCGTGTCGGTCTTTGGAGGTCGAGGAGAGATGGGTGGCCAGCTAATGATGGACGCTGGCTTCCAGAGTAGCGCAAGCGCCGGGTCCATCGACTCGCGAGAATTTGATCGAGAAGCGACGGGCGAAGCGTTTCCTCCAAATGTTCTGAGCGTTTCGATAGCGTCTTGATTGACCGTGCTGCCTTCCGGAAAAGCGTTTTCGGTATTGACACCCAGACGCGATCCTATTGCAGCCATGAGCGTCTCCATTCGATCCATGCGCGCTTCCAAGGGCGCCGTTGTCGCCGTGTCGCGTGTCCCCATCATGACGTGCGGTTGCGTACCAGACTCCCACTCGCACGTGGCTGCCTCACCACGGTCCCGGCAAGCACCACATGGCATGCCACGATCGCATTTGAGCTTTCTTCGTCTGTGATCGAAAGCAAGAAGAGGCGTCGGTGGGTCAGCCACCGCAGTGTGGGACACGCGCCCGAAATGAAATGGCATACACGCACCTGCAGGCAACGCAAGCTGGACATTTGCGCCATCATTGCGATGCAGACCAACGTGAAAACCAAACCGGTTGAGTGGTACGAACGTCAGCAGTAGCCTACGGAAGCAGGATCGCACGGGAAACGATCTCACAGACGGCTTTCTTTCTCCTCTTCTTGGCGGGCGATCCGGAAGTGTCGTCAGCTTCTTGCGCGCCATTGGGAGGCCCACCAGGAGGTTCGATGAACGATATGGACGAGCCGCTGGCTTTAAGATTGGTATCGGTAGCTAGGCTTTCATCTTCGTGGAGATCATTGTGGATTGAAGAGGAAATGGGTACCTTGGAAGTGTCCGCGGACACCGCGGAAGAGCGTTTGGCCATGGTAGCCAGAGATACCTTCCTTACGGAGCGCCCACTTCTGAGCACGAAGAGCTCAACAATCGCAGTGTTCTTTGTGTCGGGCGCTACCACTTGAGCAAGTCGGCGAAGAGGTCGGAACTTTGAAGCACCTTGAGCGAGATCCCAATCTGAGTCGTGAATGTGGGATGGAGGAAGCGTGTTGGCCGACGAGCGAGACTGGCATTCGCAGGGCAAAAGCTTTCCTTTGCCCTCATGCGCGATGCGACTCACGACTCACCTGCAGCAAGCAGTCACGAGCTGTAGTCGCCTGCGTCAGCACAACGACACGGCGAACACCATCAGCAGCGCGCATGCCTGCCTGCAAGCCTGCAAACACGGGTGCGCGGAATCGAAAAGCCGCGGAGTTCCTGCCTTATTGTAGCTGCATGTACCGGTATGCGTGCCGCGCGGTATTCATAGACCGCATTCGTGTCGCGGACGCGCGGGCGCGGATGCAAATGTGAATCAAGCAGCGTGTGGCAGCATGCAGGCAGTCAACTGCGACTCGAGCGCTGCATGGCTGCCTGCCCCGGCCTCCGCTGAGGAGTAGCTTTTTTGTTGATGGTCACCATTCAGATCCACTCACGACCCTTTATTGTCACGTTTCCTACTGTTCACGGAGCGACAGTTTCGATGTCATAAGATCAGCATCGCTGCAGGTTGATCGTCACCCGAGTTTCACGCGCTGGAAGCTCAGACTAAGCTGTGGAGGCAGAAGCCGGCGCATCAGCGCTCCCTGTCACACAATGGAAGCGGCATCTCAAGCACGCAAGGAGCGGCTAGAGGCCCTCAAGAAGAGGAGGTACGGCGGAGATGCAGAATCAAGTGAGAAGGCCAAACTTGGTGGTGCCGAGGGGACAAGCAGCGCAGAAGGCGATCAGGCTGAGGATCTGCAGCAAATCACGACTGCTAGATTGGTCAGAAGCTTCCGAAATTACGATCGAGAGACGGGAGGTTTGAAAAAGTTCAAGTACGATGAGAGGCCAAGGGAGACCGTAGAAGAGGGTGAGCTGCAGTTCGGAGCGGCTTCAATGCGCAAAGCGATGATCTAGCTGGATTTCGAACAGATCCACGTGGGCTGTGAAGAGCAATCTGCACTCATCAGCGCGCGCGAGGTGATTTGCCTAAGCTGACATCCCTTACTCAAATCGGACATGTAGAGGTGAAAGGCGTCCAAGAAGCCATTCTGGCGATGGATGAGCTGAAGCGCAAAGAGGAACTCGTGAGTCCTCAATCGATTTTTGCGACCAGTGGCGTCGACTGAGCCCGTATCTGACGCATACATGCGGTATCGCCTCGGCCGTCACTCAGGACCTGACGAACATCGCACCTCGCAAGCCAAATTGGGATCTGAAGAGGGACATGGAAAAGAGGTTGGCCAAACTGGAAAGACGGGACAAGGAAGCCAGGCTAATCCTCATCAGGCAACGACTGCAAGCTGCGCAAGGTGGGGTGGACAGCGTGAGCGGCAAGAGCGTCTCTGCAGCAGCTGCTAATGCACAGCTTAGAGCTGCTGAGGCTGAGTTGGCCGCCGGAGTCATCGGCAACGGAGTTCAACCCGACGACGTGGAAGGGCTCGACAGCGACGAAGAATAAGATTTCACGTTCCCGCAGATTCACTCCTACTCGTCTTCCTTCAACGCACGTGTACTGTAAGTCCTCAAAGAAGGGCAAGATGATCAAATTTTCCAGATGCGCGAGGCAGTTCATCGCGTTGATGACAGCTTCTCAGAACATCAAAAATGATCTTGCCGAAGCTTGGTAAAATTGACGAATAGCAACGCCTTTGAGCAAGATGGCCCCGCCATCGAATGTCCCCTGACACGACGAGTCGGCCAAGCAGGCATGATGCGGATGAAAGAGCACGGGCAGAGGAACAGCAGACGTCCGAGGCACAATCGATGCGCAAGATGTTGAAGCGTCTTTGGTTCGCATTGCTCTAGGGAAAAAGCGACAAGCCGTACGGAGAGCGATGAGACAGCTCTGTCTTCGGAGCTCCTCAGGCACTTTCGTCAGGCTCGACACTGGTGTGGTGAAGTCCTGAAAGCCAGCGAGTCTGCGCGGTGTCATGAGCGCAAGCCATCTATGAACGATGGCTCGACTCGGCTCAATCTCGAACCCGAGTCCGGGTCGTACAGCTCCATTCGTGGTGGACGCTTCCTAGCTATAGTCGACGAATTTGTTGGCCGTGACTCTTGAGTTGAGTTCGAAGTCTTGAATCAGACTCGCCAGACTTGACTCATCAATCAGAATAAGACTCAGACCCGACTCTGAAGATCGACAATCACAATCACGTGAGCAACACGCCCGCGCGTATCTGCAGCTAATTCACGATCACGCGCCTGATGGATGCGGCGAATGCGCACGGCACAGCAACATCCACCAGTCCACGCGCCCCTTCTCTTGGTAACCCACGTAACCACCAGCAACACTTGAGTCAACAGTCGACCGACGCTTTGTCCACGATTCTTGATTGTTGCAGTCACGAGGAGTCACGTCCCCACCAGGTAAATTTTGGCTGCTCCGCTGCGCGACCTCAAACACAGCCTTGCAAAGGGCACAACAACCAACTCACTGTAGTCGTTGCCGTGCTCAATATGGAAGATCGAGCAGCTCGAGAGGCTGCGAGCGGTTATGGCAACGTCATTGATCTTACGGAAGATGCTACAAGCCACACGTCTCAGGCTGCTCTCGGTCAATCAACAAGCGATGTAGGCTTCAGCATAACTGGCTCGAACGCCACTGTTCCCCTGCGAGGTCCTCCGACGGGCGCACCGACCGCAGCCACCTCTTCGTCCAGCAGCAATAAGGGCCCCGTGCCGCGGGCAGGTGGCTACAAGCCCACTGCGCAGCCCAGAGTTCAAATGATAGAGACGCTGGCACGTACCCCTCTCGTTCCCCAGCAAGCCAATGGCTCGACTGTGCCAAGAGGTGCGGAAGGAATAGCAAGTGACGCGCCCAAGCACAGCAGGATAGATTTGGCTTCCGAAGCAGCTCGCAGAGCCATGGAGCACATTCGAACTCAAGTGTTGGGTCGACCAGCTTCCAACTCTCAGCCTCAATCAACGCCTTGGTACTCTATGGGAGAGCCCAGCGCAGCAACAGCGGGGGAGCAGCTGGCTGAGGACGCATCAGGGCAGCAAATGACGGCGTCGCAGCGAGACGAATATTTGCAGAAGAGCATCAACGCAATGATTGATCAAGCTACAGAGCTGGGCGACATCGACATGAGCCAAGCTGAAGTAAAAGGACTTAAGTGCAAGTTGATGCCACACCAAGTGCAGGGCCATAATTGGCTCAAGCTGAGAGAAGAGGCTGAATTTGCCGGAGGGATTTTGGCTGACGACATGGGCCTTGGCAAAGTGAGTGTGGCGAAATATCAAATTGGTGCAGCTGGTAGCGGGCTTGTTGCATATCTTAGCTGATTGTTCATTCGCGTGTAGACCGTCCAAATGCTGGCTCTCGTCGTCTCTGCCCGCGAGGCAGAGCGTGCGATCAAGCAGGAGGGCAGCAAGACGGTAGAGACAGAGTCTGCAGTCATCGTGCCGCCCGCAAAAACCAAAGCTGTGCAAGTCAAAAGCACCATCAAGGGTGTCAAGACTTCGCATGAGCTTGCAATGGCAGAGGCAAAAAATTCTCGCTCGACTCTGATCGTTGCGCCCTTGGCGGTGGTCAAGCAGTGGGAGAGCGAAGCGAAGGAGAAAACGGAAGGCCTGCGCACCTTGATCCATCACGGCCCAAGCAGAACGAAACGTGAGTACACAGCGACGTGCCACGTTTCACGTGCGTTGAGGCTGTGCTGATCCTGTGTGCCATACCAGACGCCATCGACTTCGCTGGGTACGACATCGTCGTAAGTAACACAGATGACAACGTCTACGTGAATGGTTCGACTGATGAGCCTTACGCCTTGCAGATAACGACGTACACGACGATGGGCGCCGAATATGAAAACTTCGAAGGCAATGAAGGCAGAGGCAAACCAAAGGCCGTCAAGAAGAAAGGTGGGGCAGCTCAAGAGGCAGCCAACAAAGATTCGGACTCTACCGAATCAGCCTCATCAAGCTCAGCTAGCGATTCTGAGGACGATGGTCGTGCGCCACGCAAGAACGCTGCCAAACCGCGCAAGGCGCCTGGCGCTAGGTCGGTAAAGAAAGCAGCTCCGTTGTTCTACCACACTTGGCGACGCATCGTCCTCGACGAGGCGCAGCATATCAAGAATCGTAACGCGAGATGCAGCAAAGCCGCCTTCCAGCTGTCCACGCGGGCGCACTCCAAGTGGGCCTTGACCGGGACACCCATCCAGAACGATGCCTACGAAATGTTCAGCCTCATTCACTTCTTACAGATCCCGCCTTTCGATAATTTTCAGCATTTCAAAGAAAAGATTGGCGAGCCTGTCAAGAGCTCAAATCAGAACCGAGTCAATTGGGGGATCAAGAGACTGCAAGTCGTACTGCAGACCATTATGCTGAGGCGCACAAAGGATGTCGCGGGTCTGGACGGCAAACCCATCATACCGCTTCCTGATCGTCACATCGATGTCATCAGCAGCAGCTTTGATGACGAAGAAGAGCAGAAATTCTATCAGAGATTGCAGGCCAAGATGAAAGACGACTTCAGCGAAGACAATCAGGCGAGTGATGCAAAGTTCGATCACATGGGTGCTCTAGTAGCTCTACTGCGTCTGAGACAAGGTACGTCATGGAACAGAAATGCAGAAGACGAGACAAGGAGAATCCGAATTTACGCCGTTTGACCCTTGACCTGGCGCGACAGCCTGCAACCACCCAGCTCTGTGTTCGAAGAAGGTCGCGGCCGACGCAGTGCAGCCCGCGCCAACCGCAAAGGATGCTGGCCAGGGCGAAGAAAGCGAAGCAGAAGATGCAGATGCTCTTGCCGATCTCATGTCGGGCCTGGCAGTGGAACGTAAATGTGAAATGTGTCGCGAGACGCTGCTGCCTGGTGCCTCTTCTGGGAAGCTCTGTGGTGCTTGTGATGATGCTGTAAAGGAACAGCAAAGGCGCGGGGTCACGTGGACCGAGGGCGGCGTCGGCAGCACCAAAATCAGAATGATGCTCGGCATACTGGACAACATCAAGCGCTCCACCTCTGCGACCGGGACTGAGAAAACCATCATCTTCAGCCAGGTGCGCATAAGCATGGGCGCTCTTGTGCGCTATACGCTCTGCTTATCACTTCTTCGATTCTGTGCTGGTACAGTTCACGTCTTTTCTGGACCTAGTGGAACCCTTCTTGAAGCAAAACAGGCACAAGTTTGTGCGGTACGATGGGTCTATGAAACCGGCCGAACGCGAAGGCAATCTGCATAGCTTGAAGACGGACCCTACCGTCACTGTCGCTCTCATCTCCTTCAAAGCGGGCTCTACAGGTCTGAACTTGACATGCTGCAACCATGTGGTCCTTTGCGACTTGTGGTGGAATCCTGCGCTAGAGAGTGAGTGCCAAGTCTTGGTCGTGATGAAAGGGAAGCTGACGCCGAATCGCATCTTGCTCCCTTACCGGCCTGGTGCAGTGCAAGCGTTCGACCGAGCGTGGCGCTTTGGCCAGACGAAGGACGTCAAAGTGTACAAGCTGGTCATCAAGGACACGGTCGAGCAACGCATCTTGGTGCTGCAAGATGCAAAGAGACAGATTAGCTCGGCCGCACTGGAGGGTTCCAAACTGAAGAAAGGGGGCAACAAGCTCAGCAGGAAGGAACTGTTCTACCTCTTCAGTGGGAGCGATGTCGCGTGATTCTCCTTCCTTTTGCAATACGTTTTCTGCTTTTTGCTCTTGCGCTTTATCAAGCGAGCTACGCAGGCTGTACAGTACGCCCCTTTCTCGATACACCCTCACCATCATCCCTACACGCCTCTTGCCATCGCTTGTGTTCAAAATTACAATTGTGCGATATTCGTGGTTGAGCAGATTGGCACGTGAACGGCCCCGATCGCCCAGTACCGGCGCTGAATTCTTGATTCTTAATGCGCGGTACTCGGAGATCATACGCGGGGAGAAGAATGCCCAAAGGCCCGCTTGCTTTACTAATCAAGAATAGCGCTTGCGAGCAGCGACGCGTCTGACCCCGCGCTTTGTAAGAAGCTTGTTTGGCTTTGCACGCTTCTTTTGCTTCCACCTCGATCCCGGAGCGATGTGCGTGAGAACGTTAACGATTGTTGCTTGGTTCTTGACTCGAAGCCAAGTCCTGCTCGAGTCTGAGTTTGAGTGCTGTCCGGTGCTGAAAATTCGCTATCCACTCTGCGTAAGACTTGCTGACTTTGACTGTGATGTTCGAATCACCTCACCAATTTTGAATCACGAATTTGCAAAACATGCTGATGGTGCGCTTATGTCTTGCTTTGAAATCGCAGGCTTCGAAATGTCGCGTGAACTCGCTCGTGTACCAATCAGCGATCGGCAATGTGCGATTTCACGGACGTCTGTGCTGCTGCGCTGAACCCCGCGTTGCTGAGCGCTGCAGCGCATACATATGCACGCAGCATGCACGCACGCATCACAAACCCAGCCGTTACCCAGGTCCGGCTTCCTCGACACTCTTCTTGTGCGCCATTCGGGCGCGCGTGCAGCTCCACCCGCCCTCGATTGGATACAACAATTAACAGTCTGAGTTGCTCAAGAGTCAATAATGACCTGCAGGCTTGGTATTGCTGTTGCTTTGTCGGCCAAAGACTCACTCGAAGATTAAACACCGCGCTAAGGTTCGGAATTTAAAGTCTCTCGTTGGGATTCCAGGCACCGTGCGAGACAGCCCGCAAGCCGATTTGACGGAACGCGGCTGCTAGCTGCAACGCGCGGGAGACGAGTGAATTGAATGGTGGAAGGTGTGGTCGCTTGCAAAACGCCAATCTTGAATGTGAATCAGAATGGTGAATACGAGAGGTTGACAATTGAAGCGAGTCGAGTGCATGAAGCGGCCAAGGCGTTCGGAATTTGCTCGCTCGTGCTCACATCCACAACTACGACCACATTCGCACTGTAGCTACTCGCCACATTTGAACTCAACGCTCCCAATTAAGAGCCTGCATCTCATCCACAAGCTTCTGACAGTCCAAAGCCACGCCAGACTATTATTGACACAATGTCGGAGAACCAGGGAAAGATCATCACCAAGGCGCAATTGGCCGAGCACGCCTCTCACAAGAATCTCTGGATCGTCATTTCCGGTCAGGGTGAGTTTGAAGGGGACGAGAGCACCTCTTCTGCGTTGCGCAGACTAGGCTGCACGGCTCCTGCTCTGCAGACGACATCATTCATACACTGCTGAAGGTTTTCGCATGCGCCGCGGAGATGCGTATGCGTTGGTTGCAAGGACGTTGGCAAGCGGTGCGAATGAAGTGCCACTTCGCTTTCCGAGACGCCATGTGCACTCTTCAAATGCCTGCTGGTGGAGACTGTGGTCACTGTGGCCTGCCTTAGTCGGCAGGATGTCTTGCTAGCTCGCTCTCGCTATCAGCCCTTCGCCTTTGACACCTGCGCATCCATTTCAAGAAGCCAATTATGCTGACTTGTCCCTCCCTATCCGCTCAATGGCAGTGTACGACGTTTCCAAATTCATGGACGAGCATCCAGGCGGAGACGAGGTTTTGCTCTGCGAGGCGGAGAAGGATGCTACTGAGGCTTTCGAGGATGTAGGACACAGTGACGATGCTAGGGCTCTGCTGCCACCCATGCTCGTCGGCGAAATCGAAGGCGGAGGCGAGGTGAGTTCGCCCGACAAGGGCGAGGGAGCGATAGCGAGATGAGCACACGGTGCTCGTGTTGGTATCACGTTATGCGCTTCGTTTGGCGCCTATAGGTAAGCACGCACTGACGACTCTCGATCCCGGATTACATCTTCAGGCCGCGAAACCCAAGGTGCAGGTTTCTCCTGTCAACAAGGACCCCACCTCGGTCACCAACAGCAACCCTCTGTTCATGTTCGCTCCATTGCTCGTCCTGGGCGTTTGGGTCGCATACAAGTACAGCTCTTGAGCGGCTTTTGACCTGGCAGTAGACGAGCGCACAGCGCCTCGAAGTTCGCTTTTGACATTCTCATCCTTTTTGGTTGCTCTGCTATTCTAATTGCAGTCCTTTAGCATCACGCAGGCGATTGCAATTCGAACATTCACTCAGTCACTCGAGATGGGCGCCCGGTTACTGGGCGTGTCCAGTTTGTTATTCGAAAGCCAAGCGTTGGAGGGCCTAACGCGATGAAGCTCCGTTTTGGCCGGGCTGCGCAGACTGGGGGATCTCACTATGCAAGTCTACGACTTTCAGTTTGATGTGGTTTGTTAGGGTTGCGCCCTTTTGTCGGGAACGGAGCTGAGCCGTGACAGTCTCCCAATCGTCAATGCTTGGTGCGCGCCTCTTGGTCGAGTAGGTCCTGATGGCTTCTTTATTGCGAACGAGTGACGCTTCTGTTCAAAGCCGGCAAGGGACGCATGCTCTTAATGATCCTGACACAGTCCGACCGGTCAACAGAATTGTGAGCCGCAAGCGAATCAGGATCGGGACCGCGGGAATCAAGGGTACAAATCTGGCTTGCTACACTTGACGGTCAAGCCGCCGCGGAGAGCCATGCATCACACTCACGACTCGTAAGCCAAAAGCCGCTAGCATAGCTGGATAGAGCTCTGGAGAGACCTCATCCCGCGGGTGCGTCAAACCTCCGCGGGCATCGTGTTCACTCAAACTGTTCTCCTCCGTGAGTGAGCATACGCACTCACCACTCACGACTGCATTCACGAAATTCGTGCTTTGTGAGTCGTGATCCCTTCAGAACTTCAAACTCGCAATAAGCACCTTGCGACGTCAAGTCAAGTACCAAAAAAGATGTACGCGCGACTTTTGATTGACGGTGCTTGCACTGCACTTTTCCCACGTGGCCAAGTCAAGTCAGGCACAGGAAGAAGATCGCAGGTGCATGCTGCATACAGTACATGAAAACCACGAATAATTCACGATCACATGCTACCGATGAAGCCGACCTGGCCTGGCTGCGCGGTGATGCATGCACGGTCCGCGATGCTCGATGTAGAACTCACGACTTCGACTTTATTTCTGTGGCTGCGCACGCACATAGCTGCTCGCTTCACCCCACCTTTGTTGTGAGAGTCACTCTGAACCGCGAATGTACCAACGCACCTCCTCGATCCTCAGCGGTCAGTCGATAAACCATATCCGTCGCCATCGAAGGGCTCATCGGGCTTGCGCGTGTAAGCTTCTCCCCGCGCATTGATCGTCTGCTGCAGAGAAGCGCACCACTAAGGACATCGCTTCGACAGCATCGCAGACGCTCCGGACTAGGCAAAGAGAATCCACTCGTCCTTGCGATGAGAGGCACTGCCAGCATCGCTAGCCTGACAGGCAGACCAACACGACTAGCCTGGTCCCGCGACTCGACTTCAGCGACCAGGAACTGCTGCTGCCGATACTTTCCCGTCCAAGGCTTGCCGTGGTCCCGACGGGTGGCTGTTTCCAGACAAAGCATTCACACAACTGGCCGTCCTCTGTCTTCTCCGTCCTCTTCACCTCCCGGCTCTCCAGGCCCGTCGAATTCAAACGGTGCTAATCTCTCCGGATCCTCCAGCGGTGCCTCTCAGCCACAGCCTGTCGACATCCGAGCTCGGCAACGGAAACAGACGCGACAGCGAGAGTGGACAGCGGTAGCAGTGGCGGGTGGAGTAGCAACAGCAGGTGCTTGGTACTTGTGGGCATCTCGCAAAGCTTCAAAGTCCTCTGCCTCTACCAACGCGTCCCCGACTCAGAGCACCACAAGCAGAGTCTTTTCGCTCTCTGCTCATCCTACACCAGTCAGCTTCTCTATTCCAGTTAGAGGCCCTGAAGGCCTCACCAGCAGGATCATCACTGCACTCACTCCTGCAGAGGTGGAGCGGAGACTTCGCCTCAACGAATGCTCCACAGTCTTGTGCGACCGAGGAGGGGCAGTCGATCCAACCTCAACCAGCTCTCAAACCTCCGCAGACCCACCGGCATGCAGCATCGCCCGTTATGATACCAACTTTGTGGCTTCAAACGATCCCATCGAAGATCGGCACGCTGAAGCGGTGGTTAGGAGAGATACGCAAATAGCTGGACAAGGCACCGCAGCTGTGAACGGTGATTTCGGAAGCCTCGGATTCTTCACGATTATGGATGGTCATGCTGGGTGGTACACAAGCGAACTCCTCAGCAAGCAGGTGAGTCAAGCTGCTCAATTCAGAGGCGCATTCCTTCTAGTATCTGACGCGGCCCCGAGACTCGCTTTGCTCACCTAATGCTGTCCCAACGCAGCTCATCGCAGCAGTTGCGGCAGAACTTGATGCAGTGTTCCGAGCGTCTGGTCCTTACGCCTCTATTGCGGCCTCCAAAGCTGCACTTCCCGCCAAGGCTTGGAGGGCGCTGTTTGGTTCCTCCTCCGCATCAGAAGATGGTGTTGCAAATGACACAGCTCTGGACGCTGATCCCAGAATCATTGCTGGAGCATTGCAAGCCGCTTTTGTCAGGCTAGACAAGCACATCGTAGACACGCCGGTAAGGTTGCTGAGGCAGTACGAAGTAGCTAGAGCAGCATCCTTGAAATCTGGCGCCGTAGATGACTTGGGTAGCGCTCCGTCTGGAACTAGCGCGGTCCAGCCCCAAAGGAGTCTCTCTGCGCTCGCTGGATCCTTGTTCGGCATGACGGGCGGATTGGGACCCAAGGCCGAGCCTAGCCCCGAAGCTGACGGAGCTGCAGCACTGAGAAAGGCGGGATACGAGGCGCTCCTACCTGCTGCTTCTGGATCTTGCGCACTGCTTACCTATGTGGACGGAGCAAGAGGTGATGTCTATGTTGCTTGTACGGGAGATTCTAGAGCTGTTGCTGGGTGGTGGGATGAGAAGGCGCAAAAGTGGGAGATCGAAGCGCTCTCTACAGATCAGACGGGCAGGAATTTGGCAGAAGTGAGGCGGTGAGTGTCAAGGAAGTCCGGCTTCACTGCCAAGATGCTTGCCGAACATGGTCATTCATCATTCCCGCACTCACGATACAGAATGCAATCCGAGCACCCAACTTCTGAGGCAGACCACGTCATCCAGCGCGGACGAGTGCTTGGAGGCCTCGAGCCCACGCGAGCGTTTGGGGATGCCCGGTACAAATGGAGCCGAGATCTCCAGCAAGCTCTGACATCCTCGCTCATACCTGGTGGGGGAGGCTTCACCTCGATCCGGGCGCCGCCCAGAGGTCTTCAGACACCGCCTTACGTCACTGCGAAGCCTGAAGTGACGTGGCGCAAAGCTAGCCAGAATCAAGGCAACAAGAGACTGAAGTGGATCGTTATGGCGACAGACGGCTTGTGGGATATGCTCCCGACAGAGGATGTTGGTGGGCTCGTGGCTGCGCACCTGGACGGCGCGAAGGGGCAGCTGACGGCTAGTGCGTTGCAGAACAGACTGAGTGCTGGAGGGTCAAAGAGTATGGACAATGCGACCCATAGCGCTGCAGCTGCGTCAAAAGGAGACAATGGACACCCGCTCAATCGCACCAAAGAAGCGCAGTACGTCTTTGAGGACTCTAACCTGGCGACACATCTCATCAAGAATGCGCTTGGAGGAGCTAACAGGGATAGGGTAGCGGGCTTGCTCGCCATTCCAGCACCCGACAGCCGTCGATTCAGAGATGATATCACAGTCAAGTGAGTCCTTTTGCGCAAGCGAGCGAGTTTTTTTGCGCTCCGTGCTGATGCGCTTCTCTAACCGGCCACTCGAACCCTTGCTGCCGTTACGTGTAGCGTCATCCTTTTCGACACGCCCAAACTCTGGCCCGGAGAACCTTCCGCTCAGACTGATCTGCCGCCCCCAGCTTCGTCACACTCATCGCAAGAACCCAGAGCTAAATTGTGATTGCTAGCGCAGCACCGAATGACACGCTCCGATTGAAGATGCCTTTCTTCCGGCTTGTCTCGTGCTACGTTCTTCGCTCGATCTCGATTGTCCGTATATGGCGGTGTTCCGCTCTAGTAAGTCTAATGTGGGAGCCCAAGCTCGCTCAGATCTCACCTGCCGCTCATGGTTCTGATCTAGAGCGAATGTGCATCCGTGACCGTGACTCGGCTTATGAAGCAGACGACTGTTGAGCCTTGCTCGGGAATGCTCGGGAATGCGTGTTTTTTTGTGTTGTGAAGGCTTGAGACGTCGGTGCTAGTACTCGACAAGAGTATGGAGGCAGTACCCCGAAGATATTCACTCGATGTCTGAGAGACGGCCAGGAATCGACTCGATCGCTTTGCCTTCTGGGAGGTAGCATCTGCATGGGTGGGTGATGTTTTTGGCAGGGACAAAGTGAGAGCGGAGTGCGAAGCGGCGCGAGCTGCTGCTGCCTGCAGGACGAGGGTGCGTGCAGCATGAACCATGCGATCGGCGCCGGGCCGGGGCTGAGCCGGGCAACCACTCCGCGCGCGGACGGAGCTAGGCATATCGCCGTGACTCGTGAGTCGCGAGTCAGAGTCGTGAGTGTCTACCAACTCTGCGTGTTGAGCGCGCACGCTTAGCTTGAGCGTACAGTGTTCACCTCGGTGTTCTGTTCCTAGAGCAACGCTTTGGGATCCGAAAGAACTTCATATTCGCAATCCCAATTGGTAGACTAGGATCACATAGGATTAGGTGCTCAAAGGCAACATCAAATCCTGCGCATCAGAATGGCACCCTTGACCACGTCGCTCGATGTGCAGCTCAGGAGCGAGGCAGAGAATGGCTCTGCAGCCATATATAGCGGTCGTCTGGATCAAGAGGTGAGCAGTGCAGGTCTGTTCAGCTCTCCGACTTTGCCAACGAAAAAGAGAAAAAAGATGCGATGGCTGCATCCAATTGTCCTTCGCTTACACTTGCCAAGGCCCACCTCCAATGGCTTCATGCAGTGGACGATAGGCTCGGTGCCCAATGGAGGCTACTCTTTGTCCGCCATCATCAATGCAGCTCAAGCATTCCAAAGGAGCGAGAAACAAAAGTCTGCACATGTGGACCCATTTCATTGCGCTGCTACCTACCTGGCTGCTGCTCAAGCCGGATCTCACGAGGTGCACTTGACGGTACTCAAAAAGGGCAGAGGCTTTACCAACCTCGAAGGCAAGCTCGTGCAGCGTGTAAGTCGCAGGCGGGCAAGAATGCATGATTCGTTTGGGGAGTGCAGTCTTGAGCTGAGCTGCACGTATCTGTATGCGATCTGCTTCTGCTGCTACAGGCTAAAGATGGCAAAAATACGACGCGCATCGTCCCGCACCTCATCATGACATCCTTTGCCGCTCGAGAATCTGATCGCTCTCTGGACAGGTACACCATCCGACCTGGCAACAAATTTCACGTTTCTTGCCCCATCAGTCCTTTTTCCCGATGTCAAGGTCCAAGCAAAGCTTTCCAGACCGAAAAGATGAGCATGAGAAATAGACTCGTTGTGTATACGGACAAGGAGCAGAACAAGAAAGCAAGAGAGGAGGGCAGGTTGGCTTGGGGCGCTTGGATGGATGCTCGAAATGAAGACGAACGGCATAAGACGCGAGCTGGAGTCAGCAACAATGTCGTAGCGTAAGTTGGTCAATTGTTTGCCTTGCTGCATGAAGCTCGAAACTCGACAGGGCTAACAAGATTTCTGGCTTTTCTGCTTGCAGACTGTGAGCCCCACCTCGTCCAAATAGACGTCCGTAGACCCTTCGCGCAGCAATTGATTACCCATCATCTCCCCGCAGCTTTGCGGACCTGACCAATCACCCTCAAGGAGTAGACGTAGACCAGAGCCAGCTATGGTTCCCGACACTGCAGCTGGTGTTGGAGTTCAAGCGGGCGCTGCCTCAAGAAGTGCCACTCCTGAGAATGGGCGTCTTTGCCACTGGCAAGTTCTCAATCCAAGGCCAAACAGATCAAGATGTGAGTGCGGACGTTCCAAAGCGGAATTATGAGAGAGAGGGAGAGGCCAAGGCTTCTCTCGAAGACGAGAATCAAGTCCAATGAAAGAGAGAACAAAGACTCACCCCAAATTTGCTTCTTGCGGTCTTTGTCCGTGCTGATTGCACCTTCAGTGCGAGGTGTGGTCGCACCCAGAGGACGCTGAGCTTCTGGGACAGCCGGCCAATTCGGGATCTCACATCTTGGCCATGTGCAGACAGGTCGCCTTGACGCTCGACATTTCTATCAACAAAGGTTTCAAAGCAGGCAATGACAAAGATGCTGCTCGCGCCCCCAAGAACAGCAGATTGTGACGATGTTCTCTAAGTAATTTACTCATTTCAATTGGCATCTGCCTCTGATGAATCCCGGCTGCCGGCTTGTTGCCTCACTTGCTCTTCGTTGACACCCTTGTGGTACAGCCTGGCTGCAAAATCTCCTTGAGACTCCAAGCAACCCACCCTGTACGGCCGAGATATGCGAGATTGCCACCATCTGCGGTTGCAGTCCATTTCTACTGGTCTCCGTATCACCATCTTCTCTCCGCTACGGCTTATCAGCCCAGTGTGGTGAGGGGTAATTTGGCGATGAATCACTAATGGGAAAGGTGGACGCGTGACTCACGACTGTTTGAGGTGTGCGGTGTAAGTGCGCGGGATGGGGTGTGTGTTGTGAGTGCGGGGTCCGCGGATCTCACGTGGTGTGCTCGCTCGATCGGCGGTGTTCGGCCGCCTATCCGAGCGCGCGCCCGTCTCACGCCGGTGGGGCTGCGCTCACACGGCGAGCTTCTCGAGCCAAGTCTTGGGTATGAGAAGCAATTTGTGGCTCCGAACTCTTCTCTCCATCTCAAGCTTCTCGCCTTCCCCTTCTTGACCCGGTGACACGCAGTCGTATCGTATCCTTCGTGCCGGTAACATCGCACTACGACGCCCGCTTCCAGCCAGCTGTCGCTACTAGTCTGCTCCTTCAACATGTCTAAAAGCTACAACATCGTCGTTTTGCCCGGGGATGGGATCGGACCAGAAGTGACTGGAGAAGCTGTCCGTGTGCTGCAACACGTAGCTTCCAAATCTGGCTTTCAGCTAAATTTGGAGAGCGTGAGTGCAGCCTTTGCTCATCTGATTCGATGGTTCGCGTCACTGCAATCGAGAGCGTAGGCAGGAATTGACACGCCCTCATTACCTCCATCTTGCCCTGCTCTCCTCTTCGTTACTCTCTTGCAGCACGACTTTGGCGGTATCGCCATCGACAACCACGGCAAGCCTTTGCCGGAGAGCACCATTAAGGCGTGCGAAGCTAGCGATGCAATGCTTCTTGGTGAGCACTCAGTTCGAATTCGGCCCATATAAGCGCGAAGAGCCAAGGAAGAAGCCAGGCTGAGCTGACCGCATGTCGACCTGAACATTCACGTCTGTGCCCAGGCGCTGTTGGAGGACCCAAGTGGGGCGTGGGCAAAGTGCGACCTGAGCAAGGCCTCCTGGCTCTTCGTGTCCATTTCGATCTGTACGCCAACGTCCGACCAGCGCTTTTCCCTTCCAAGTCCCTCTTGCACCTTTCTCCGCTCAAGGAGAAGATCGCCGAGGGAACGGATATCATCGTGGTTCGAGAGCTAGTCAAGGGTCTGTACATTGGAGAAAAGACGGAAGCTGATTTGACACCTGGAGCAGATGGAGAGGCTGCAGATGTGATGAGGTACAACAGAAAGGATGTGGAGAGGATTACGCGACTGGCAGCGTATTTGGCCCTGCAAAAGAGCCCACCTAGCAAACTTCATAGCATCGACAAGGCAAACGTCCTGGCTTGCTCAAGACTGTGGAGACACGTCGTTCAAGAGACGGTCGACAATGAGTTCAAAAAGGATGGCATCGAGGTGGACCACCAGCTCGTCGATTCTGCCGCCATGGTCATGGTGTCCAACCCGAAGAAGCTGAACGGCATTGTCCTCAGTAAGTCACAACAGCGAGTGCTGCCACACGAGTCCTCAGCACGGCTACTCCCTCACCCTTTCGTCCCCTTCGCCTCCCTTCAACTCTGTCTTTTGTACCCTCTTTCTCACAGCTGAAAACGTTGGTAGCAAAGGAGTGGTGCGCGCTGCAGACTCGAATCAAATTCTCTGACCTACTTCTTGCACTTTCTTACAGATGTTCGGCGACATTCTCTCGGATGAGTCATCTGTCATCCCAGGTGCTCTCGGACTTTTGCCCTCCGCTTCTCTATCCGGCTTGCCAGACGGCAAGCAAAAGTGCCGCGGACTTTACGAGCCAATTCACGGATCCGTGAGTCACTTGCTCTGCGCCTTTCAGCAACCTGTCTTCCCTGCTCACGCATCACGCCAATCCGTTCGCTTTCCCTCTATTAGGCTCCCGACATCGCAGGCAAAGGATTCGCAAACCCTATCGGCACGATTTTGAGCGCTGCTTTGCTCCTTCGCTACTCTCTTGGAGAGCTCAAAGCTGCCCAAGCCATCGAGGATGCGGTCAGAATCGTTTTGGATGCCAAGGCTGATGGAGGCCATGAGCTCAGGACTAGAGACCTCGGTGGTACGGCCAACACGAAGGATGTGGGAGATGCTGTCATCAAGGCCCTGGATTCTATCTTCTGAGGGCTGCGAGCGACGCGAAGAAGTGGAGAATAAAGGCGACTGAACACCAAGGCGAACGGCTCAATCGCACCTTTGCGGACGAGACGTGATTCGCAGAAACGAAAGCCCTTCAGGCACAAATGTCGCAGGAAATAGAGATGCGATTCGAGTGCAAAGGCAAGAGCAGCCACAGACCATGGGCATCACGCTGCAAATGGCGCCAAGCGAGCTGTAGAACGGAGGAAAGTGGAACGTGGTCAGCGCGAGCCGTGGACACCCGAGCGGCGGCTGATCAGGCCTGTCACACGTTGTGACGACACAACGACTGAGAAGACTTACCCGCCGCTTTATCGTTCATGGTACGTAGGTCATACTCGCCGTGCTGCGGAGTCGGAAGATGGCGCGAACACAGTTCAGTGGCTGGTATCGTGACACATGCTCGAGATCCCGGACGCTCACCTGCGTGATGTACCGCACCCAGGCTGCCGAGGTGCAAAGGTCGGATAGAGTCAGCGCACACGCCACATCATGAGCACCAGTCCTACTCACGCAACGCTTGATAGCCAGATTTCTCCACAATCTTGAGATACCTGACTTGAATGCCCGACACAGTAAAGTATGGAATCTCGAACTTGACATTGATTGGGGTTCTGCGATCAAGCATTTCCTCTGGCGAGCGTAGTCATATTCGACCATGAGCATGATGGCATTTCAGCTTTGCACTCGGTGAGCACGAATTGGCGACCAGTGCTCACTCACCATTCTTTACGCTTGGTAGACCGAAATGAGCTCGCATCAAGAATTCCTTTCCTCCAGCCAACTGCTTAATCTTCCAAACCATCGCTGATTTCTCGGGTGCGTAGTGGACAGAGCCCACAGCAGCCTGGGCGAAGCAGCGGGTCAGCGAGCTTAGTCGGTGCCAAGAGCACAAGCAGCGGCGAATCGACCGGACCCACTCTGAACTTAGGCGAATCAGCGTCATCTGGCACAGGCACATTGATCTCGACGTTGTTGGCAGTGGATCGCCTCTTGAACTGAGCTTTGACCTGAGCTCGAGCAGATTGACAATGTCAGATGGGCGGAATGCTGCCTACGTATGCGCCAAGAGAGACTCACCTTCACCATGAATTCGATCCTGCTACCCTCGTGCCGCTCCACGACCGCCTCGGCCCAAATCAGCGGCTTGACTTGTGTGCTCAATCTGTAGCTCATCAGCTCGAACTCTCCGTCCGGAGGAATGAAGGAGATGGTCCGGTCATTCTCGAATCTGGACAACCTGACGCATTGATGGAACTTGACATCTTCCATCTCGATCGCTTTGCCGCGTGAAGCTGCGAAGCCGGACAACATCTTGGTGTGTGAGCTCGTGTACGAAATTGGTCAGTCATGTTTGCTTAAGACTTACCCCTTCCAGTACTCTCGAACATGACCTTATCGTTAAGACCCAGCCTGAGCTCAGGCATGCCGGAAAGGTAGCACTTCATCTTGACAGCTCCCAAGATCTCCGACCTGACCACGTTTCCGTTTGCATTCACCAGCAAGTTGACGCTCTCCACCACATCCAGAAATACCTCATTCTTCCTATACCTAATGCCTTCGCTACGCCACGATACTGCATTGGTGACCGCCATCGGAGGCCGAACTTGGACTTCCAGCTTGTGCGATTCCTGGGTGATGTATCTGACGTAGACCAGACAAAGTAGCGCACAGTCGGGCTGAGTATCGTGCTTTGAGCAGAAGGGACAAATCCGGATACGCGACTACTCACTCCTGCAAAATCTTGCTCTCTGTAGTCTGTGGATAACCAAAATCCATCATCTCATCCAGCAATTCGTAAATGATGACAAAGTTGTCCCGGATGCTTTCTTCCTCTAGCTCTTTAAAGTACTCTTCTAGCACAGAGGCGAGCTTGTGAAGGAAAAGGAGGAGCTCTGCTGCATTGCTATTGCGCCTCGAGAGAGCGAGTACTGCAAGGCGAAGAGACAAGGGGGAGAGGCATCGTCCACTTAGCGAGCGGGTATACGAGGCGCTGAAGACACTGTCAGCACTCACGATATAGGTTATTGTGCCTGACAAACATGTAATTGATGCCTTCGCTCGTGAAACAAGGAGCCACAGCTGCTCCACCGCTCTCTTCCTCCATGTCCAGCAGAAGAGGCAGGAACCTCTCCACTGTGGATGGCTCAATATCATCTCTGTAGGATCTCTGGATGAGCGACTTGCCCTTGACATCCACAATTGCTACCAGGGAAGCCATCGTTTAAAGTGGAATCTCCAGCTAGGTTCTTACGATGAGACCGTTGTTGGATGTGGGCGTTCTGACGAGCACGGATGCGTGAGGAGCCAACCGGACGCGAGGAGCAGCGAAGTCTGATTTTCGTGCGTATCGGAGGCAATCGTGGATCGTGAATGTGATATTCTGAGAGAGACGGAGAAAGAGTGCCAAACAGTCGGGATTTGGAAGGAGCGGTGCCAATATACACTGTACAAGATAGGTACGGTACGGTGGTAGCTTTGCCGCGCGCGGTCACCAGCTAGAAGCCTCCGACGTCTCTCAAGAGCACGTGACTAATGCTAGCGCACGGTTCACGCGGCGAGAAGAACCTGAACGCACCCGCCGAGCATCCAGCATCAGCAGCCCATCATGACGCGATGAGAGTCGTGAGTCTCGAGGGCGCGAGCGTGGAGGAGCCGGCGGTGCAGCTTGAGGTAAGCGCATACATACCATATGTCTGTACGGTCGGCACACGAAACTAAGTGAGTGAGTGATTGACTTGCGAACGTCGCTCAGATCCAGCACCGATCTATCATCCCATCCAGACCTGTTCACACACATCAGCGACATTCACGCCCCAGTCCCTGACCTGTAACCCCACTAGCGAGCATTCTTTGCGTACTGTGAGAGATGGACTACGCGTACGAGCTCCTGTGAGTGCTAGCCTCGAACGTCACAGATTGAGCGCCGTTCTGCCAATGCTGAGCCTGTGCGCCTCTCTTACTTGGTATGCCAGCGACCGCGGCTACCTGCCCGATTTCTTGGTGGTGCGTCTTCAGGAAGTGTTTCAGTGTTTCAGTCTCGAATCTGCCACTTGATGAATACCCCATCCGCCTCTTACTGATTTGTCAAAGCCGCTCCCTACCTTTTGACAGCGCCGAGCCATCCGGCTGCTCAACGCACAGCGTTTGCGGACCTTGGAGCTGCCCCAGACCGACTATGCGGCTCATATAGCCTCCAAGCTGGAGTACGTCAGGAGTCTCAAGACGAGGGAGATCGCTGTCAAGACTGAAAATGCCAATGAACAGCACTATGAGGTGGACACTGGATTCATGCTCAGCGCTCTCGGAAAGCACGGCAAGTACAGCTGTTGCCTGTACGAGAACGGCAACGAGACACTGGACGAGGCAGAAGGTGAGATGGATCATGCTTCCATTTCGACGCGGTGTTCGCTCATCATGGAATCGCATTCCTGCCAACCCAGAGGCTATGATGATCTCTTACACCAAGAAGGCGCATCTGAAAGACGGTCAAAAGGTGCTTGATCTAGGCTGCGGGTGGGGCTCCCTAAGCCTGTGGTTAGCAGCTCGTTACCCCAAATCCCAAATCAGCAGTCTGTCAAACAGCAAGACCCAAAAGGTTTACATCGACCAAGAGGCTAAGAAGAGGGGCATCAACAATCTGACCGTCTTTACTGGCGACGTCAAGACGTATGAATTTGAGCCTGAATCGTTTGACAGAGTGATCAGCATTGAGATGTTCGAACACGTGAGTAGAATGCGCAAGACCGATCCACTCCCTGCTTACTCCGAGTCCATTCTCATTCACAGATGAAGAATTACTCTCTGCTCTTGGCCAAAGTCTCCTCATGGCTCAAAGCTTTTCCGAAGGATGCACCGCTGGAGGACAGATCACTGCTGTTCATCCACATCTTCTGCCACATCACCACTCCTTATCACTTTGAAACCGGTGACGGGTGGATGACAAAGCACTTCTTTGAGGGCGGGACAATGGCCAGTCATGATCTTTTCGTGAGTGCGCAAGGCGAGAAGTCGCCTGACATCAGCTGATCGTTGCCGCTTGCTCCCCATTCGTAGCTGCACTTCCAGAATGACGTTGTTCTTGAAGACCTCTGGTGGTAAGTTTGGCGTAACCAGCGACTGTCTGTACCCTCGGCATGAACCCTGACCTTTACACCTCGTCCTAATCGCAGGATCAATGGCACTCACTATGGCAGAACCTCGGAAGACTGGCTCAAGACATTGGATCGCAACAACAAGGACAACAAGTCCGTGCGACTGCTTCGCGAAGATGCCAAGAAGAAGGGCTTGGATCCTATCGAGGGCGAAAAGGCTTTCTACAGGTGAGATGATGATTCGCCATGTTGTTCTCAAAGCTACGTTGCTGATGCTGATGTGCTGTGTCGCTTGATAGGTGGAGGACATTCTACCTCGCCGTGGCCGAGTTTTTTGCGACGGATAATGGTCAGGAGTGGGGCGTAGGTCACTATCTCTTCAGCAAGCGATAGTCTTGATGCATAGGCGATCCACACCAAAGTCTCCGACCGGAACAGCGTGTGCATAAACGTCAGAATACCCTCGCTGTCCACTTGGCTCGATTACTGTTGTCCACATTTGCAATGTTCAACGTCCCTCCGAGTATGGCAGCAAAATCTTCGCCAAAAATAGAGTCGATTGGAGAGACAAGAGCGAGTGAACATTGAAGAGTCTGCACCTGACCCTAGAAGACCCTGACTGAGATTGGCTTGACTGGGTGTGAGCTAGACGACGCTTGCGGAACCATCATGAGCTGTTGTGTGCGGTAGTGCGTGCCAACGGCTTACCCCTTGCCGTTGTCTGTGGCGCGCGCGCATATGCACGCACAGAGGAAAACTCGTGACTCTTCTGGTGGCGCACTAGCCAGCCAAAGGTTCGGGATGCGAGTGCAGCACCCGATCTGCACAAGCGTTTGGGATGTCTCCACACAAGAAACCATTGCCGACATTCGTGATTCTGCGTTGAAGAGCGCTACGGTGTTGCGTGGGAGGGTGGACGGAGCCTGCTGCACTCTTGACTGGGGATCACGAATGCGCGTTGAGTGCAAGGAGCTCCGTTTGACGCGTAAACGCGCGTACGCGGTGATGATCGAGGTGTTGGCTCCACGCGGCGGGCGCCGGGCGCCCTTTGGTTGCTTAAGGCACGCGCATCTTGAAGCGCGCGTGCGTGCGGATTTTGTGGAGCCAAAGGGGCGCCGCGCTGGTGCAAGGCGGTGTTGGACTTGACTGCAGTTCTGGGTCGACCTGACATGGCAAGTCGGATTGGATCGTCCGTTCCTTGCCGCTTCAACTGCGACTCCCGCTTGCCAATCGATCCTTCACGACTTGCGTCTTTCTAAAGCGCATACACGCGGTCTATCCCCGCCCCTGCCTCCCGGCTCACATCACTTTAGTAGGCGTTCGCATCGCAGGCACTAATCGAGTGGTCCATCGGGCCGCTCAGCTTGGAAGGTCTCCTCTCTGCACTCTCGCGGAGTGGCTGATCGATGACAACAGGCGCGAAATTGAAGGGCAAAACAAGCTCAACGGCTCTGCTGTACACCGGGCAGTCACTCATGACTCGTGTCCGTCGATCCTGGAAGGTGCGGCGTCTCAGCTGTCCAGCTGGAGGCTGCCTCGGTTCTTGCATACAGTACCGGCACCCGCACTTCCTCTGCTTGTTGTACTGTACAAGCAGGCCTGGCTGGCACCACCGTCGATGCCAGACTGTTGAGCGGCCAATGCAAGATGCTCGGCACGGTGCAGATCCTGTCAAGTGCCAGCTTGTATGCGGTGATGGCTGAGTCCTGAGGATGAGCATTTGGGGCAGCGCTCAGAAGGGCAAGTGTACAAGCAAAGCCAAACTTGCCGTTCAACGTCGTCCGTGCAGCTTTCCTTCCTTTGCCACCTACTCTCACATCACCTCACTCCCTCACTCCAATTCTCTCTCTTGAGTCTCTCTCCCTCTCTGTCCTTCTCTGCTGCCTCGCGCCGGCCACTTCTGCTGAGCCCCGCCGATCTGTACCGTTAATCGTCATCTGCTGCTTCGGATCAAACCAAGACACTCATTCGCTCTACCGCTCAACGCTCTTTCTCTACTCGCTTCTTTGACCCACCGGCACGGTCTAGCTCATCAAGCCTCACGCTCTCTTGCAACACCCTCTCAGCTCCCTTTCTACTACCACTGGCGCTGTCAGAGACGTCGCTCCCGTGCAGCTTTGGTGCCATCACTCCGGTCGACCGTCTTTTTGCCGCCGGCCGCTACTTCGAATCTTCAATAGCTGCTACTGATCACCATCTCCAGCTACTCATCCCTCCTCCCATCGCCATCCACGCGCGCTGACGAGACTCGAGACAGCGTTGCTTCGCAATCAGCTTGGTCGAGGTGGGGACACTTGCTGTGCGGACAGTACCGACAGCCCCTCATCATGCTTCGCGTTACCTCCCTCGCAGTGCTGGCGAGCTTCGCCTCCTCAGGAGTGCTGGCAGCAGTGACGGTAACGCAATCCTTAACATCTCAACTTCCACAGATCGCCCACGTCGGCCAGCCTTACACTTGGACCTTCGCGCCCAACACCCTGACTTCATCCCACCCTGACGCCACCATTGATTACGTTATCAGCAGCGGACTGCCAGCTTGGGCTCGCTTTGATGCTCCGTCGCTGACTATTAGTGGAACACCTGCAAGCGACGATCAGGGCCAGTCACGCATTGCGGTTCACGGCACTGAACGCAATGGGGACCAATCCGCAGGCGCATCAGATTCCTTCAATTTGCTCGTCCTCCAAGAGCCAGCACCTACACTCAACAAAGCCTTGCCAGATCAACTCTCCGTGGCAAGCTCTTTGGGTCCAAAGAACATTTTGCCGGGCAACAAGCTGCACATACCGTTGGGCTGGTCCTTTAGCGTCGGATTCGATGGGAACACTTTCTCGCTGCCCGATGGATCGAACGTCTACACCTCTGCAGGCCTGGCGGATCGTACGCCTTTGCCCTCGTGGCTCACCTACGATGCGGGATCTTACACCATGTACGGCGTTGCGCCGACTCAAGTCGGTCCGGAAGGACCGCAGTTCGATTTTGTCATGACCGGCTCCAACAGAGAGGGCTATGGAGGAACTACCAGCGCGCTCACCATTGTGGTCAGCAATCATGCTCTGACCCTTGGCGCTCCGCTTCGATCTGTAAACGTCACGGCCGGTGATGCTTTGCGCTACGTCATTCCGACCACTGGCCTGCAGCTCGACGGTCATCAGTCACCTCCGGAGAACAAGATCACCATCGCCGCAGACCTGTCTGGGTACCCGTTCTTGACATTCGACGCTGGCGCTGACGCTCTTAGTGGCTCTGTACCTTTTGATGCGGCTCAAAACGACAGCCTGACACCGTACATGGTGCCATTGACCTTCAAGGATACATACAACAATTCGTTGCCAGTCAATCTCACTCTCCAAGTCTTTCCATCGCCCTTCGTCTTAGAGACGCTTCCCAACATATTTGTTGATCCGGGACACATGTTCAACCAGTCCCTTTCGGCGCTGCTCAAGCGACCGAACGGCACAGATCTTAGTGCCAAATTCGACCCACCAAGCGACTGGCTGAGCCTGGACGACGAAGATGAACAGCATTTGCTTGCTGGCAAACCGCCCACTAACGCGGATCAGGATCGTGTCAAGGTGACGCTCACTGCAACTGTCAATGAAGGTCAGATGCAGAGGAACTCAACCGCGACTTTCTATATTGCTGTCAAAGGCGATGCGGCTCCTACGGGCTCGACAGGCAGTGGGTCTAGTGATAATGGCGCCAAGACCAGCGGCATGACCTCCCGAGGGCAAATCGCTCTGATTGCGTCTCTGGCTTCTGCCGGCGGCCTGGTCGCGCTCGTGTTCATCATGGTGGTCTGTCGACGTTGCTGCGCTGTGGAAGACCACGACACTGCGGGACGCATGATCGACCACGACACGAGCGCGGACGAAAGGACGCTGCGAGACGAAAAGTCTCCGAAGATTGGTGCTGGTGGATGGAAGAGCCGCAACGTCGGAGATGGGGCGAGCTCGTACGGCGGCAGTCCTTACCTTGATCCTAAAGCATTGCCAGACGGCAACAAGTGGGAGCATTCACCTCAAGCTCAGGCTGCGGAATTGCACAGCATCATGGTCAGCGGAGGAAGGGGAGCACACACCCCAGCCATGAACGAGGCTATGGAAGCTTTGGCTAGAGCGGAAGCTGTCAATCGAGCTGCAGAAGTGCCGCCCTCTGCGCCCGACCGAGTTGTCCAACACTCGATCATGGGCGCGATGCCTTGGGCAAAAAAGAACCGTCCTCGTAATCCGCCACCCACTTCGAGCAGTAAGAGCTTGCACCACCAAGCTACCGTCAACAGCGCGCTTGCAGCCTCGACGGGCTCGGGTTTAGGTTTGCAACTTTCTCAAGGTGACGATCCCTACACGTCACCTATGAGTGCGCGCCACTCGCGCAGCAGGCATTCTAGGCACAGTGCCGCTTCTTCGCACGCAAGCTGGGAGAGTGGCGGAATTTTTTACGAGAACGAGCGCGGTGGAGCAGACGATGCGGGCTCGTTCGAAGCGCCCGTCAGACGTGGAGGGCCCCGCGCCATGCCAGCCGGCATCCTCAAACAGACGAGTCCGATGCGACATCGCAACAGTCACATCAACGAGTCTCCGCACTTTTCTACGCAGCAAGGAGCTTTTCCAGCCAACAACTTTGGCACGAGAAGTGGTAGCGAGGAGCTTTCGTCCATTGGTCATGACCAATTTGTCGATTCCAATAGCGGGCCAGAAGTAGATGAGCCTGAGATGCACGCTGTCGAGATTTCCCAGGCACGAAGAGTCGATGTTAGGCAGGTACCTCGAAATGTCTCCTCATCCGTCGATCCAGCCACCTACGTAGCTTCTGGAGCTTTCGAAGACGCTGAGGATGACGAGTTGACCGTTGGTGGTCGCAGTCGCAGCACTAGCCCCAACCGACCACGATCCACCCAGGAGTCGGCCAGAAGGAATCGTGACAGCGTAATGAGCGGCATGACAAACGATTTCAGAGCAGTCAAAGATCATTTGGTCTTTCCCGACAACCACAACAATCTGAGAGCGGGTCGTCCGGCGTCGATCACCAGCTCAGTCATGTCGACTCAAGGACAGCCAACGATGAGGATGGTACAGAGTGGCTCGCCGCCCCCTACGCCATCACCTTGGGACGGTCAACCATTTGCAGGCGCTGCATCGGACTATCCTCGGCCGCCTTTGTTCAGATTCGCGACCTCTCGCATTCAGAACCAAGCGCCACAGATCATCAAGGTTGCGCCCGAGGGGCGTACAGCCTTCACAATGCATCCCGATCCTCCGCCTCAACTTCGCGGAGCGCCCGACTCTCCGGGCAAGAGGAGCGGAACGAGGCGAACATCGTACAAGCCGTTGATCTTTGACGAGTCGATGCCCGACTTCCACGGCAAATGGCCGCCATGGATGGAGTGGCTGCACTTCGACGACAGGACATTTGAGATGTCTGGAACACCGCCTGCTGGTCTGGCAGAGACGGGCTTGGGAACACTACCCATCGCTCTGGTGTTATCGACCTACAGACAACCACCCAGTCCTGCACTGGGATCCGGCAATGCTCCGCCGAGCCCAGGCAAGAGACCTCACACTGCCGAAGGTGCAGAGGAGGATCTCGAAGTTGTGGCAAGAGCGGACCTGCTCTTTCCCCAAAGCGGTCCTCAGGTCTTCTGAGCCTCCCAGCACCACGCGACGTTTCGTTCTGAAAAGCTGCAACTAGTGCTGCATCTGCCCTGTCTGTCCCCCTTCCACTTCGACACCTATTTCCCTGCCTCCCGCCGAGGATTTCCTTGCGTTCCGATTCTAACCCACCCCGACCCATTGCCCAATCGCTTGTAGCTATACTCCGCGCCTTCCACCTTGCGCACGTCGCAATGAAGATTGATCCGAGGCCCAGACTTCAACAAGACGACGTCTGAGCGAATGAATGGGGTATCTGCAGTGCCTAGACCATACGTATCGTACACTCCGATGGGCATGTTCACACGTTTGTCACTGGTGCTTGATACGAAGCTATCTCGATCGCGAATTCGAGCCGAATGTCCAGGAACGCTTTGCTGAGGCTTTGTCAGCATGATCCGTGCGAACTTGATCGGTCTGAGTTGAACTTCCTTCACGCTTAAAGGGCTGGCCTGGACATTGATCGACGATCTCCGCTTCAAAATTACGGTCATACCGACCAGGAGTCGTGACTTTAGTCCAGGCTCATGGCGGAGCGGGGCCGTGCTCGACGAGGGGTACATGGGTGAGAACCTTTCAGACTTGGACGATCGCGCATCGTTCTCGTTCTGGCACAAGTCGCCTCTGGTACAGTAGTAGAGACAGAAGTGGCGTTTCACGATGCAAGATGCTTGCCGTCGTCCGCGTGAGAAGCACAGCCACGCGAGCTCCATCATAGACGGGACATGAACACCGCGGAGGAGGGGCGCAGCGCAAAATCTCCGGCGTGTGATGTACTGTACGGTGCGCCTTGCTGATGGATGGATGGAAGAACAACGCACCTCGCATTAGCAGAGGCTTGCGAGCGTATCGAACGTGGCTTTTGGAGGCGTCGGCCACAGCTGCAGCACCGAGTCGCTGCATCTGCTGATGCTGCTTGCTGCACTCGCGACGCTTGAGCCCAGCAGCAGGTTTGTGTGTGACTGACTATACAGCGCCATGAGCTCCCTCGCAGCAGCGACCACGCGAGAGCAGCAGCGCGCATGCAGCAGCGACGCGTCGTTAGAACACCGCGCCGACGCTACGCGTCCGAATGCGATCTAACCCAACGGTCGATCCGAGGCTTATGGTGTTGCTTCACATTCACACTCCGATCATCTTCGTGGCTGGCTGGCTGGCTGGCTGGCCATCGGCCCCAGTCATCCTTGCTAAGCCTAGCTTTGCCTGGACCTCCACTCAGACGCACACAGGATCCAAGCCTCATTCGACCCCCTTGCTTATGAGCTGTTTGCTATTGCACCATCTCTCCATCTGCATGGCACTTCGTGCCGATCTGGAGTCACCAGTCACAAATACGCTCTCGGCAATCACCTGCCACCTAAGGACGCGCAACGCATGCCTCTGGAGGTGCAAAGACACGCATACATCCGATCTTGCAACACGCACACCGTCCATACGTGTGCCCATAAGACGCCTCATGGGCATTGCAATGGAGTGCTCTTCTTTCGGCCAGACAATGCCGTGTCGTGCTTGCGGTACTTTGACTGGATGGCACGCATGCGCTGGACGCAGAGGTCACGAGACCAGCAGCGCGAAACAGTGGGGGTCGCCATCTCTCGAACTGAGGCAGATCGGCAAAATGAGGTGACGGATCAGGCGAGCCTTTGACCAAAACACCTAGCGCCGGGGTTCAAGCGCAGAGGCTAAGGGTGAGATCTCGTGTGATATCCTCATTCCGTTCTAAGCACGCTGTCATCACAATACAGTTACGAGTAAAGTAGTGCACAGTACCTGGGCCAGAGCTGTGCCTTGCTGGTGCGTGCAAGCCATGTCACCCAAGTCCCAAGGTTCAGCACCGTACACTCAAACTGTATGCAAGATCCCCAAGTCAGAGTGACTTCTATTCTGGTGGCGCTACATGTCTGTTCTCCTGACAGGATGAGGGGCACGGCTCATCGTGGGAAAGGGCCAACGAACGCATCACCGACCGTTGAGGTATTTGGCATTCAGGTTCGCTTAGATTGCATTTCTCCGGCGCAGTTCACTCCACGGGCCCAGATCGAAGGGGACTTGTGCGCGGAGCTGCCGACTTGTTTCTTTCCTTGTCCGACCTGCTCACGCTTGCTGTTCTCACGCTGCAGAGCAACAGACAGCAGATCACATCAAGTCAAGCCTGATCTGACAACAACGTCGATTTCGATCCGCGCGTCGTATTCAAGGCCAACCGTTCCAGATCGCACCGGTACAGCGCAATGCCGAACTGCGGCCGAGTGTTCATGGTCCGGATCAATTCATATACGTAGCAACGTACCATGGCCTCGGCCGTCCCTTAAACCAAGAACCAACACTTCATCAACACAACAACACAACAGACATCATCACCACGCGCACTCCGCGCAGACGTCACATCCGCACCGAAATTAGACGTGCCACGCTCCCTTCGCGTTGGCACAGCAGCTCGACGACATATATTAGACCACACATTGACCGCAAGGTCCGTGCTCCCGCAGTAACCTTTCACAAGCACAAGCACAAGCACCACCAACACGACCTCATTGAAGCTTCTAACGCACCCGACCTGTACACAGCATGCGTCAGTCACCCCGACAAGCTGCGCTGCAGCTTTCTGTATCCACAACGGATTTACCGTGTGGCATTGCGAATGCTGCCCGCTCCCCTTCTGCTTCATTCAGCAGCGCATTCGGTCCTCTCCGACGTGCTGCAGCGGCAATGGCGCGGACAGCGAGCGGCTCACGGACCGAAGAGCTTCCCGTGGCTTCAGACAATCCGCAGATCGCCCTTGATCAGGGACACGAGTCGTCGTTTCTATCTTTAGGACCCGACTCGCCGATGCTCGGCTCTTCCAGCACCTCTTCAATGGGCAACCCTGCGATGAGGGGCCGCTCGAAAACGATCTCTTCCGGCACCGCTCAGCCGATCTCTTCGTTCGAGGAATGGGACGAGGCTACGCAGAAGTTCTCTGCTGGCTTCCTTCGGCGTCTAACAAAGAGGCCGACGCACGGTGATGTCCGCTCCGCGTTCACGGAAGAGGGAAGCGTGCCGGCGAAGACACCATCTGAGAAGCCTGATGATGCGCAGAGCCGCGGCGGCGTACCTCAAAATGGGTACACCATCGAATTTGTCACTGGCAGCGAGTCAGGTCCTGCATTGGCGACCGCCACTGTCACCAGGCTGGACCTGCCCGCCGTTGTAGAAATATCGCCTTTGCCCACCGCCAGCGAAATCTTTCCAGCCACGCCCTGTTCACCTCCTTCAGCTCGGCGAGCTCTTAGCCCTCCACAAACCGTGTGGCCTGCTCGTGATAGCTTGCAGCTATCCAGCGATCATTCTCCGCCCCTTCCTGTCGTCCCCCATCGCACAAAGTCATCTCTGCGAGGCCGCAACCTGGAAAGCAAATTGGACAGGTCAAAGAAGCGTCGAGATCCAGCCTCAGTGTCCAACAGCACGTTGCCCGACGATATGCTCGCACTCGCTCCACCTTTTGAGTATCGAGTGTGCAACACGGCCAGCACCGTTGCGCTTCCGCTTCAGCAGCTAGAGTGCTCTCCTACTCTCGGCTCGCACATTCAGCACGAGATCGATGCCCAGCTGCAACGCGACGTTCAGAGCCGACTCGCAGTGCCTGCCTCGATGCCGTATTCAGTCTTGCCTGCGCCTGGCTCGCGACGTCCATCGCTGCGACCTTATCGATCAATGGGCGAGATGCAGTCGCACGTGGAGCCGTTGAATCAGTCAAGCACGACTCAACAGGCGACTCTGGCTCGAAAAGATACCACTTTGCCTGCGGAAGCGAGCACAGCCCCATACCCGACGGACTTGCGAGCGCGGCGAGGAGCAGGTGGAGCGCTTCAAATCAGCATCGACACACCCGAGCTCAGCCTGCGTCAAAGTCGATCACAGACTTTGCGCTCTCCGGGCAGACGACTGTTTAACTCTCCACCACCTTGCCCCCCTCCATCCACGCCTCTGCCCGCTATTCCATCCAGCGCTCCACCAATGGAACGCACGCCCCGAGCTCGGCCAAACCCCGCAGATGGAACCCAATCGACAGCCGGGCACACGTCGCGTTCTCCCTCGAGCATCCACCAAGTTCCGCAAACGTTTGCGTCTTTGGAGGACGCCATCAGCTTCTTGGCGTACGACGAACGTCGCATCAGCTCTTCCTCGACCGCTTGCTCCTCTGCTATCAGTCGAGATTCTTTTCAAGCATTTTCACCTGCCGGCTCCATCATCACCACCAGTGGCTTGAGCGACCATGGCGATCCCCAAACCCCAATGACGCCCTTGGAACAAGCTTGGGATGATGAATCAGAGCCAAAGCGGACCATCTCCGGCCCGGCTTCGTCGTGTGCCGATGCTGCTGCTCCTGCTGCTGCTCCCGCCACTAAAGATCTGCGACAGAGGTCGAGCGCTTGCTGTGTCGATGGAGATGCGACATTGTTCAGCTGTTTTGGCAATGTGCTCATGCTCGACACGCTCGGCACCCAGTGCGCCGACTGGGCCTCGCATCAGCAACAACACGTCGAGCCCAACGCAGAAGACCTGGGCATCAACTTCGGCTATGCCATCTGAGGGCCCCAAAGACTTTCGCCCATGCATCCGCTTTCTTCGACTTGATCAATAGCACCCCTTCACGCACTCTCTTTTGCACTGCTCGTCCACTCGCCGAGGCAGGACACACACACTCATTGGTCTGACCGACTGCGCCTAATCATCGCATCGCATGTAATTAGTTGCATTGGCATCCTGGCGATGCACCGCTTTCCAGCCATCCTGTCAACTCAACACATTCCCTAGTCTCGATCACACATTCACTTGTACAGTATCATACTACGCACGTTCATTTTGCCGTCCAACAATACATCCATCTTTGGCCTATCTGCAGCGGTGAGCATGACACCGCGCGAGCCAGGTTCGAGTGAGATGTACGGGGGCCCGAATCGAGCGAGAAGTGTGCAGGGTAGCGTCCACGAGGGGGAATACGCAGCAAAGAGTAAGCGAGCGAGCGAGCGGCCTGGAGACTACTCACCTGGATGACGCGAGGTGCGTGCACAAATGGGGCTTGCGTAAGAGCATGTCAGCACGACCTCACCTTCCACTCTTCCTTGGCTTCCCAGACGCAACAGGAGGAAGTGATTCATCTTGCATCCTGCACAGTGACACTCGTGGACTTTCTGGATGGGGGTGAGCGCAGAGGTGCTAGAAGGAAGGGCATGCTTGCGACTAGAATGAAAAGTCGTTCTGCGCTGAAATTTTCGCTCGTGATTTCTTCATACTCTTCTTGCATCGCGTTTGCGCAGGATTTGCCTTCCTTCGATCCAAGACCTCAACCCCCTTCATGAAACTTCTTCCTCAATCGGCCGTCAAGAACTTGCCCACGCGCCCTTCGCAAAAGGTGGACCGCGCTCCAGTATCCTAAGGCAACTCTCGATGTCCGTCAAATTTCGTGTGCTGGCTGAGCCAGAAATCCTCAATGTCGTCTTCCGCCCAGCTTCAATCCCATGTCTTCTCTGTTCAGATCACCAGCCAAGAGTAACAACAATTTGCGAGAGGGACCACGAATCAAGCTAGATGTGCGTACCTACCAAACAGCTTGACGTACACTTTCAATCGTTCATTAATTGGCTTTGGTTTGTGTTTTGAGGTTGAGGAGACTCGCTCGCTTCGAGCATCTCAAAGATGTTTTGACAGTGTGAATCATTCTCTTTAGATACTTGAGTTTCCAACACAACGTTGCTCCTGATCTTCGATGTTCGTCAAGCTTCACGGAAACTGCTTGCGGCCGCAGGACTGTAGGACTGAGCTGAGCCGGCACGTGTTTGACTTCCACGAGCGCGCACGCCTAGTCGCGGGATGGGCTGTCGCGGTGACGGCGGCGAGGTGGCGGGCTTCCCGAATCGCGACGACGACGGCTAGGGCTGCGAGAGCGGTCTCTCGAGTCGGTGGGGCGGCGAGGTGGGCTGGGGCGACGACGCCATTCCGAGGCGCTGTCAGCTGGCCTGCGGTGCGACGGGGGAGGTCGAGGTCTGTAGAAGCCGCCACCGTAGGGAGGAGGAGGCGCGTAATAGTCGTAAGGCCCAGGAGGTGGACCGTAGCCTCGCGGCGGCATTGGTCCATAAGGCGGATATCCTCCGTAGAAACCAGGTGGCGGTGGACGGAAGCCGGGAGGAGGGCGAGCTCTGTCATCTGGACGGACGACGCCGCGGTACTCTCCAGGCGTTGGGTCATGAGGCTTTCTGGTCGTACTGAAGTCGACACGAAGAGGGCGCCCGTGGAGCTCCTGATTAAAAAGCGGTCTTTCACGAAGTGAGCAACAACAGGGCAGGGCGCTTGAACGTTTCTTCTCCTGATACTCACCACGCCATTGATCTCCTTGATAGCTGCCTCAGCACCAGCGACATCGGCCAAGGTGACGAAGCCAAAACCGCGAGAGCGGCCGCTCTGGAGATTGAAGTCCAAAAGTGCGTGTAAGAATGCAATGCAGATAGTCGTCAACAAGGCGTGTTGCTACTCACTCGAGCATCGTAAACAATCACGACCTTTTCTACAGGAGCAGCTGTAGAGAAGCGTTCTTCAAGATCTGCTTCGGTGGTGCGGATGGACAGTCCGAAAACGCCTACCACATTGGAAGGCTCAGGTTCCTGGCCCGGTTGAGGGCGGTGCGTGCGTGGACGTGGAGAGCGATCGCTGTGGGCGGAGAGGGTAGAGAGCGATTCGAATGAGCCGATGAATACGACGATCTAAAGACTGGTGAGCAGCCCCTTTGGAGAGGGGAACTGCGTACAATCTTGTGTTCGCGTGTGCGCTTGCAGGCCTTCTTGATCACTTAGCGAGAGCCTTTTGCTGTATACACTCTACTCACCGAGACCTGTAGTCCGGACTACGACTACGCTTGCGGCTAGAATCGCCATTGCGGCGTGGGCTTTCATCGTCACGGTCGCGACGGGATCTCTCGGGCAGCGGACTGCGGCTGGCAGAGTCTCTTGCTGATCGACGAGGGGGCGAGCGACTTCGAGCGTGGCCATCGGCAGGCGATAGCGACGAGCGCCCGCGAGGCGGGTCGACGTCTGTGTAATCCTGTGAGAATGACGAAATGTTGCGGGCACATGTCAACTCACTACGGTCCAGCCCTCGTGGCTAGGGTGTAAATAAATATCGCGCGGTACTCACCATGGCTCGCCAATAGTCTCGAACTTGGTGGCAAGGTTGGTTGGAGGTTGGAGGTAGTCGTGGTTCTGTGTAGGGAGCACGCTCCGTCGTGAAGAACGCGCAGCCAATTGCGCGCCAAACGAAAAAGTCATCCGCCGGGCCAAGGTGATGACGTGCGCATGACTACTCTCAGACTGGCCCCGGCCACGCCCACGCGCACGAGCGTCAGTCAGTACACGCCCCACAGACAGAGTAATTGTGAATGGATTTGTTATAGCGCGTTACGACGCGTCGCTTTTCTAATGAGACACACAAATCAATTCACACCTCTATATACTCAAAGTTGAAAAGAGGTAGGTAGCGACGTTTGAGTTGAATGATAAACCCTTCGATTCAAATTTCTAAATGATGCCTGACCACCAATCTGAATCTTGAATCGAGCCAAACTTCTTGGGCTGAGCAGTCAGTCATGCACAATCAAACCGCGAATTACCCATACCTACTGGCTAAGCCACCTCAATTTGGCATTTGGAATTCAAAGTCAAGAGTCTGAGTTGAGCTTGGACAACTCCTAGTAAAAGGCACATTTCTGAATTCGATTCCTGATCGTAAAGGCTCAGATGTCCAAGTGGCTGGCCAGAGCCACCAAGCATGCATTCAAAATCCATCAAGTCGAATCTCGCCCCGCGGGGATGTGGCGCACCTTTGACAAGCGGAGGTGCCTTTTCTCAAGCAGATTTTGGACGTCGCAAGGCTCGACCCAGGTTCGGTCGGGCTGCAGAAGCCAGCTCTGGCAGCATCGAAAAGGAGATCTCAACATTCTTGATCGACGGCTCGCGAGACATACCGCAAGCAGTGGCGGTATTCGAGAGGACAGAGGAGTCTCGGCCGCGCTGTGACCAAGAGGTACGCCGCGCCGCGCCGTCTTGAGTTGAGAGAGCCAAGGCATCTCTGTACTTCATCCTGATCGCTCTCATCGCTGATAGCTTGTCATTCTGGATGCACAGACGTGGATCCCTTGTCCTCGGCAAGGCCGCGCACAAGCAGATTGCAGATGGATGCGGTGCGCAATTGAGTAGCGCAGCCGTATCACTTTGGGGCAAATGGACCTGTGCCCTTGTCCTCGTGCTTGAAGAGGTCGGCTAGCGTCACGCGTTTGGGATTGGATGTCGAACCCGACGTGCCGGCCTTCTTGGCGCCGGCTTTTGCAGCAGCAGCACCAGCCGTAGCGCTGATCTGAGCCGGTTCGATGCCCAGCAATGCGAGTGCGTCGAGGTTCGGCGTACTGTTGTCTACGGGCTTCACAGGCTCTGCACCAGGCGTGGAAGCTGGACCTTCCGTCTTGGCTTGTTTCTTCGGCAGGTAGACCTTCTCCTCTTGGAACTTGGTCATGCCCGTCTCCTTCTTCTTGCCGTACCACGTCTTTTTCACGACTCCCTTTTCAGGAATGGTCTCCAAGAGTTGCATCTTCTGAGGACGTACCCATCTTGCTGGCTCAGCCTTGGGGTGTTGCATGGGTCAGCAAGTCAGCATCACTTTTGGTCAAATTCTACTCGTGCGCAAGTCATCCGCGATATTCACAACGATTGGAGTAGTCGGGGTAGTCGGAACGTGAGTGTACAATTTCTTTTTAGGCGCACTTGTCAAAACCTAGTTGGCGTGCTGACTATCAGCTTCGACAGGGAGCAAGCGCCTCAGCTTCGAACACTAAAATCATCTCGCCTTCTTCCCAAAAAACCTCCCTAAGGACCCCAGAAGTGGGCTTCGAGCAGTCAGGATCATCGGGCCTGTGATGTTCGGTGTCGAGAGGCCGTCGTCGACGATTGTCCTTGAGAACACAACGTTGACGGCAGCTGAGTGTTTAAAGTCTTTGTGCGATACGACACAAAAGAGGGAGTTGTCAGTCGAGGCGAGTGAGACTGCAACTTCCTCAGCTTGCTCACCAAGAGTGGTTGGGGCCGCTCTAGAATGTCTGATGACCATTAGCAGAGACGCCAGAGCTATTTGAGGCAATGCGAGCCAGCGCATTATGAGTGATGGTGGTGAGAAATGAGGGTAGAGGCAGCGTTGCTGTGTGTCGAGAACCAGTCCAGCTGATCTGTCGTCTTGTTGAGAGGGGGGTGTTGCCAGCAAGAGAGAGAGAGAGACAAGAACTTGGATGTCAAAGATAAAGTGCAAGAGTGACTCTAATATATTTCAGCTTGCTTTGACATCCCGCGATTGCTCTCACTGGTCGAGCTGGCAGCAGTCCTGGGAACACACGATCATACTCAGCACGAGCTCGGGTCAGGGTGGGGCGCAGACTCCGTTGACCCATCTCCGACCTCAACGTGGCAGCATGCCAGCTGCGCCTGGGGGCGCATGACATCTTAGGGTCGGCGATCCTGAATTATCCATGGATGATGATGCCACTCACATCCATCCACCCCTTGAGCCTGCAGGCAGTCGAGGGTGCAACGTTGATCGCTTCGCCGAGTCGGCGGTGCCCTCCGCGGATGTGTAACGAACATGCCATGAATTCGTGATAACAAGGCTCTGAGCGTGCGAAGCGCGGTTAACGAAGCCGGACGGTGACGAAGGCGGAGCGGTGCGGGACCGCGTACCTACGCGGCAGGCGTTAGGTGGCGCATAGCGGCAGGGCGCAAGTGGCGAAGCTCATATCCACGAGGCGTAGAAGTTGCAAACGAGTCGCTTTACTGATAGGCCTCAGCCCGGCGAGCCGCTGTTGTGCTTCGGTGAGCGATCGGTCTGACCAGAGGTGTTGCTCACCGCAGTTGCTATAAGCCCGGTGAGCGCAGTCACAATTAAATGTGAATTGGAGAATGTGAGTGTGAATGCAATCCCAGCACGCCTTCTCTGACCCAGCAGATCCCTTCACCGTGCCCACTTCCAGCCGCGTCGGCGTCGTGCTCGTGCTCGTGCTCGTGCTCGTGCTCGTGCTCATGGGCGCCAGCGGCTCGGCCACTCTTCGTTACACTCAGCAGTGGCAAAGTCGTGCCATAAAATCTTGCGTGCGTGATCATTCTTGCTTTGGATTCGCTCTCCTGTCCTGCGAAATGTCGAGTCCGACAATCGTGAATGATCGACGTTCGGCTACCACGCAGGCACGCAGCCACGCAGGCACGTCACAGTGGGAGTCACATGTACCCATTCATTGTGAGTGTGAATGCGCCATTGTCGACAGCTTTCTGCATGACAAATGTCTTCGAATGCAAACACAAATGAGGTGGATAAGGGGAAGAGGTGGTACGGGTGCAGTCTCCTGCTGCTTAATTGTACCTGCTTGACCATGCTCTCCTCGATTTCTCGTGCGGAAACAGCAGAGAGGCGCGCGCCGCGTATTATTGCAACATCGTGATCGGAGCGAGCGAGGCACGTGCCTGGGCATGGACGCATCAGGTCGCAACCAAGTCAGCAGGTCCTTGTCTTCCGTTCCACTCACACCTTTTCCCACTGAATGCTTTCGTGCCGCCCTTGCGTTCAGGACAGCTGCATGTTCCAGCCACACAATCACGCACGATCCAACGAGAGAAGATAGCTGTTTGCAGGCCATCAACTAGTGGAGGAGGGCATGGCTGCGTCTCGAAATCATCCGCGCAATTTCACCTCGACTATCAAGCTTCGTCACTCCCAGGAGTGTGCCCGTTAGCTGGCTGCTGCTCCAAAACCCTCGCCGAATCGAGGGACCAGGCTAGCCTGCGACAGAGCTGGACTCAAGTGTCAAGACGCGCTCGTGAGGTGAAGCACAGCCAGGCTATTTCTCAATCGCACCATGCAGCAGCAGCAAGATGGACTTCCTCCTGCTTTCGTCTATGACCCAGCACCAGAGTCTCCCGAGGGCAGGAGCGAGCACACCATCGACCCGTCTTTGTTAGCTTCGCCAGCTCGCAGCACGCGCACGAACAATAGCTCTACTTCTAGCACAGAGCGTGGAGAATGGTCCGATGGGGATGGCGATGACAGTGCGCTCGATCTGCTGGTGGACGCGCACGATCGGAGCAACAATAGCAGTGGGATAAGCCAAGCGGATCACCAAGACGGATCAGAAGATGGTCCAATCACTTCGGATCTGAGTGGAGAACATAATGAGGAGCAGGGTGCATTTTCGGATGCTACGCCAGTACCGGATAGCTCGGGTGCTTTCGATGCTCCAGATCGGGCAGAGTTGGAGCGTACCTCCCAACACAAGCACCGACCTTCGCATCACGACGCCTCTTTCGGATTAGATCCCGATGCAGATCTGAATCATGCCATTTCTGGAAGACCCTTGTTCGGCATGTCTGCCGGTCACCACACTCATCATCATCCTCATCACCAGCACCACAGCCATCGCGAGCACGAAGGTTCCTCACGTGGCGGAGGAGGGCAATCCAGCTCGGCTGCCAAAGAGCTCGACCGAGGTCGGACAAACTACAGTTCACGCTCTGGACCATTCACGACTCCTCACTCTTCAGGTTTGCCAGACACCGTGCCTACAGCTTCGGCCACCGGCATGCCGCGCATTCTTCCACGTCGGTATAGTCGATCACGTTCCCCGACCGGCTCTGTTCATTCCTCCAATGCACCTCCGCCAAAAGAGATGAGAGTGCAGAGTCCGTCGGGAGATGCTGCAGGCGGCGTGCACGATGCAGGAGGAGCTCAGTTCAACGTCCCATCGGGCTCATTGACTTTGGCAGCTTTTGCACCGGGATTGAAGTGGCGCAGAAGATTGGCTCTGCTCAGCGCTACGATCGGAATCAACTTGGGCTTGCCGTTCCTCAATGGCGTCATGTTGGGCTTTGGAGAAATCTTCGCGAGAGCGGTCTTGGCGCCCATGCTCGGATTGAGCTTGGGCGCCGTCGGGGTTGGCAGCATGGCGCACAGGGAGGAGCTGGAAAGACTGAGGGGGAGAGGAAGAGCGAGCAATGCGAGAGTTGGACTGAGCGGCGCTGCCGGGTCAAACGCTGGCATTGGACAGAAGGACGGGAATACCAGGTGGGCTCAAGGGGCTGAAGGAGTGGATTTGGACGGTTGGGCTCTTGAAGCTGATGACGAGACGAAGAAGAGCAAGAGGCGCTAGAGACGCAGACATTGAACACAAAAAACTGCAACATTCATGAGCAAGTCGCTGCATAATCAACCGTGTCACCCAATCAAACAGTCAAACGTCCAATAGTGCACAAAGAGGGCCGTCGACGCTGAGAGGTGTGCCACCGGTTTGGATGGCGCTCGCAGCTAGGCATGATGGACCTCTTTGTGATCTGAGCCGCAGATGCAGCGACGCCCTTCTCTAGGTGACGAACAGACGTCATTCAGACCTTGGCTAAGCTCTTGATCTCTATTATGTGGCGCACACGTGCACATTGAACTCGTGGCTTGAACGTCTGTGTGGCCCAAACAGCAGCAGGTATCGGGTGTCACCTCCAGCCCATGGCCCAAGCACAGATCCATTTGTTGCGCTCCTTGACGCCTCCGACCTCTTTCTTCTCCTCATCTCTCTCCCGTGTCCGAAATTTGCGCCTATTGCCGTTCAGACGCGGCTCGTGCACCTTGATCGTTCTTGGGTGTCGCTCGGCCTCAACAGCTTCGCTCGAGGCATCTTTGACGGAAAGAGGATGGCCACTCTCCTCCTCTTCGTCTAGAAACGCAAGTCCTAATTCCAACACGTGCGCTACTGCATCGTGCTGCGCCGTACCCTGGCCCTCGATGCTTGCTTCATTCCACTCCGAAAGACTGGGCCAGTCGTCCGCACCAGGCATGGGAACGACTGCAAGCCCAAGCCGGTGAGCAGCTTGCATGAAGGACCACAAGACTTCTCGTCCAGTGTGCAGACCAGAGACGATGTATATCCGAGCATTGCCGTCTTTTGACAACAAGCTCGTAAGCGTGCGCAAAAGCGGCGCGTGTGAGAATCTGTCCCACCTGGATGACGATGAGAAAGTAGAACGAAGCTAAAGTGTCAGCCATGAGACGAGATTCAGACTCATTGAGGAGTGATTGTAGGATCGATTTGACCCACAGGCAATCGGCGAGAAGGATGACGTCTGCCTTGTCGTTTTCAGCTGCGCTATGGGACAAAGCTCTGCCCATCTCGTCTCTCAGATCGTCTACGTTGACTCCCCAAGCATGTCCTCGGACTCTGATCTTGTTACCAATCCCAGGATTGCTCATGACATTCTCCTTTAATCGATGCAACAGTGTAGGCTCGTCGTAATCCGTCACCACCACTCTTTGCACGTTGGGCTGTGCAGCACAGAGTATGGAAGGAAGTCCTGTCCCTGCTCCTAGCTCCAGAATCCTATTGCCATGCAGAGGCAAGATGCCCGAGTGAATGATGTCGCTCATTACAAGTCCAGACCTCCATTGTCGGTGAGCAAAGAGGGGAGCGTGGGTGGAGGGTGGAATGCGAAGAAGGATTGGAAGTTGCTGTTGAACCCTGTAAGGATCAGAAGACTGGCCATCGGCCGAGACGTGACCGGGAATGGCTCGAGGCATGTACGAGAGCCAATCGTGCGCCTCTCCGAGAGAAGGCGATGCCTTTGTCCCAAGACTCTGACTGTCGCTGCTCTTCGCCTGCATGGCCTTGTTCCTGCTGGGAACCACTCCTACGCCGTATCGTTGCGTAGATGCTTGTACGGAAATGTCTTCTCAAGCCAGCTAGAAGTGTCTTCAGGTACCCTCCAGACCACAGTGCTGAGGCAACGCAACGACTTAGGAAGCATGCGGCACCACCATGTGTCCATTTCTTTGATGCTGAAGCAGCGCCTTTCTATTCGCCGCTTTTCACTTCATCTGGTCTGCTTTGTTGCCTTTAGTCGCCCAAAAGTCGTGACTGCTATGTGCCCCGCATGCCCGCAACATCAACCAGGCTTTTCGTCCAATCACCGCAGAATGCACCCCCACTTGCGTCGAGTTAGTCAAGGTCTGCGCCGCTCAAGCAAATTCTAATAGTCCGAGTCTGAGTGCAGATTCTTGATCCTTGATTGTGTTGAATGAGAACGGGCCCATGACCACCTCAGTCACACGAGTCAAAGGTTCCGCGAGTGTGAGTGTGAGTCTGAGTGCGAACCAGATCACTCAGACTCGGCACTGCGGGTGGGTTACTTTGGCCAAATTAAGGCGCCCGTCCGCGAGCAACGCATGACTGCGCATGGCTATGCGACTCGCGCGCGCACAACGCATGGCCGTGCGCTGCGCTGCGCTGCCTGCGCTGATGCGCGCGCAAGCAGCAGAGTGCGAGAAAATTTGGCTCAGCAGCGCTTGGATATGCGTCGCAATTTTGAATTGAGCCATGCTATGTACATCATCCCACCCCCCATCAACCCGTGGTCCACCGCCGTGTCCAGCGTCCGAGGAAAAGGGCCGCGCCCCACTCTGGACACTCTGACTGTGCCTGGTCCAGAGGTCTGCACTTTCGACAGAGATGGTCTGGCCTTTCAGCAACTCCAGTGCTGCCTCTTCCACGTCTTCCTCTTCTGGCGGCAATGCTCCTTCCACACCAGCCCATGCTCTCACCACAGAGCAGAGCGCCAGCGCAAAATGGGAAGCTACTGTCAAGGAGGAGCAGATTATTCAGGCTGCATACACGCCTTTGGACGAGATGAAAAAGTGCTACAATCTGTTCGACGAGTGGGCTGCTTGTTATGGTACGTGCTCGCCATCAAGCTCCTGGTGCGGGCGTACGTCGCCCGCAGTCTGACACGATGCTGCTCCTCGTGTGCCTTTCGGCCATCGACCCGTCACAGCTCTTCTCCCTCAGCTAAACTCAGTGTACAGATACGGCGGACCAAAGGATTGTTCAACAAAGTTCAACGATTGGAAGTTTTGCCTGACTCTCAAGGACCTTTCTGCTGAACAGAGGAGGGAAAAGTGGCTGAGGCATCGTGCTGAACAAGTGGCCAAGATGCGTCTCGAAGGAAGCTCGGAAGACTTTTGGGAAATACGGCGAGATCCTTTGATCGATCCCAAGTTTGAAGACGTACAGATTGGGAGGGACGCCTGAACAGCAGGCTACGTCGAGCATCTAGCCCTCGCACACGCAATGTGACGGCCTGTGCCGTGCGAGGAATTCTCTTCGAGCTAAGTGAGTTGCGGGAGCATGTAAAGCAAATGCCGAGGGGCCGTCGCAAGCACACATGATGAGTGTATTTCATTCAGTTCTGCTACTGTAGAGCCTCAATATTCGCAGAGGTTTCGCTGCGGACACTACATACCATCGCTTACCTTTCTGATCAGTATGCGCGGGCGGAAAATGTTGCTCATGCGTTGCGTCGTTGCCAGCTAGACCTACGACTGACTCGTCTTGGCCGTCTCTGCAGTACACACTACACTGTTGCCCTCGATGTCAGGGCTCATTCGCCTGCACCTCAGTCGGACATGCCTCGCGTTATCTCAGGTAGGTGTGGGCGATGAACCCTGCATGACCGAGCTGGCACGCAGCGACATTTCGCCTCCAAAATGATTACAACAAAAGTTCCAAATCCATTCTCACGATGCGATTTCGAGTTTATTGGGCAAGCGCGGGCTCTCGGTTGCACCGTCCAACGAGTCCGACCTACTGTCTTGCTTGCATAGGAGCGCATCGTATCGTTTGATCGGTCGACTAACTCAAGATGTTCCCAGCGGGACGTCGGGGCGAAAGATCAAGTCGGGGATGCGGCTGTGCTCCTAGGCGGATGGGGTGTGGCGAATGCTCGAAGGGCTGTGCGCTAGGCTGGGAGCCCTTTGCGCTGCTCAAGAGGCTGGTCACGCAAATGATGGATCAATCTTCTCTATGATCGGAGCGCGGACGCTGTCATCGCGCAGACTCGATTGAGGTGCTTTAGGCAGTTGCTGACACCACGACGTCTCTTTTTTCCAAAGCCTCGACTGCATCTAGCAAGCACGACTGGACCCGGGCTGGTCAACGCTAAGGCCCCTAGCGCTTCGTTTGCAGATCGAACGGTGAGTACTTGATCGCGGTCCTCAGTGGGTGCGAAGGGGAGTCCGAGGGAGCAGCAGATCGAAGGCAAAGACGAAAAGACGATCCCATATCGTATTCTATCGAGCTAGACGTAGCCCACCAGCTTCTTTCGCATTGTCCGCTTCCCATGTGTTGGGAGGTCGATGGTGCGTGGGAAGAGGGGGCGATGCGCCGCATCGCTCAAAACATGCATGTGAGTCGGCGTTCTTACCTTGCCATCAAGTAATGTTGCATCATGCTGATCCAGGGCACCTTTGTGACTGATCTGTCCTTGCAGCACCAGCTGAGCCTTTCTGCTGTCCCAATTGAATTGTCCACTTCGAAAGGTGTTGAAAGCAATGAAGTTGCTGACATGATAGTGGGCTCCTCTGCATAATGAAACCAGACACTCGGCCATCCTAGAGACGCCACGAGCTCGCCTTAATCGAGCTTAGCGCGGCACTGTCGCCTCATGACAGGAGAACGTCAAGATCGCTGGAGGCATAATCACAGAAGCAAATTTCCGACTAGAGACACGCAGCTTAGTGCCATACGTTTGGCCGTGCAACGACGTGCATCGCATTGACAGGAGTCATAAGCCTAGCTCAGTTCACCCTCGCATGAGCTTGCACGCAGCTTCAGAACGACGTTGGTCCTGACTGTTTGGAACACGTTCATGACTGGTCTTTACCCATTGCTCAAGCCAAATGGTGTGGCACATCACCACGAATGGGCTCGACGAATGTCTAGCGCGCGATGTTCTATTGATCACGAGACGTGTCAGCAATCGCAATGCGTGAATGAGCACCATGTCGAGTCCTCGCGCATCGCCGAGGTTCGTCCAGTGTACAGCCCTTCCATCTCATCGCCTGAGCTTGTTGTGTGTGCTTCGATCAAGTACGGCCAAGAAGGTTGGTTCGGAGATGTCACGGAGCATGCGAGGTGAGGAAAGGACTGCTTGAAGCTTGCAGCTTGCAGCGCACACAGTAGCATGCAACGCACACGATTAGCAAGAGAGATCATCGAAGTGAAGATGGCGTGTACAGAAGCACAGGAGGAGAAGCAAGAAGATGGCGCGAGGGAATGAGTGGTTAGAGACGCATCTCATTGCAACGATTGTTCTCCATGGCGATTTGAATGCATACGAGTGCTCCTTCTGCAATGATGTTGATGATCATCGTGCGCCATTAGTAGCCCGCTGCTCCCGGAGCTGTCTGTCCCTCCCGCTGCATGACGAGTTGGGCAAAGATGGCTAATGGGTCAGTCACTTCCCCCAAAGCCATGTGCCGAATGGATCAAAAGCCACCGCTTTGACGCAGGTGATGCGGTCCACAGCGCAAGCTTTCAATCAGCTGTCCAAAGTTCAGCCAAAACTCACCCTTAGACTCAAAAGAATTTCCTTCATCCTTGTCAGGTCCGTCGATCCGGGACCGCCTCTGGCTATGGTCTTACTTTGGGAATTTTGCAAGTCCAACAGCTTGGTCACTCTGGACCACGTCGTTCCTTCGGCCAGCTCGGCGCTTTGTTGAGCCAGGAAGGCAGCTTCGGACTCCCTGTGGACGGAAAGAGCGCATTCAAGCGTCAATACCATAGGTCATCGGGTGTAGCTCCCACTGGCGGGATCTCTGCTAAATGCGCCTCGATTGCAGATCTCTAAGAGAGAGTGAAAGATTTTCTCGCACATGACCCGTCGACTCTCACGAGCGAAGGCTGTCTTCCCGCCGTTCTGCTAAACCACAAATGACCCATCAAGCATCGCTAAACCACTCACTTGTTCTGCTTGATGCTCTTCTCTTTCTTCGCATTGTACTCTTCATAGAATTTGTCAACGTCCTGCTCAGCCTTTGAGATAGTCTCCGACTTTTTCCTTTCTGCTTCGGCATCCCTCTTTGCGATGTCATCAGCCTGGCGGGTCCTCCACTGCTTGACAGCCTCACTCTCCTCTGCATTGTTCAAGTGAGAGTAAGGGTCTGAAACACCGGCGTAGCCCGAGCCTCCACCGCTTGCGCCAAACGATTGAGCAGGCTGAGCGGGTGCACTAGAATACCCGTTCTGTGCGACAATCCAGCCGACGATCAGCAGAGCCTTCACGCAAGGCAACAAGAGCGTTTGCTCGAGGCAGGTGCGCAGACAAGCATGGGCAACTCACGGTGTTGGTGACAGGGGGCTGGGTTGCAGGCATGGCGATCTCCTCTTCCAGCTCAGGAAAGTCACTTTGGAACTTGTCCATTTCATCCACCGGTGCTCTAGTCTGTTGGGCAAAAGCGCTTGCTCCCCCACCAAGGAGGTCATCCTCGTCTCCAAAGCCCCCGGTATTGTTGTGAGTGGTGGCGGTGGTGGTAGCAGCCGAAGGTTCGTCACCGTCGAGACTTGGAAAAGCGGCAGCTCCACTCTCAAAGTCCTTCTCCCCGCTTACGCCTGCTGCGCCGCCTGCAACGCTCGAACCGAACAAGTCCGCATCACCTTGCAAGGCTCCCGCTGCTGCTCGCTCTCGAGCAAGAAAGTCGGCAGTGGGATCTGATTCGGGAGCAGATGTGTTAAAGTCGAACGACATTTTGGACTTGCGCGTGTGAGAGTGGACGAGTGGAGTGATGGAGAGGAGCAAGAGTGACTGCTGTTATTACGCTCGTCGCGCTTCGGAGACGCTGATCAGCTCTGATTCTTGCTATGCGAATGAGCTTAGAATCACGTCAGGTGCTGTTTGAAGAAAGGGCAGTCTGAGTCGAATGGAGAGGAAGAGAGTATAGTCTGAATCGGCTGAAGAACGTAAACAGATACGCGCGGAAGCTGGAGTCTGAGTGATGATGCATGGCTCGGCTGCTGTTAATCGTGGAGTTCGGCGACCGTGCGCGCACGCACGCACAACGCCAGCATGCACCGACAGCACCTGCCACGTGGTCGGCACTCGCGACTGCAACAATCAAGAATTGACAATCAAATCCTAATGAACGCGTTCCTCCAGCACCGCCCCTCAGCTGAAGAGCAGCCGGGATGCATGGTTCTTGGTTCACATTCACATCCGTTATTTTGATTCAATATTCAAAATTGTGATTCTTGATATCCTTGATTTTGAGGAGTCACGAGTAGAGTTCAAATTGCATCTAGAAGGGAGAAAGGCTGGCCACTCAAGACTCGTGGACCGTGGAATTCTATACTCGGGCATATAACGGCAGCAGGTGTCGAATCAGTGATGCATAATTCACACTGTGATTCACGATCGTAATAAAGTCTTTACGGACATCCGCAATTGCACGCAGCATAGAGCAAGGGTACTCCCTAGACACGATTGACCTACCTTGCGCGAAGCAAAAGGCGGGCCCGTGTCGACGATGATGTGCGATTTGAGACCGCAGGCTCGCATCACAGGGCCCTCAGTCTAGCAGACCCTACAGCGAAATTGAACGATCGGATGACAAAGCATCGTGAACATTGCGTGCTTGGAAACGTCGAGGTGATCTTTGCGAGCTGACTCAAAGAGCGGCCTGAGCTTCTTGGTGCTTGACAAATGCAGAGTCGAAAGCTTGAGCAGCTTCGTCTGCAGAAGTGACGAGAGCGTGGCTGGGAGCTACCCTTCGCAGTTGTCTATTGGTTTGGGCGCGATGAAAGTCAGTCTTCGGGATTTCGAATATCAACACTGATTTTGCTCCGCAGGCACTGCACTCACTCAAGGCGACCAAAATATCCAGCAGGAGAGGCCGAATAGGAAGCGAGGACTGCCGAGTTGGCAAGCAGGTCCACATTGTTTGGATCCTGCATTGTGAGCAAGCATGAGTCCTTATCAGCGTCAAACAAAACGTTCCTGAAGAGCCTCTCTGCACTCGTACCCACAAGCTTCTCAGCATCGGCAAGCACTTGTGTGGCCTCGTTCCTCTGGCCAAGCACGAGCTGGGCAACACCCTTTCCAACGAGTGGATTCACGCTTGCGTCTTTGCCCACATGCTCAGGGTTTTGCGCCAATTCGTCGTACACGTAGTAAGCCTGCTGAGCAGATCTGCCACCAGTGTGAAGGCCTATGTACGCTTCGATGAGCTGAATGAGCAAACTGTCGTCTGCCCAGGTGCGAGCGGCTTGATATTCTTTCTCTGCTAGATCAGCTCGGTGCTGTGAAAGCAAGATGTGCACGCCCAGTGCAATGCTGCGTGAGCGGAGAGATATACAAGTGTCAGTGCCATGTCTGTGGAGCAAGCAATTTTGATTGATGTGCACGCAGGGAAGCTGATCTTCTGAGCCCGACCCCGCGCGTACAAATGTAGGATTGATCGCAGCTTCGCACCGCAGATGCTCAGCATTTTCCTTGATCCATAGCACTCACCATTCGATCTCTCTGGAGCTCGCTGTTCCGATGCCCAGAGTCTCCAACGCGCCGATGGGGTCATCATCCAGTGCCATGGCGGTAGCAGCGCAGACGCGAATAGTCTGGCCCGAAGGGTCGCCCACAACCGCATCGTCGAGTGTTTCTCTCAACTCTGCCAAATTCTCATCCGCTCCACTGACATCTCCCTGACTACGCGCCTCCACGAAGGCGGCCAAAGCTCGCACGGACCGAGCAGCTGCGCTAGAAGATGCTACATCTGCGGGCAACAAGGACAAGGCGCCTCGAGGATTGTTGGAGGCGATGTGAGACCTTGCTGCGTAGAGCAGGCGCGTGAGGGTCGGCTCGGACGATGGCGAGCCTGAAGTGTTGCTCGATGCTAGTGCTATGGCACTGCCGTATGCTCCTTGATAGAAGAGCGACTGGATCTTGAAGGTCACTCCATCCTCGGACATCTTGACTGCTCAACGATTGCAAGGTCACTTGCAGCTGATGGGTGAAGCGCTACCCGCAGCGTACTTTCTTGACTGTGTGAGCTGGGTTATTGGCTGACGAGCGCGCGCAATGGTAACTTGTCATCTCACTTTAGGTACGCCGATGATGGAGACGCGGAGTATGAGTGTCGACTTTGGACCTTCTTGATTTGAGGAGCGTGCGTTGCTGGCGGTGCTGTGAGGTGCTCGCGTTGGTGCGCCCCGGACGCTCACGTGTAGCGCTTGGGCCAGCCTCCACTGTGCATGCTGCATGATCTTTTGAGCGCCTTAATTCGTGATTGATCTTTCGCGATTATTCACATTTTTGGTTGTGATCCTTCGCATCAACTTTGCATGTGGGTGGGTGGGTGTATGCGGCGCAAAAGTAAGGTCGGACATGCGAATCTTTAATCAACTCCTCTTCCAACCTCTCCCCACCCAGAAGCGGGAAGCGGAGACAACCTTTGCATTCGTGATTCTCCTTGTGTCCTCAATGTCAGCCTCGTACTTGTTGTCGGCCGAGTCCTGGTCCGGACTGGCCCCAGCGTGGGCGATTCTGACCTTACCGAGCAATCTGGGACACGGAGCAGCCCTATCAGCACACGCAGATGGTCGCATTCGGCTGTGGATGCCTCTTCCCTCCGGCAATGCTGCACTGCTTGCGTCAGTCCCACATGCGAGCGCAAGAGGGGAGGATGAAGCGCAACGAGGCACAGGAATTGGCGTGGGCTTCTTGACTGGCCATCAGCTGAGCAAAGAGGGTGATGCTTGGGGAGTGCTCTCCAGTGCGATGGATGGAAGTATTAGCTACTGGCGTCTTGATCTTCAGAAACTACTTCAGGCTGGAGAGGAAGCTGTGCATGGCGATGAGCAAGGCGCCGCGAGTCATCACTCACCGGCGACTGCACAACAGCGTCAAACCGACCTTCTCACTCCCGTAGCAAGCGTCGAGGCCCTGGCAGCTCCTTTTCCGAGCGGTGAAAAAGCGATGGGTAAGTCGTTGACTAGTTGCGATGCTCATCTTTGACCTTTGGCGGAAGGGAGCTGACCTAGCATTTGGGTTGCCTGCAGAGGCGTACGCTACCGCTCTATCTCCCACCGGCGAGTCTTTCTCCGCGTCTGGAGAAGGGATCATCGGGATGTACGATCTTGGTCGATCAGGTTCCGCTGCACAGGTCGCCAGTGACGAGTCGACAGCATCGGGTAGCTTCGCACGTCCAAGAAGGCGAATAGCTTTGCCAGAAAAGCCACGAAACTACACCAAAGAGAGGAAGAATTTCGGAACATGCCTAGCTTATGTGAGTATGTCCGCCGGGGCAGGAGAAGCCGTCTTTGCCATGTCTATGACCGCTCACCAAGTGCTGTGCTGTGGAACCTCGTGCGTAGAATTCAAGCGGGAATTTGCTAGCTTGCGGCACCGATTCCGGCCAAGTCTTCGTCTACTCTGCGGATGCAGGGACTTTGCTCGCAACAATCTCTGGTTCGTGTATGTTCCGAGCAAAAGTACGCGTACATGAGCTGAGACAACAACTTTCACATCATAGATCATGCGCTGCCCATTCGCTTCGTGTCTTTCTCCGCATCAATGCCAGGCAGTCCCACAACGGATCACCTTCATGTCTGTTCGGAGGATCAAGCCTTGACACTACACGACGTCATGCACCTTTCTAATCGCGCGATTGCTCTGCGCGCTCAACCGACCTCGGCGATGGATATAGATCAGGAGACGCAAGCCAGCACTGTAGTCGCCAACCTGCGCCATCCCGGTTGGGTTACGAGTGCCGCGCAGGGCCCTCTCTTGGCAAGCACGTGAGTCATTGCCAGCCCTCGAAAACCTTATGCGGAGGTGAGGCTGACAGCCAGCTCTTCACAAATCCTAGCTCAACGGATGGAAGCGTGCGCTTGTGGGACACGGGCTCAGGTGGACCTCGTCGAATGGTTGCTCAACTTCGCGAAGGCCCTAGAGTATGGGCATGTGCCTGGACAACCACTTTGGAGGCGCAGCAACGCGCCGGAAGAAGAGCACTGGACCGAGATCATATTCCGAGTCTCACGTTGCTATTGAGTGCGGGTGAAGATGGATGTGTCAGGTGGTATAGACCTGCAGGTACGGGACAAGGTCCGGATGGCACTTGAACAATCATCTGATTGACCTCGAATGCCCATTTGAGTGTCGTCCTGCTTTGACTTCAGGCCGCCTCGAGCCGCCTGTCCTGCTGTAGTTGTGCAAGCACGTCTGCAGAAAGCTGCAATGCTGTGAGCTCTCTTGCCTGGCGACCAATTCAAGACGACATCCATTCAAGATTGCGATTGACTCTCTACTCCAGTCTTGAAGCCGCGATCGCTAACGAGCACCGCCAGCCAGATTCAGCCTCGATCGTTAATGCGCACCGCCAGCCAAATTCAGCCTCGATCGTTAATGAGCACCGCCAGCTTCATTCACATCCATGAATAAATCACCCTCTTCTGTCGAATGGAGGGGTGTGTTCGATTTCTGGCCGAGACACGCAGAGATCACGTGACCATCGGGTTGGAAATGGGGCGACTGCCTCCAGAACACAAGTTGGAGTATTTCGTGGCTCTGGCAAGGCTCTCTGATCGTTTTCGTTGCGACGAAAAACACGTCGGTATGCTCAAGGCCTATGATGATGGCAGCCACTTCGGCTTTGTTGAAGAAGATGTGCTCGGCAGTAGTTGGGTCCAGGCACTTGTAAACGCAGCGGATGAGGCTGTTTGCGCCAAGCTGCGAAGTGCGACGAAACGCGCGTCTTGCCACGCTATCGTGGCCCAAATTTGCCCTGAACCCACGTCTTTCGTGTCTGAGACACGTGGCGAACATGGCAAGGCGCGTCTGATGAAGCGCGAACAGGCGCCGCTAATCGTGTATCAGCATGATCGTAGTTCCACATAGCTGATCAAATGTGCAACCACGAATCGTGAAGCCTAGACGTACGCACATACGCAACTTCATGGGGTGTTCATCTTTGCGTTTGATTCTTACAAATGACAATTCAGGAGGAAGCTCACAAAAATGTGTGTCTGAGAGCGCACGCATACCAGCGCAGCGGGCTGTCTATTGAAGGTAGCGATTAGACAAACTTGCTGGAAGTGACACGCATGCGGGAAGCTTGAGCGTTGTTCAGCGGTGGCGCGTAAAGTTCGCGTCTGTGGGCGCGGCGCGCATGGCGGAAGTTGGCTGCTGCGCTCATGCTGGCGCGCTGGCTCTGTCTGCACTCCGATGACTGCAGCGCGACTTTTGTCCTGCTGGCCAATGCATGCGAAGCGCGCGGCTGCGCGCGCGCCACGCTGATGATGATGGTGCGGGCGCAGTGTGCCGCGCGTTGCCTGTATGCTGCAGGTCTAAGCGCTTGAGCCCTCCCCTTGCCGCTTGCTGCTGGGTCTGGCCTCTGCCGACAGTGCCTGCTCTCGCCCGTACCTCGCATGGCTGGTCAGAGCGCTCACTTCGCCTTGGCTTCGGTGGTCTCCCCCTCCTTGTGCTTAATTACATAGCGTCAATCTGTCAAACCTACCACCATTACACCTGCCCTTGCGACTTGCATCATATTTGAGTCCAGCACCACCCATTCGCTCTTCAGTCCCTACACCAAAAGTGAGTACACACACAGAATTTGCGGTCGCACGTCTCCTGGGTTGGGGAAGATGCGCTCTGCCGTGCTAGGAAGTTGAACATGGAGGTGATTGGAGTTCGACTGCTCTCACCGAAGAAGTGCCGTCATCGCACATCAAGTGTCGGCGTGCCAATTCAGCTTCTCCTGGTCAAGAGATGCTCAGCTCGCTACTGGCAAGCTGTTGTTCGCGCCCCGAATGCGATTGTCGCACGAGTCTGTCAGCGCTTCAGGACGTACAAGTCATTGATGCCAGATCCCTTATTCCGCACAGCTTCAATCTTTCAAACCAGTAACATCATGTCTGAGACTCGAGAGGACTCCGTCTACCTCGCCAAGCTCGCTGAGCAGGCTGAGCGTTACGAGGGTGAGTGTAGTAAGCACTACAAAGGGAAGGGAGTCTGACCAGGCGGTAGCAGATAAACAATGGCGCGTGTAGGCCACCCCGTGGATGGAGCCACAGCGAGCTTAGGTGACGCACAGGCGAGCACCTTTCAATAGAGGCGAATTTGGTCTCATGATCTGGGCGCCGTTTCTTGTTGAGCCCAGGACAGGACAGCTGACCTTACGTTGGACCGGCCCCACTCCGCAGAGATGGTTGAGAACATGAAGCGCGTCGCTTCTTCTGACCAAGAGCTCACTGTTGAGGAGCGAAACCTCCTCTCGGTCGCTTACAAGAACGTTATTGGTGCCCGCCGTGCTTCCTGGCGCATTGTTTCCTCCATTGAACAAAAGGAGGAGAGCAAGGGCAACGAGACCCAAGTCACCATGATCAAGAAGTACCGCGAGAAGATCGAGGCTGAGCTCGCTCAAATTTGCGAGGACATCCTTGACGTCCTCGACAAGCACTTGATCCCCTCTGCCGCCTCTGGCGAGTCTAAGGTCTTCTACCACAAGATGTGAGTTCAATGCGACTTTTCAGCAGGGGATGTCAGCAATTCGAGGAAATAGTTCAGGGCGATTTATGAGGCTGACTCGTCTTGGCTCTTGCGCCTTCTGTCGCTTTTGCAGGAAGGGAGACTACCACCGTTACCTTGCTGAATTTGCCACTGGTGACAAGAGGAAGGACAGCGCGGACAAGTCCCTCGAGGCATACAAGGCTGCCTCCGACGTTGCCGTTACCGAGCTTCCTCCCACCCACCCGATCCGTCTCGGTCTGGCACTCAACTTCTCCGTCTTCTACTACGAGATCCTCAACAGCCCTGACCGCGCCTGCCACCTCGCCAAGCAAGCCTTCGATGACGCTATCGCTGAGCTTGACACTCTGTCCGAGGAGAGCTACAAGGACTCGAGTGAGTTCTGTGCTTTGCTTACAGCAGTGCGACTGGCTCAAATGCAGCGCGTGGCTTGAATGGGCCTTGTAGACTGACCAAGGTGCACCTACCTTCTCACAGCTCTTATCATGCAACTCTTGCGTGACAACCTTACCCTCTGGACAAGCGACGTGAGCCTTCTTGATTACATGATGTCTTCTCTCCAGTGCGGCTGACGTTCAATTTCTCCCACGCAGATGGCCGATGCTGCTGCCCCCGAAGGTGCGGCTGCGCCCGAGAAGGTAGAGGACAAGCCCGCCGAGGCAGGCGAGGCCTGAAGACATTAGGGCGGGAAATAGACGGAGCTGGATACGAGTGGATCTTGGTGGCGCCAGGCTAATGAGGGAGGCGCGTGTGGAAAGACGTTGAGCCTTTACCGTGTTGCCGGGTGCAGAGCGGGAGTGAGGGTGGATGACGACTCACTGCGCCCATCGTCACATACATGTTGGGACGTGCGCTGGCCTTGCGGATGGCCTAGCGGATGGCCCGACATGAACAAGAATCTTTCGCCACGGGATAAATGCTGTGTTGTTCGACGACTTGCGTCTCATGCAGAGTCTTCGATCCTCAGTCTTCACCTTTTCCAATTCCGAGTCATTCATCGATCACACTTCTCACCCTGTAGGCAGATTGCTACTCGCTGGCCAGTCTGTTTCAATCTGCTCCTGTCGTCGCCTCTGTCTCTTCGCTTTCCCCTCCCCCCTTGAACCAACTCTCCACAACCAACTTTCTCGGTTTCTCGAGTCGTCAAACTAGGTAGTCAGTGCCAAATCCAGATTTGTCAAAAGACCACATCGTAAGGACGCGTGTGATTTGGGGGTCAATGTCGGCGTTATGGCTTTTCGTGTGTAATGGGCTACCAAAGTGATGATTGGAATGGGGCCCTGAGTCGCCGTAGCATGATGCGCATCGACTCGTCGCTCGACGAGTCATTGCACTCCGACTCGGTGCCTCGCCTCGACGTCGGAGTCTCGAGGGATGATGATGGATAGCAGTTGTGAGTGCGAGTGCGAGTGCGAGTGCGAGTGCGAGTGCGAGTGCGAGTGCGAGTGCGAGTAGCGTATCGACCGGGCGCATGCACGTGTGTGACTTTGCAAGGTTCACTCACCATCGACGCGCCCGAGCCAGAGCAGGGGGTCCGCGGGAATTTGCATTCAAATTGATCACAAGCCGAGGCTTGACGCTCATCACTCATGCTCCACGCTTACGAGCAAGTGAAGAGCAATAAGCGGCAAGTCACAGTCTGAGTCACGAGTGCAGAGTCTGAGTCACAGTGGCTTGGCTCAAAGGAAGATCAGCTGAGAAGCTTTGAGGTGAAGAAGAGGCAGCACAGCATCAGGCACAGGTTCGTCGTGCTCGGCCCCAAGGCGCGCGAGAAGAAGGTCCTTGAGTCACGAGTATGGCCAGCCAGCTAGCTACTCGACAAGTGACGAGGGTCAATGAGTGCAAGTCATCCCATCCAAGTCTAGAGTGAGCAGAGAAGCCAGCTGAGCGGCTTGACGTAGATGCATTCGTGATTGCACTCGCGTGAAGCAGTCAGCGTGCTGAGACAAGCCCTTGATTGCGTTCGCTAGCCATGACTGAGCCTCGTAGCGCGACCGTCAGCGTGGCAAGAGGCACGTAAAGGCAACTAACTCACACTTGTACTCGAGCCGATTGCGCCTCACTGATGGAGCTCATGCTCCCAGAGCATTTACCGCTGGATGGAGGAGGAACGGTGGCACGATGCTCAACGTCTGCGCCTAGGATCATCATTCACGTAGATCTGGATGCCTTCTATGTGGGTGCATCCAGATTGCGCGACCCTACCCTCCGAGGCTTGCCCGTCGGCATCAAACAAAAGGTGAATGCAAGTTCTGAGTGGCAGAACGTGTCGAGCGATGGCTGCTCTGGGTAAATGGGGCTCACAAGTATCTCGTACTCATTGCTAATGCAGCACATCCTAGCCACTGTTTCGTACGAGGCAAGAGCGCTCGGAGCAAAGAAGCTCGGAAAGGTCATGGACAGCTTGAGGGCCTGTCCTTCTATGATCCTCGTCGACGGCGAAGGTGAGTGAAGTGGCTAATTGAGCATATAAGTGGCAATGACCCCCCCAAATGTGCTCAATTAGCAATCGCACCCTTTCTTCATGGCGCAGATTTGACTTGGTTTCGAATGGTGTCGCGTAGAGTGTTTGGACTGATGTCGGAAGTGTGCGGACCTGCGACGCCGATAGAAAAATTGGGCATGGACGAGCTTTGGCTTGATGTCACTCAGCTCATCGATGGGCACCTCAGCTCCTTGCCTCAAGCTGATGAATCCGGAAAGCGATGGTTCCCTTTGCCAAGTGGCTCCTCAACGCCATCGAGACGGGCAGGAGATTCTGCGTCCTGTCAAGGCTTTTTATATGGTATGCATGCAGTGGGGCATATCTCCAAATTTTCAACCTTCGAAGCAAGCGGAGCACATCCTACCGCTTCCATGCGCTTTGTGGTCGCAACCCATTTGGCCAAACACTTGTTGGCCATGCTCGACTCCGCTCTGGGTCTCAGCGCGAGCGCAGGAGTCAGCACGTCCAAGCTCCTCTCGAAGATTGTTGGCGGCGAGAATAAGCCGGCGCAGCAGACATTATTTGCTCCACTTGGTGGCACGTTGCAACAACAAGCCGGCATCAAGGCTACATTCGTCGAGGCACGTGAGATACGAGCCTTGGCCGGCTTTGGCAGCGTGGTCGCTAATCGCATAGAAGAGTTTGTCCGTGGTCTTCCTCACAACCAAAGTCGTTCTGAGAGCAAAACTCATCACAGCCAGTGGCACAGCGTTCCGCCACACGCACCCGAAACTAATATAGAAGCTGAGGCAACTGCACAGTCCTCGACTCGACTCTCGGTTGCAGAAGTCCGATCCCAGATCACGCTTTCGGACATGTGCAAATTGTTCGGAAAGGTGCAAGGAGCTCGACTTTGGCCTCTCTTGTGGGGTCAGGATCCCTCCCCGGTGGGTCCTGCTCCACTATTTCCGGCTACAATTAGCATCGAGGATACCTTTTCTCCTCGGGGAGCTACTCAAAATGCCGTCGAGTGCCTGGTTCGAAGCTTGTTGAGGCGCCTCGAAAACGAGCTCAGAGCTGGATCGACAGGATTCGATCCCAACAGCAAGGGTAGGGCGATTGCTGAAGTCGGTTTGGACCATCTCAAGTTTCGCAGAGTGGATCGACAAGCTTGGTCTGACAGCGACTATAGCAACGCTCCAAATCCGATTGTGCGGTACTATGAGCTGATCGAGCAGGACGAAGCGCAAGATGAAGCGCGCTCTTCCGCACTTGGACCTTGGCTTCGTTTTCCCGCCACGTTGCGAGTCGGTATCGTCACTCCTGCTTCCATTGCTGATGGAACGCCAGTGTGGAAGGCGCGCAACAGCAAGTCTTCAGCCATGCCAGTCGAGATTTTGTGAGTGGTCAGTTTAAGGACGTGAGCCGCTTTTCCCACAAAGGCTCACACCCACGCCTACTCGTACGCAAGCGAGGTCGAGCACTGCTTTGAGAGTCGCGCAAATGCTCTTTCGAAAGCCGTGCAGAGCTTGGAGAAGGCGCTGAATCCGCAGAGACTACCGATTAGGCTGTTGAATCTGGCAGCAGCAGACTTGCGCGAGAGACAGCCAGACCGAAGACTGGATTCTTGGTTGACAAGCCGGCGCGCAGGCAAGACGCCGGTCGAGCATGGGGTGGATTTGGCTTGCTTGAGCCAGTCTGAAGCTTCTTCGATTGACCTCGACATCTTCTCCGCTTTGCCAGACGACATTCAGAGGGAGCTTGCTGCGCAGCATGGACTAGATTTGCAGCAACTACAAGCAAAGCGATCGGATACTCACTCCTCCACCCATGCTTTACCTTCCGGCGCCAGTCTGCGGCACGATGATGAGCAGCTTCAGCGCGACGTTCAAGATCGCTCCGGCTCGGCGCATTGTGAGGTGTGTCGAGCTGCTTGCCTGCCATTTTTACTGCACGATCACGAGACGTGGCAAGTGTCGGGTTTGCCGGAAGAGCTGAGACAAATGGAGCTGGAGGAGCTCGCAAGAGTGGACGAAGTATTCCATGTTGCACCAGAACGCACATTCAGCACGACTCCTTCTTACGAGAGCCCTGTCGTAAGGAAAGGCTTTGCGCGCACCCCCTCACCATCGAGGAAGCCCAATGGATGAATGTGAATGTACTCTTGTGCATTTTATTTCGCTTGGCTAAGCAGGCAGGAAAAGCAGTGTAATGGACTAATCGACAGGTGCAGCTAGGGCCGCTCTGAAACGCTGTCAGTAAGCTACCAAAGAGATACAAAGCTGCGTCTAGAAGCTAGGAATGACAGAGCAAGGGCAAACGGCAGCAGATTCGTGACGACGCCATCGAGCTGCGGGGAAGAGGGGGGGCGACAGGGGCCGGATCTTTCATGAGGTCATCGCGTCGTATCTACGCTTGGTAGGATGTAAGCTCAGTACGTGGGGGAAGGTGCGGTGCTAAGAACCCAAAAGCGAGATCAAAGTTGCAAGGTGTCGTGTGCAAGGTGTCGTGCAGTCAAAGCAGTCAAAGTCTAGGTGGACGGAGCGTCGCGGTGCTAGACTCGTGTTTGGTGGAGAAGGACGCCTTTCCAGGCGAGTATGGATTGTAGATCGCTTGCTCGAGCTGCGTTGGCGGGTATCCGACGAGGCATTTAGCGCGGTGACGATCAACCTGGATTGGGAGATCTCCACTCACTGCGGTCACCCTAGAATCAAGCGTGGCCGATTCGTTTGACACCATCTGCCTCAAGCCAGATGGTCAACGCGTGAAACGAGCGGTGTGAGATTCGCCCGCGTACATCGCACGCACCTTGACGAGATCTTGATGTAGTTGGAGTAAAGAGCGTTGCAAGCTAGTGATTTCTCCAGCTTTCTGCAATGTGAGGTGTAAGATGGCTGAGTTCGCGGGCACAGCAGTCCGCAATCTTCGCGACTTGTCGAGCCCGCGTTCAAGTTTGACACCCAATTGTGTGTGGAACCCAGCCCACCCACTTACCGTGACATATTCCAGGATCTTTTCCAGAGCGGGCTCTAGCAGCTTGTCCCCATCACCAAGCGCTGTATCGATCGACGGCAAGAAGGTCTTGAAGTTTTGGCTTGCCATTTGTGATCGCAGGGTCAAGAGCAGCAATAGCCTGGGGTTCTTGCGCAAGAATGCGCGTGTTTCGCGCGGATAACACGAGAGTAGTACCTCGACTGCAGGCTATTTGCACCGCCAAGTCATTGCAGGCATCAGATGTGCCTGTAGACGCAATTCCTCTTCAAGCCGACTCACCTTGCCCTCAATATGCTCCCGAGACAAGAGATCGAAGACAAGTTTTTCCTTGCTCGTCAAAGCTTCTGACCCTGCGAGACCTGAGCGAGTCACTGTGGTTTGCAAGTCCTCATCCCTTTGGGCACCACCAGGCACTTCCTTGCCAAGCTTCGAACCGCCTTCGTCAGCCGCTGCATCAGCGATGCGCTCGCGCTCCTTGACCTTCTGGTCGACAACGTCGACAATCGGCAAAGCCTGCGGTGCTCGATTCGCGTCTTTATCAACGATTTCGGGCCGGGTCTCGCGCGCCCTGCGGTCATGAGCCCTTGAGCAGGTCAGTGAAGGCTCGTAGCGCAATGCGATAGCTGCTCGACTGACTCAGTGTTGAACAGTAGCTCAGCAGTTGCATCGTCGATATGTATAAGGTGGCTTGTGCCCGTAAATGGCAAGCTAGGCCCATGCTCCAGTGCACTAGACGGCGTGCCCTGCACGAAGACCTGATCATCCGTTCCTGGATCGCCTTGCGAGACGTCGACCGTGTGATGTTGCAGAACAACCTGCACAGGCGAGTGAAATTGCTCTTCGCCCTCCTCCATCGATCGACCAGAGCTTCGTCGATTGCCGCCATCATTCGCGGTTGCTTCTGCAAGTCGAGCAAGTGGCGAGCGACTGAAGCTCGTGAGCGCAGAACTGTCATTCGAGACTCTTTTCGATGCACCAACAGCAGGCTTGCTGGCTTTGGAAAAGGGAGACTGGGGTGGTGTTGCAGGCTTTAGAGGAATCATCACGGCAGGCTCTACTTCTGATACCGGCACCACTTTTCTCCATTCTTCGATCCTCTGACTCGCCACAGATTCCTTCTTCGGCGTGTTTGTAGACTCTTTGGCGAGCTGTGTCGGAGGCTCTTCCACCTCTGCGACCCACTGACCTCGGGCTGCCGTTCGCCTCGGGGTTCGCGTGGGCGTCAGCATACTCGCATCGGCGGGTCGTATCAGAGTGAGCTGAGAACGACCGCCGCGCAGGGGTGAGGGCTCGTCCACGGGATAGGATTCGGAAATCTCAATGTCCGTCTCAAACGAAAGATCGCCTTCGAGGATATCATCAGCAGTACCTCTGGCATCTAGCAAGGCGAGCTGGGGCCAGATTCGATGGGTCTCTACGAGACCTAGGCTGCCGGACCCTTCAGATTCGGCCCTAGTCTTGGTGTCCGTGTGGCGCAAAGTACGCTGGCGAGGTTTCAGACTGGGCAACGAAGGTCGCCGCTCGGTCTGAAATTGATATTTCAAATTGTCGCGATCGGATCCTCCGTTGCTTGCGCTCCATTCGGTGACCTCTGCGACCGTCTCGAGCATGACCCCACGTGGGCCGGTCGGCGCGAGCGACTGCCATCGTTCGTCAGCCTCGAGTTGCTGGTGTTCGTTCGATGTTGGTGCTGGCGCCAAGACAGAGGGTGGCTCGGTCTCACGTCGTTTACCTTTTGAGTCGTCTGACCCACCGAATATTTTCTTTGCGCCTTGAAACTCCGCATCGCCTCGCTGCTCAGTCGCGAAGCCCGCCGGAGTGGAGAGACCCAAAGCCCGCGATTCAGACTGTTCTTCTTTGATCACTCCTGATAGCAATTGAGGGAAAGAGTACTCTGTAGGTATGGGATCCTGCTCGTGACGCACAACAGCTTGATCTGCGGACATCTGCACTACCTCGCTTTTATGTTCGCGCTGCATGATAGTGGACGGTTTGGCGCGAGGCGCTGTCTGCAGATCTGCCAGACGCTGTAGTTCCTGTCGGAGGCTTGCAGCATTGACCATACTCTTCGACTGTGCACTGCTAGATCGCGAGTGAGGACCAGAGAGCCCCTGCGAGCCGATCGACCTGAGGTCGATAAGGTCATGAGAAACGGCAGACTGAAGTGCGCGCGGTGCTTTGGGTGGTTCAGGATTGCCGAACAGGTTTTCGAGACGCTCCCATTTAGCATCCGGATCCATCGACTGGCTTCGACTGGATCTTTTGGGATCGTCAACATTGCGTCTGAGCGGAGCATACTTCTTCTCCATCGGCATATCGTCCCGCGCCAACTGTCTTGCATAGGGCGCAAAAGCCAGTCGCATCTCCTCCGGGTCCAGCACCCGATTGAGATGCTGGTACAGCACATCCGTATCTGCGCTTTCACCCTTGCTCGGGCTTCCCATGGAAGAGCGTTGACCTCCTTCCTCTGCAGTACACTTGAGAACGTGCTTGGGGCGAAATGCAGAGAGGATCTTGCTTGAGGTTTCCAGACCAGAGGATTGAAGCACTGAGCGCATGACTGCAGCGTGCTCTGCCTCACCTTTGTCTCGAGAGGGGACCCGCTGAGAGCTAGAAATGCGCGGAATGCCGGAGGAACCCTCCTCCTGGCGATCGTGCTTGCCTTCAGATTCTCGCGCGCGGGGGCTTGGTAGCCAATTCGCTGACCATATCGGCGGGCCGCTAAGGTTGTAAGTCGGCAAGCCTGAAGGCAGAATTTGATCCGTCACGAGTGCCAAAGGAGGATTATGCAGGCCCATGTGAGCTTGGTAGAAGCTCGGAACCGGACTGTGACCTGACGAGGTTGGGGAGCGATTAGGATCGGGCAACAGCTCGGGGGATCGCTACCCTCCGCCTTAGAGTGAGTCTAGCTGCTAGACTAGGAGCCGAGTGAATCAGTCTGGACTCACCTGCATCCACTCTTCAAATTTCGTCTCCGCTTTGCGCTTAATGGCGTCCCAAGTAGGATCAACGCCTGCGGGTGGTAGACGAGGAGCACGCGGAGGAGCGTCAGACCCGCCCGCAGCACCATCTTGCCAAGTGGTGATTTGACCTGGCTGAAGCGCTGTACTGGTGCTGGGTGCAAAGCGTTGTGGGCGCGTCGGACCAGCGCACTGTGCAACGTCCTCCCATCTTTCAGCGCCCGATTTGTCTGTTGCGTATGCTAAAGCATGGGCGCTGAAGGGATGGGCAGCATTCGTCACCTCTTGAGTCATAGTGGATGGTTCCATGTACTGTGCTGCCCGTTGCAAACTACTCGGATTCGCGTGACCCGGCGGAGGAGTTGGAGGATACGTGAAAGGGTGGGCGTGCGTTGTTTCCCGACGTCCGGGGGCTAGTCCCTTTGGCGCGGTAGACTGCTGCGGAGGCGAGAAGCGTGGGTGTGCAGTCTGAAATTCATCCGTTCTTTCGGGAGATCGTTGATCTCGACTCTCCGGCTTAGCACGAGTTAGCACTTGACCATCATGAGGTGCTTGGCGGAACGCCGCAGAAAGCGGGGAGCCTGTCAGGGTAGCCTGCGCAGTTGCGTCCGTCTCATCGATGGGTGCAGGGGGTCGCGGCAACGCTGGTCCTGGCGAGCTTTGTGGGTGTGGGGCCTGCTGCGGGGGGGAATATGGTGTCGGTGCAGTTGCGGGACGGATGCCATGTTGAGTGGAACACTCTCGAGTCGAGGTGTCGGCTTGAAGAAAGGTTGTAGTACCGCCTTTCTGCTCCAAATCGAGGCTCTGACCCCTCGACGACTTGCCAGCGCTTGACAGGCCCTGTACCTTATCCCTGAGGACATTCTTGAAGCCAGCAAAGCGACTCGAGGCTCGCTTCGGATCTCTTGCCGATCGAGTCGTGGTAGCAACACCGATTTCTGAGCCAGCGTGCGGACGGAACGGGACGTTGTGAAGTGCCAGCTCGTCGTACGTCAGCGGCGGAGTCTTGCGCGACGATCTGTCGGAAGAGACGAGTGGTAAAGGAGTACCTGGGTGTGCGTGAGCGCGCACATGTCTGGCGCCGGAAGCCCAGGTCGACTGCTGAGCGGGCACGTCGAACTCTCCGCGTGCGAGAGAAAAAGTGTTCTCAAAGCTGTACGGCCCTCCACTTTGGAGCTGCTGGGCCACGTTGACAGGTATAGGGTACAGCTTGGAAGCGTCGAACGAACCTTGGAACGACTCCCGAGGGGGTCCCCTTTCCTTGAACAATTTGGATATTTTCAAAGGCATGACGGGCTTTCAATGCGCTGCTGGCGAGGTCCTCGGTGAGGTCACCTTCAGAAGGCGATAAGCGGTGGATATCCCCTAGAATCGAGGGAGTCAATTACGAATCGTGAATAAGAGAGGGCACGTACCAGATTGTCGATGGCAAGCAGAGAGAGTCAAAGAGTCGCGCTTGGCGAACGTGAACTGGCTTTGAGCTCTACTCGCGACTGTCTGGTTTGGAATTCCGAGGGAGGCGGAATCACATGTACAGCTGGTGCTTGCAGTCGATGAGTCACTGATTGGCGATGCGCCGAGAAGATCAGCGCTTCATCGATCTCATCTCGGCGCAGACGGAGGTCAAAGTTGGGAGGGTGCTCTCGGCTGAGAGGCTGCCGACTGCAGTGCCGCAGGGTAGAGGATGCGTGACCTGATGTGTTGACACTGACCACATCTATGCGCGTTGCCGCTGAGGGTTGGAATTTTTCAGGGCAGGCGCTTGTCTGAGCAAAGTGGGCGCTATGCTATTGGACAAGTCGATCTCACGTAGCACCACGCACGACTCGTCAGACTCGGATTGAGTGACGAGTGTATGTCGATCGAGACTCGATGAGAATCACGAAGTGTTTGCAGTCGAGAGCCTGCATGATCTACGTTCGAGTGAGCATAAGTATAGGCCTCCTTGTGCACGGCTATTTACTTGTGAATCTTCTGCGTATGTAGTCATGCCGTACTCTTACCAGCATACGCGCAGCAGCACAATCCCGAACGTCAGACTGGGCACTAGGCCGGGCCATGCAGCCATGCTCTTATGCCCGACCAGCGCGACAAAGGCAAACTTGAATATAACCTTGATCCTGAACCGCATGCTTTGATGATCATTCCACGCCATGCAGCTGCTGATGTACGCCAGCAAGCAGGCTGGACGTCGCAGTGCGATCATGACGAGGGCGTCCAAATTGCTTCTCAGCTCAAAGCACCCTATAGCTTGTTCATCGTCTCGTCCCCATCTCATCAGTGAGTCGAACTTGAGTCACGAGTCTGGGATCATCCGCGGCTCTTCTTGCTGATGCCTGCATGATGCCCATGCAAGCTATAGCTGCAGTCCATTATCGACCGGCCCTGCTCGAGCGCTATAATAGGCGCCTTGGTTGAAAGTAGGCAACGCTATACCAGTCGGCTTGCGGGGCCTGCGGATGGGCGGACCTGCATGCTTCATGACAAATTGACGTAAAGACGATTCGAAATTCGCCTCCATGCAGTCAGATTTTGAGTCACGAGTCCTTATGAATGTTTGTGATCACTCGTGACTGCTGCTGCTGCTCCCAATTCGACTCTTCTTCTTGCTGCGCAGTCACGTTCGGCCCATATCTTTGTTCACGTGGCGCAGCAGCCGGGTCGGCTCCGCTACTTTGGAGTATGAGTCGTGAGTCACGAGTGTTGATCACATCCGATGCTGGCCGAGCAGCAATGCTGGGGATGCTGGATCGTGCAAGTTCAGCAGGATTCGACACGATGACAATCACGAATGCTCGTGCCTGTGACTCCTTCCAGACCTTTGACTCGTGACTGGTTATGAAGCCACGATGGACAGTCACGAGTAGCTGTGGCCGTGAGTGCTGACTGCGTGGATGCGCTCATTGTCTTGGTCTTCGACTTTACTTGTGCGTCGAGCAATCGAGAACACACACGTGTCTGCGCAGATGCTACAGATCTGCAGTCGTGTGTCGCGAGGCTCGAGTCGTTGCATCCACGCGCGCACGTACGAGGTGACGTATGTATAGGAGGTAGGTACCCTTAGAGTGACGCGTGACTGCACATCAATTGTAGCCTACTCGAGTCGCTGATGATGACTCGCTGTGCTGCACACACGATACGTGCGAGTCGTGAGTACATACACACCGCCGCGGTGGTATGAGCTGCTTGTCTCTTCATTCGCGATTGTGGCGTAGCCGAGGGTCGGCGAGAAGAGCCATGGCATATGCAAGAGGTATACGTGCTTTGCTACACGTTGGCGGGCGCATCGATGCGTGCTCGTGCTGGCTTCGCTCCTTACATGTGTAGCTTTGACACCATGCACCCTCTGCCTCTGCATGCCTTTTGGACCTCTGATTCGTGATTGACTGACTCGCGAGTCGTAACTCTTGACCCGCGGCTTGGAGCAGGAATCACATGTCCTTACTACTTTGATCCTTCATCTATTTGATGAGTCACGAGTGTAACTGTTCATCAAGGTCCGAGTCGTCTTCAGTCTGAGCTCTTGCGACGAATTCCTGATGGGTTGTTGAAACGCTCTGTCAGCACGTGCGATGCATCCAAATTCCTTGCATCCGCGCTGCGAACCGGCTCTCTTCATCTTGATGAGCTTGTGTTTGCTGCGCTTCCAGAATTTTTGATTTGAGCTCTTGCTTTGCTTGCTGGATGATGGAAGTTGTGACCAAGGCATCATCGCGTGCCTCTGCCGTCGATGCATACGAAGCATACGAAGCAGAGGGCCGCTTCGGGCACGGACATGCCGTGTGCGCGACTCGTGCATGCAGTCACAACTTCCGCTCCGAAGCGGACGCTACGCAGCGTCGTCCAACCACGCAGGGTGCTAAGGTCATCAAACAGTCGTGAGTCTGAGTCAAGCGACGCAAATTTGGCCGTACTCAATCAAAGACCGAATTTCGACGACTACCACCACCACCGCTGCGTTCTCTCTTCCTCAGTGGTTGTAGCACAAACACATTGGAGGTCACCTTCGGCCAGAGCTACTATTGCGACGCTCTCTGGCTCGAGACGAGCGCACAACGCCACCTGCAATCTTGCGTTTTTGGCGAGCTTCCACCGACAGTTACACGAGCCAGCGGTATTACTAGAGGCTCTACTTTGCACCTCAACATTGACCAGCGTCATCGGATTCCGTGCTGCCCTACAGTCAAGAAGCTCCTTACAACCCCGCAGCTCTCATCAAGATGAAGTTCTACATCGACGAGCTCCCCGTCCTCTTCCCCTATCCCAAAATCTATCCGGAGCAGTATGCATACATGACGGATCTAAAGAGGACGTTGGATGCGAATGGACACTGCGTGCTCGAGATGCCCTCGGGCACGGGCAAGACGGTGTCTTTGCTAAGCCTGATCGTCTCTTACCAAAAAGTGTGTATGTTACCGGTGTGTACAGGAGTAGAGGGTTCATTTCCTGCTGACGCGCAGCTTTCGCTTGTTCGCAGTTCCACGCCGCATCTAGGAAACTCATATACTGCTCTCGAACCGTGCCGGAGATCGAAAAGGCTCTGGCTGAGCTACAAGCCTTGATGAACTATCGGGCTCGCTACAATGACCCAGAGCGAGTAGCGGGGACCGGACCATCCGGCACCTATCCTGGACTAGACGAACCTCTACCAGAGGGTCAAGGGGTCAGGGAAGACATCCTCGGGGTGGGCCTGTCGAGCAGAAAGAATCTTTGCGTGCATCCGAGCGTGGGTAAAGAGAGGAAAGGAAAGGTGGTGGATGCGAGGTGTAGGGATATGACTAGTCAGTGGGCGTGCGAGAAGGGAAGGGCTGAGCCCGGCAGCGTGGAGCTCTGTAGCTATCACGAGGTGAGAGACTTGCGCAGGTTGATAGCTATGCGTGACGTGTCTCACCAGTGCTCTCGTTGGTTTGAGTAGGAGCTGGGCAAGCTGGAGCCTGGCCACCTGATTCCCAATGGCGTGTGGGGCATCCAAGAGATCAAAGAGGACGCTCGAAGAAGAGGAGTCTGCCCTTACTTTGCGGTTCGAAGAATGATGCCATTCGTCGACATCATCATCTACAGCTTCCACTACTTACTCGACCCAAAGGTTTCGGAGCAAGTGAGCAAGGAGATGAGCAAAGACGCTATTGTGGTATTTGACGAAGCGCACAACATCGATAACGTGTGCATCGAAAGTCTCAGCATTGACCTGACGAGGCCAATGTTGGACAGCGCATATCGAAGCGTTCAGGATCTAGGAGACAAGGTGGAAGAGCAAAAGAAGGCAAATAGCGAAAAGCTGCAAAAAGAATACGAGCAGCTGGTGCAGGGATTGCAAAACGATGCTGGACAGGAGGGACTAGACGAGGCAGAGTCTTTCATGACGAACCCCATTTTACCAGACGATCTGCTTCAAGAAGAGATGCCAGGCACCATCAGAAGGGCGGAGCATTTTGTCGCGTTCCTGAAGAGATTCGTCGAGTATCTCAAGACGAGAATGAGAGTGCTGCACGTCGTCGCAGAGACGCCGCCGAGCTTCTTGCAGCATCTCAAAGACATCACCTACATCGAGAGGAAACCCCTGAGGTTTTGTGCCGAAAGGTTGAGGATGTTGGTGAGCACGCTGGAGCTCACTCGATTGGACGAGTACAGCAGCTTGCAGAAAGTCGCTTCCTTTGCAACACTTGTCGCCACCTACGACAAGGGCTTCCTGCTCATCCTGGAGCCTTTCGAGACGGAGCACGCCACTGTTCCGAATCCGATCTTTCACTTCACGTGTCTCGACGCCAGTCTGGCCATGGCGCCAGTGTTCGAAAGATTCAGCTCGGTCATCATTACGAGCGGGACGATCAGTCCACTGGACATGTACCCAAAGATGCTCAAATTCGACGCTATAGTGCAAGAGTCTTATCCCATGACGCTGTCCAGGCAATGTTTTTTGCCGCTAGTAATCACTCGAGGATCCGATCAGGTTGCAGTCTCTTCGAGGTTCGAAGTAAGAAACGACCCTGCGGTGGTCAGAAATTACGGATCCATCTTGACCGAATACGCAAGAAGCGTACCGGATGGGATTGTCGCCTTCTTTCCTTCTTACCTGTACATGGAAAGCATCGTTGCTGCTTGGCACGACATGGGGATTTTGGAAGAAGTGTGGAAGTATAAGCTGGTTTTCATCGAGACTCCCGATGCGCCCGAGACCTCTATCGCTTTGGAGAATTATCGAAGGGTGAGTGGTACCTTGCAAAGTTGCGCAACCAGCCGCTGCCCGCCCATCTTGTGCTCATCACTTGTCTCGAGTGCCGTCACCCAGGCTTGCGATAATGGCAGAGGCGCAATCATGCTCTGTGTAGCGCGAGGCAAAGTCTCGGAAGGAATCGACTTTGATCACAATTATGGGCGCGCAGTCATCATGTTTGGCGTGCCATACCAGTACACAGAGAGGTGAGGTTCTGTTTTCGCAAAGCTGCGTGTGTCGCTTGACTTGCGTCGTGCCTTGCCTCGCGCTTACATGCAAACTTGGCGCACTCGCCGGTTAGCCGAATCCTCAAAGCGCGCCTCGAATTTCTGCGAGAAAATTTCAGGATCAAGGAGAATGATTGGTTGACTTTTGACGCTATGAGACACGCGGCTCAATGTCTCGGACGCTGCTTGAGAGGCAAGGAAGATTATGGTATCATGGTCATGGCAGACAAGGTGAGGGAACACCCTATTCGCGCTGCGTGGTCATTTCTGAGTGTTCGCAGAAGGCTAAAATGGTATGCTCTCTGATAGCGCTTTGCGCGCGCCGACAAGCGAAACAAGCTGCCGAAATGGATTGCTCAGCAAGTGACGGTGAGCAACGTGGCGCGCTGATAGCGAGCGTACCTCTTCAAGGACCATTTGCTCAGCTCGCGTTTGCATGCTTTGTCATTGACAGGAAACGCATAGCAACCTTTCTACCGATATGGCGCTGGTGGAGACACGGTTGTTCATCAGGCAGATGGCTCAGCCCTACCCTGCCGGAAAAGCAGGCGTGAGCCTTTGGAGCGTCGAAGACCTCGAAAGTCGACAAGTGAGGGAACGTGAAGCTTACAAGAGATTGCTTGGTGAGTCCTCCGTCCGCCCTTGCGCTTTCGCATATACTGATTGGCTCGGCGCATTCGCTGCGCCCATCTCTAGCTGCTGAAGCGAAAGGACAAAAGATTGCAGCTTTTGATGAGGATCAAAGATCTGCGAATGGACAGCAAGGAGAAGACGAGTATGACGAGGCGTTTGATAACATTGATGAGGAAGAGCTGGCAGCATTGGACGATATGGAAGTGGACTGAAAGCTGTGAATTGGTCGGGGAAAATGATCTTCACATGTGCCGCAGACGAACGAATGCATTTGTATAGTATGATGCTTTCCAAACAACAAAGCGAATGCGCTCGATTGATTTCAAAATGGGACAAGAGGGGCGCGTGGAGCCAGGAGGCCTGACTTTTGCTCCGAACGATGACGTGCTCACACGTTCTCTCCCTTGATTTTCGGTGCGTTATCATTCATGACCTATGCGTGCTTGAGAAGCACTATTATGCGGGCAACCACATTTGCAATTCGTATTCTAGCCCTTTCTCCTCGACTGCTCCAGCAGGCAAGAGATCCTTCTCCGTTGCTCCTAACCACTCGTTGAACTGCTCATGCGTAGCCCTCTTCCACCTACCTCGACTTTTCGACTCTTGTTGCCCAACACTGTCGGATATGACCGTCGACGAATCATCTCTTGTCCCCTTCTCGTCCAATCGGATCTGATCGTCTGATCTGAATTCTGGAAGATGGACATCGCAGTTCAGATCCGACTTTAATCGGGTGATGAGGAGGGTGTCTAGAACGAAGGGAGAGGCATGGTGGTCGTTGGATGCGGTGGAGGAATGTTGAGGTAGTGTGAGCATCGCTTGGGCATACAGTTGAGCGCCGCCGATCATGAATGTTCGTCCAAGGAGGTGGAGGGATTGGAGCTTGGACAGGTGATCCAGTGCGCCTTTGAGAGAATTGGCCAGCAATGTTTGAGCGCTGCCCAGAGGTTGGACAGAGCAGGAAGCCTGTTAGGCATGAACCGCGAACAGCAAAACCTGCCATCGCACAACTCACGGACCACCATTCGATCCTTTTTGCCCGCTCGCGCCTAGTTGTGACGCAGCCATGCTCCGACTAACCACGACATTCCATCTCCCTTTCAAAGGTCTAAACTTTTCAGGTATAGATTCCCAAGTATTTCTACCCATAATGACCGCATTCATTCTCTGATCCTTCGCAGGCGAGGTGGAGGGAGATGTGAAATTGGCACCGTGGGAGGAGGAGGAGGAGCGAGGAGGAAGAACAGTGGTGCATCGTCTGAAATGGGACATTTCTTTGGGCAATGTCCAAGGTAGACCTCCACCTGAGCCCAGTCCGTTGGATCGAGTCACTGCCGCGATGAGACTGATACGAAGAGGAGCGCCACTCATGTTCATCTCTGAGCTGTAGAGGTCAGACATGGTCAGAGGAGCCCTGACGCGCGGTGCGATGCGTGTATGGCAGAAAATTGATCCGTTGACCCAGAAAATTGTGTAGGGATGTGGGGTGCTGCTCTTTTCTTACTTCATGCCCCGCCTCCTCAAGGGTATGCGAATGGCGGCGCTGTCCAGTCGAAGGGAGAGCCAGCAGCTACAGTGAGCGAATTGCTGGAGGAGTAGTGTGAGTGCTCCTCACTGATGATGTGCCGACCCCCTATGACTTGCTCGCTGCTGCTCCATGAATGGTTTGATGATTGTTTCTAGGCATGATGCATCTGTGAGCACCTCACCGCCGCCATGCAAATCAGACAATCACCCTCTCGATTGAGCGCGTCAATTTACGCCATGCACGTCCACAGTCATCAGATGCATGAGATTTGCAGCGACGCGACGCGTGCACGCGAGCGAGCTAAGTGGCGCTCGTCGCTGCTTCTATACCATCAGCGATGATGCTGCGTATCCAGAGTGCAGGGCTCGTTTCGCGCCAATCTGAGTCACGAGGGGAAGCTGAAATTGCGTCAAGACCTTCAAGATTGGAATTTTGAGGGCTTCATTCGTTATCCATGACTTCATTCGTCCGCGCGCACGCTATACTCTTCTGACGCTCAGGAAACAGCATTGCACCAGAAGCATGCATGTGGTATGAGACGCGTGCTTACCAGCCAGACCTATTAGTGCTGCAACTCACGCGCCAAGCTTGCTCAACAAGGCTAAGGAACACCGTGCCCGCCTGCCGATCAACACGAGCTATTCGAGTCTGGGCTTCTTAGGCGTGGCTGAGAATGTGGACAGAAAAAGGGCCTTTTGCAAGACGGCATACATTCACAACCTCTCATTTCTTCAGTCGCAATAGTCTGACCAGGAGCAGCACAGGACAGGCTCAAATGGTGAAGAGCAGGTTGAGGTCCATAGGATGAGAAGCGCTAAGTTGGGGTTTCTGCGAGTATTTCTGCACCAGAGCGTCTCTCGTAGCGTTCAACATCCTGGCGAAATGGATGCAAGACATTGATCGGTCAGACTCGTAAGAGATACGTCAAAAGGCAATACTCACTGGAGGTAAGATAGTTGAGAGTATTCGGTGCAAACCTTGATGAAGGCCCAACTCATCGCTCCTGTAGCTTTACCGGCTTCGCTGGCGTCTGCCGAAGTCTGAGCATCCTTGCATCCCGAAAGCATGATGACGTCTGCCCCGCTAGACCTGGTCTGCTTGGTGATCTCTTCAGCCTCGCTACTACCCGAAGCGCCCTTAAAGGTGGAAAAGAGTCCCTTGACCATACCTCCAAGATCCCCGCGAGCATAAGACATTCCCGCATTCAATATGCCCTTTCCTACGTCCATGGCCACGTTGGGCTCCTTGATATTGCCGCTGGTAGAGTAGACATAGGGAAGATCCAATGCCGTTCCCGAATGGCAAGAGTCGAACAGAGCCGTTAGACGACAACCGACAGGTAAAGGTCTGACCATGATGGCATGAAGCTCATCATCCTCCATCTGACCCGCCCTCTCGTAATCCAATGGCAAAATCGTCTCGTTCATTCCATCGGCTTCATCGCCCTGACTAGCCTTTGCTTGCCCTCCATGTCCGCTGAAATGGAAGAACAGCGCGTCTCCGGGCGCTGCGCCGCGCACCAACCAGTGCATCGCGGCAGTCATGTTCTGTCGAGTAGGAATGGAGCGCGGATCGGAAGAGGCATCGGTCAGGACTACCATGTCGTCGGAATGGTAGCCTCGTTGAGAGATGAACCTCTTCATGTTTTCTACATCGTTCCAACATCCACGCAGCTCGGCTCGAGTGCCTCGATAGTTGATACCGATCAGTAGCGCTTTGCGTTTACCTCTCATGCTGCTGTACTGGAATTGCTGACCTAGAGCGGGGAACATGAGGTCAAGAGAGTGGATGATGGTGATCAGCTCAAAGTCTGAAGCAGACGTTTCAGGAAGAGTGCCACACATAGCCTGTGGCCGCATTTTCTACCCAAGAGATCAAGAAGTCGCAAGGCCTGCGATGCGCAGTCTTTTGGCCCTGCACTCACCTCCGGCCTGCTGCATGCCCTGGGGAGGTTGATGAGCAGGCATGTTCTGATAACCCGGAGGACCACCCTGGGGCGCTCCGTAGCCTTGCTGAGGCGGGGGCGCATACCCGCCTTGTGGCGGACCTTGAGGAGGTGCGTAGCCACCCCCACCCCCACCGCCATATCCTTGCGGAGGACCGTAACCCTGTGGCGCTCCGTAACCTTGAGGAGGCGCTCCATATCCCCCACCGCCGTACGATTGGGGCTGCGGAAATCCTGGCCCTCCACCATACCCCCCTCCTCCGTGCGATCCGTGTCCTTGACCAGGATATGCCATGCTTGACCCTTTGCTGTTGAGGGACTGCGTGAGGATGTATTGGAAAACTGGGCAAAAAGAGGGTGAATGATTTGGATCGTTGTGTGGATCAGTCACGAGTCCAGACTTCTACAATCTGAGTAGTGAATGCTTGTATGGTTGTCCTAAACACTGGTGACTCACACTTCACCTCGTAACTGTGATCGGCGCGCGTCGAAGTTGAGAAATGGATGGATGGCTCTCCACATATGCCTGATGCTGACCCATTGACGAGCAACCACGCACCTCATGGCACATGGCTGCGACGCCCACGTCGCCAACTTCGACCGCATGCGCCCCGCCCTCCTCACCTGCGCCCACGACCACGCCCACGCCAAATTCGCATCAAGAGTCGACTTGCCCAAGTCCGTGCGCGCAGCGCTCAGGATGTACCACGCAGGCGGTGCTTGCAGGCATCAAGCAGCATGTATGCGTGCTGCATGGGTGCGCACCACCCGCGGCCGGCCGGCACGGTAACCATGCACCGCCCATGCAGCAGTCACAGTGACGGGCTTGAGTTTGAGTGGATGTTTGGGTCACGTGATGGACGCGCCTTGGCCTGCGTCAACACCTCCATCTCGCATCCATGTTTGATTCTTGCGATCGATCAGCGACCAGATCGATTACTTTCATCACCCAATCCGTTCGCACACTCACCCTCGTCATCGACGCAGACGACGGAATTCGTTGTGTCGCCGCCACGTCCCTCATCAGCCGCGTTCAAAGCTTTGCTCAATCTCGCTACTCAGGTCCCGATCTTCCTTCACCCAGATAGCTCGCCCATGCGATCTCTGCGGGTGCCAGTTTGACTGCCCAGAAGCTGGGATGGAGTCTTCGTAAGGTGTTGACGGCGCATGTGAAAGCTTTGCCCGCTATTTATGGACCTTGCCTACTATTGCTTTGTCAACTTCGATTGCATTGGTCGGAGGCATCGTCCAGCTGAGCGAGCAGGATGTTTGGCCTCGTAGAGCTGTCTCTTCGCTTTTGGGTGTGAGTGGATTCACGTCGAGTGACGCTCATTTCGCTTGCATCGCTAGAGCGGACTGAAGCACGAGGATGGTGGACCAGTTGTTGCCTCCATCAAGCTGAGAGGCCCCCTTGCCCTTGCCGTTCAAATCGATCAGCTGGATTCATACTCTAGGAACGCTTTACGTAGGGCTTAAGAATGCAGAGACGTTGCGAGATGCGGAAAGAGCAAGTCGAAGGAGGCAGAGCGCGCTGAGAGAGGGAATCAGCTCCATCCTTGTGTGGCTGGCCTATCGCCTTGTGGAGTCTTACATCCAGGCTTGGTTTGGATGGATGCCATTCTGGGGCGTTGTCAGGCTGGGCATGCTTTGTCGCTTTGTCTGGGAGCGCAAATCGGTGCGTTGGGCTGCTACGCAGTGCGAAGCGGTGCTCACATTTCAACTGAGTCGTGCATGCTGACTTACTTTGACCTCTGCTCTGCACATCCCTAATTGCCAGTACAACGCGGCTTGCGCATCCATTTCCGCGCCCATACTCACCCCGATCATAGCGACCATCGAGCCGTATATGGACAATGTCCTTCACATTGCCACAGTAGGAGTCGCTTACGCCCACTTCTTGCTCACGCTTCTTCTGGCAAAGGCGAGACCTCACATAGTCTCGGCCTTTCGATCCGGTTTGCTTGATGTTCTCTTCCAATCGGCCGAAGATTCATACGCAAATCATCCTCCGCCTCCGCCTCCTCCACCTAACGCACTCAACCCTTCCGCGGCCATCAATACCGTGCTCGAGCTTGGCCGCAATTACCTCCCTGGGTGGATGGGTGGGTTGACTGATCGCGCTTCGGAATCCTCATCTCAAGCTTCCCGCCGTGCGCGACCGAATGCTCGTGACTCACTCCCCAGGGGCGAAGGCTCAACGTCTCCACAACAAAGCCCTCAAGCATACAGGCTGCCTGCGCAGTCCTCTCCACGCTCGCAAACGCTCTCCGATGCGCGCCCTTTGGGCCGGACTGCAGCGTCTGCATTGCGGCCCGCGAGTATCATCTCAGCTGCACCTGTCGGGTCCCGACGCTCCGCATCGACGGGGCGCAGGGGCACGTTAGCTCATGAAGCTGCCATGCGAAAGCTATCAGACCTTCCCAGTCCTCCAAAAGGAGTGCCATGGGCAGGTCCGGAGAAGCAAGCAGCTCACAGTGAGACCATAGGCGTCAAGCAAGAGCCGGATGCATCGATATCCAACAATCATGGCCAAAGAGAAGAGGAGATCAAACAGGATTTTGCCGCTCCAACCTCCACAGTCACTTCTCCCTCGGCGCAGCCTACAGTCAGGAGCGCATCAGCAGTCCCCACATCCGCGCCCTCCACCATCTCGCCCGTCGTTCCGGGAGGATTTGGAAGGACTGCTCCGCTGTATCCTAGCTTGGCAAGCCTCGGCGTTCCGATGCTTGGTGAGAGCGGTGCTCCAAGCGCAGCCCCCCCACACCAGCAATTTCTTGGTCCCGTTCCGCAGTCATTTTCGCCTTCTATCGTGAAGGGTGCTGCGCACGCAACCCACGGTGATTCGCGCGCCTCCAAGTCTCCTGAAAGCGAACGGGCTGGAGAACCTTACATTGTGCGCACTCCGACTGCTACCTACACTACGCCATCTCAGCGCATCGCTGCGAGAAGCGCGGCTCTGTCCAAAGAGCAGGAGAAAAGCCCTCGCGAGGCATCTGCGACCAATGATGATGTCTCGCCCGCTGTCGGACATGATCCGCAAGGCGAGGAAGCGTCCGATGCGGCCAAGCATTCTCGCGCTGCAGCGGCGACGATGCCTCAGCCTCGCAAGAAGACGGCAAGCAGCACATCCTCGCGGATAGCCAGGCCAAAGAAAGCAGGGAAAGCAGATCAAGCTTCGTTGGCAGCCACGAGCGCTTCGCGTCGCAACCTGCGCACCCGCAGTCAGTCCCGCGAAGCTTCGAGCCTTGAAGAATCGAATTCGATGCGGCCTAATGCGAAGGATTTGGAAGCAGATGAGACGGCATTACCTGATGCGCAGGTGGCCAGACTCGGTGCGGCGACGCCGAGGCGCAAATTGGGCGGGAAGCGCGTGTTCATTCCGGACGAAGATGGGGACGAAGACTCGGCGTGGGAAGCGGCTCTGAGACTGCGGAAAAGTTCTAACGGGCAGAAGAACGAGTCATTTGGTCCGAATGGCGGCGACGCCAGCTTGGGCAATCACAATGTTGAGGCTACGCCCAAAGCGAAGCATGGCGTCCCAGCTTTTACTCTCCAAGCCCCAGCCCCGTCCTCTTCCTCACCTGCTCAGCCGGCAAAGTCTGCGGCCGCGCTGTTAGCTCCTTCGAAGACCGTGCCTAGAGCGTCAGGCTCTTCTACTCTAACGACCTCGGACGTCGACAGAGAAACGAGACCGGGTCAGACGCGCGGCACAAGGACCGCCGGACGCGCAGCTAAAGCGAGGTCTGTCGACGAAGCGTCGCACTCTGCAGCAGAGCCGGTGCCTACTCGAAGGAGCACACGCACGAGAGCCACGCCTCGCGCAAGGGCGGCGTTGGGCGTAGAGAGCGAGGCGACGACTGATAGCGAGGCGGCTAGCAGCACGTGGAGCTCCAGCCGAGAAGTGACGCCGAAGGTGGCGCATGAAATGACGACTTCTGATGAGGAGTATGCCGAGCGATCGCCCGGCAGCAAGAGCAAGGCGAAGGACCCACAGCAGACCGTCGGTCGAGCCAAGACGATTGCGCGACGAGGAAAGAGGAAAGCGGAGGAGAGCGAAGAGGGCGCTTCGGGAGTGGAAAGCAAAGTGGAGACGGCAAGGGGACGTAATGGAGCTGGGCCTGCGAAGAGAGGAAGAGGCGGCGCGGTCCCTGTGCAAGCTAGTAGGGGATCAAATGGCTCGCTCGGCGCATCTGCCACCCTAAGCGCACTTCCGCGAGGCATGTCAAAAAGGTCTTTGGCCCTTGCCAAGGCCCGACAAGGGCCGACGAGCCGAATCTCGACCGGCGACGATTCTTCTGAGAAATCGGCTAGCAGAGCCTTTTCGACGACGAAGACGGGCAAAATCAAAGAGCAGACTGCGGGAAATGCGAACATGTTCAGCTTTGGGGGAGAGGAGGAAGCTAACAGAGCTGAGCTGGAGTTGGGTCGATTGCTTGGTGGGAAGAAATCGTAGGATTGTCGCCGAAAGACTCGCTCCGCGGAATTGCAGGGTCGGTAAGCCAAGACGAGTTTGGTAAGGAATACTTTGCGTGTCTCTCTTCGGATCTACTCCACTGCCTCGCTTCGCTTCACCCCGCCCTTGTTCTTCCACTCATCCAGCTGTCTCTGCGCGCTCGCACACAACCACACGCGATGCGCCATGTATTATATCATCATAGCACCTTCAATCACAAGCGACCTTGCAAGCCTGTCGGTGCGAGCGCAAGGGAAGAAGCTGCCAAACCGAGTGAGCGTCCACCTCCATCGCAGATGCATATTCTACAGCCATGAGTGAGGCTCGGGCAAAGTTTCGCAGGGCAAAAGAGGTCTAAAATGAGCATCGCTACGTGCAGTCCGCAGTCTGCGGATACGTTCAGTTGCTCTTGAGCGTCCTCTGCTTCTCGGCAGCATCAACGATTCGTCTGTCCACGAAGAGGCCCTGTCGAAAGTGAGGCATCGTGTTCAGCGAAGACCATCCTCGTGAGGGAAAAAAGCAAAAAAACACAAAAAAAAAAAAAAAAAAGGGCCAATCTACACGACACTCACTTTTCTCTTTCGCACGTTATCCACGTACTTTTTGGCCACATTTTCTCGCTCGCCTAGCACGCCTAGATCTTCCAATTCTTCTTCAGTGCGAGGTACCCAGTACGGATCCATGTCGAACAGCTCGAAACTAGGGGGAAGAGGGTGAACAGTGAGAGACGCCTTCTCCATTGCAAGCTGCGCTAAATGACTGCTCTCTCACCCTTTGAAGATTAATTGAGGACTAGCTGCGCCCGACGTCCTCTTGCGGATCTCTGCTCGAAGTGAAACGTTTTGCAAAGTTAGAAAGAAGCCTAGCGAAACCATGCGCAATTCCGTGCGATTCTGAGCAGCGGTCCACTCACCATCAGCGAAGCCAAAGCTTTCCACGACGGGCAAAAGAGCTCCAACAGTGAAGAAGCTGGTGCCTTCTTTCATCTCTTCAGAAGTGATGCGACCTCTTCTTCTAGAAAGCACTGCGTGTACCTTGCCGAGTACGTCGGTCGAGGCCTGGATGTCGCACGAGTACATTGCGAGCATGATGCGAGGGGACCAATCCAGAAGGCCGTTCCTGCAAGCTTCTCTGACGGATGAGATGAGCGATCCTGTGATCTGGGAGAACTTGATCCGGTCTGATCAATTCGCAGAGTCACAACGTCAATATTTGGAAAGGAACGCAAGACCAGGGACCCGTACTCACTCCCTTCTCTCTCCTCCACGGCATGATTGACGACGACGCTTTCCACGAAGTAGGCTAGTCCTTGGACCTGCTCGGCACATAGCGGTCCTTGCAAGGTGGCTATCTGGAAGCCGCTTTCAATCGAGTCTAGCAGATCTTCGGCTGTCCAGCTCTCTTGAGTCCTAGAGTCTTCTGCGGCTTCGGGCAGTGTCGCGTGCTCTAATGCTGACGCCAAATCATCTACTTCAGAATCTCCAGTTAATTGAGCACCTTGGCCTGCAGGAGTGGAGACTCCAGAGGCGGGTTGGCTTTCCTTGAGCGGACCTTTTCGGAGCTCAGTCCGCTGGCGAAGTCTGGTCGAATCGAATCAACCGAAAACTTGTCAGTAACATTCCATTGAGCATCTACTGTCACACCCATCCCTCACCTTTGAGCCAGTAGACTGGCAGAATCGACCAACAGATTGGGTCCAATTCTGCGTGGTCCAAGGCTCCATATCTGATCCACAACACCTCTCCACTGAGGTCCACAACTGTCCAAAAGCTTGGTCAATTCGCTCCAAAAGTTTTGAGGGCGCACCTCCCTGCTCGCAGCTTCAACTTCGGAGGCATTGGAGCCTGCAATTGTCTCGACCGTCTCCTGACCTGCGTTTGTCGCTCCGTGCCTCCTATCTGTGCTAACTAGCTGCCTGATAGTTCTCGCATTGGCGATCAAGAAGTCCGTAACCTTTTCCGGCAATGGCACAGCTCTGATGGAGTAGGACACCACTCCGCCCGAAAGTGATCCTTGCATCGTACCGCGAGCAGCGCCTTCGATCTTCGGAGGCGGCATCTCCTGACCTTTGACGGCAGTCTCGCGGAAAGGGACCAAGGGTTTGGAAGCTTGTATTGCGCACTTTGCAAAGCGCTCTCGCAAATCCTTTAGACATCTTTCCAAGTGCAGCTCTCCTGCGCACAGGATCACGTGTTCTCCGGTTTCCTGGACCAGGGTCTCGACGCATGGATCAGCTTGGTTCAATAACCGAAGACCTTCAACCAACTTCGGCATGTCGGCTGAAAAGGCCAAGACTGTCAGGCTCATTTGTGCTCATCTTTGGCCAGCAACGGGCTAAGAAGGTCCAGACACTCACTGGGCCTTGAAGGTTCTAGAGCGACCCTGACGATTGGAGCGCTGCCTAGACCCACGCCAGCGAGGTTGACAAAGCAGTCTCCTGAACTTGCCACGTCGAGCTCTTGCGTGACTGGTGACCCTTTCTGGACAGGTGGCGCGCAGAGCGTAGCATTTCTCAGCACCGTTCCTTCCAGCCCTCTGATGGCAAAGACATTTCCAGCTGGTACTTCTGAGACAGCAATTAGATCTCGGCCCATCATCATATAGAGCGCTTCAATGTTGACCTCCCTGATGTGTTTAGCATTAGCGGCATGTCCCGCTTTCAGGGCAGGGTTGTACTTGGGTAAGAGGGCAAAGACTTTTCGTCCGACCTGTAAAACCCCAGAATACAAGCGCGCGAAGCCGAGCACGACCTCTTCATCTTTCCTGGCCTGATTCTCATCTTCATCTCGCTGAGCCAATTCTCGAGCCGAAGGTCCTGCCTGCCCATTCTCAATGACTGTGCCCTCTTCCGTCTTGTGTGCCTCTGGCTGAGGAGACGATGCGTGCTCAGAGCCTTGCGCTTCACTGGCACCTGTAGCTCTCAGCAAAGCTTCTTTAGCAGCAGCCGCTCGTTCTCTCGCTTCTTTTCCCTTCTGCCTCATCTCGTCCGCGGTCAGCTCTTTTCTTCTGCCCTCTGGCAATTCACCTCGTCGAACCGCAAACAATTTGCTGACGTAAGCGCAAGTCCTTGCCCCATCTCCAGCCCGAGCTTCGAACAGGTCCACCTCCAAAGGCGTCAAAGCCTCTTTTTTCGAAAAGTAGCTCAATTCTGGATGCAACATCTTTGCCACGCGAGTTCTCTGCGCGACAGCGGGCGGAGGCACGCACTGCACCAAAGCCGAAAATGTGCACGCTGCAAGCGGCAGCCACTGGGAGAAGATGAGCGGCAGAAGGGTTGAAGATTCTTTTGCCCGAAGATCTCTCGGCAAGATTTTGAGCTCCAATGTCTTTACGATCTTCTCGATCTTCTCTTGATCACTGCGGGTCTCGGATTCCGCGCGTGATTAGCGCTTTTCGAATCGAGGGGTTTATGGTGCTTCACTCACCGATTCAAGGCGCTCTCGTACACAGCCCAGACATTGTCCAAAACGAATTGCACAAACACTGGTTTGAGGTTCTTGCCCTCCCTCTCCTTCTGCTTGTGACCGATGACGCGCTTACCCTTGGGATCGAAAAAGAAGTCTCCCCATAGGACTTTTCTGAATTTAGATTCTTGTATGCCAAGCTTCTTTGAGTATAGCTGAGAGAAACGGTCCAGTCTGAAGGCCCAGTTGTCTATGGCGCTCGCGAAGATAACGTTGCCTCTAGCTGGGTCGAAATAGATGTCTTCGTCATCCAGTTCTTGATACCTCTCCTCATCTTCCTGTTCGCCTAGAGCGTCGTGTCCGTTGGTATCGCTCGAGGACTGACCGACTACGCTTTCGCTCGCAGCTTCCTTTCTGGCCTTCAACCTTGCTTCTCTCGCTTCGTGCCACCTCAAATCATCCTCCATTCTCTCTGATGCGAAGAACGATCCCATGACTGCGTTCACGTTTTCGATGAGCTGCGTCAGATGATGATATGCTTCCGAAGGAGAGAGTCGCAGCTCTGTGACGAGTCGGTCCATCTTGTTCAAGACCAGGATAGGTGCTAGTCTGTCCATCCATGCTTGTCGAAGTACAGCAATGGTCTAGCAAGCCGCAAAAAGGGGGCGTGTATGCGTCTGTATGCATGCTTTACCAACCGCCAAATGCACGATGACCTACTCACCTGCGTGCAAACGCCCTCTACAACATCAACAATGACGAGTGCACCATCGCACAGTCTACTCGCAGTCGACACTTCGCTAGAAAAGTCGATGTGACCAGGAGTATCGATGAGATTGATCATGTAATCTGAAATCTCTCCCACCTTGCCGTCGGTCGAGTGAGCGCGTAATTTGAAGCTCAAGCTGACTGCGCTGCTCTCCATCGTGATTCCTCGCTCCTGCTCATCCTCCCTCGAGTCCAAGTATCGCAGCTTACCTGCTTGCCTAGGGGCGATGATGCCGTTCGCTGCGAGCAAAGAGTCGGCGTAGGAAGACTTGCCGTGATCAACATGACCGATCAGGGTGGCGCATCGCACGTTGGCCGTGCCGAATTTTTTGCTGGACATGTTGGCCGGTGGTTTGGCGTCGCCAAGCGGTGCTGAGGTTGCGTGGTGGGGCCAGCAAGTAGTGCAGTGGGTGCGACGTCTCTTGATAACGTGTTCAAAGCGTCTCGATCTGAGTGTCTGTCGAAGTAATGACTGATCCTACGCGTCTCAATGGCGTGTCTTCCCCATGAACCCGTAACCTCCGATTCTGCCGAAAGCGCGGGCAACGAGTCGCCTGCGCGCCCGAATGACTCGTCTTGTCAAATGCGTTCGGTCCCTCAATCCCCAAAGTGTGGCGTGATCAAGCCGAAGAAAGTTGGTGCTGTCGCCTGACTTACAGATGACTCGAGGTGCAAGCCGGATAGGAGCATCAGATGAAGAAGAAGCCCTAAGCGCGCAGACCCTCATCAGGGTGGAGGAACGCACATGCGTGTGTGTGTGTGGGCCAAAATTCTTGATTTTGATTCAAGATTCTCGGGGCAAGCACATGGCACGTGATGCGCAGACGGCGTCCGTCAATCACGTGAGTCTTGTTCACTCTTGACTTTGGACTGTTGACCAGCACGCTCCGCACGCTAAATACGTCTCTAATGAGAAGAGCAGACGATGGTTCAGGGAGACAATCATGATCTATCATATCATGTTTCTACCTCGAGCTGTGTGCTGCCTGAGACGTTTTCGTGTGTTTACCCGGTCAGAATGTAGCATGAGGCCCAAAGCCGTGCGACCCCGAAAGTCACAGTCTGATGACTGCATGGTGAGTGGCATGCACGCCAATCAAGGGATCGCGGG